GGAGTTGCGCAAGGGTAGAAGGTTTTCCTATGCAGGTGATCTCATCCTTGATGCAGTCTGGAAGTCCACTATAAAAGCAGTGGCAGAGTGCACCAACACTGTAGTCTTTGACCTGTGAAGCCCAGTGATTGAACTCCACAACATATTTGGTAATTTGAGAACCGTCTTTCATAGTGAGGTTTTTGAGTTGTTGGACAGCATCTGCTATGGCATCATGCAGACCAAAATTAGTTGTGAGCTCTTGTAAGAACTCATGATAGTCATCCATCCAGAGTGGGCAGTCATAGTTGTTGGGGTTTAGTAGGTCTGGCTCGAACCAAGCCAGAGCCATACCCTTAAGATAAGACTGAGCAAAGGTAACCTTCACTCTGTTGGAGCGGAACATGCAGGGGCAGTCTTGGAAGTTCAGCTCACATTGTACAAGGAACTTGCAGAGTTTCCTAGGGTCAGAGCCATCAAAGGTGTCAGGCTCATGGACTTTGGTTTTTGGAGTGGAGTCCCCAGTGTGCAAACTAGACCATGCAAGCACTGTGAGTCAAAGTGTGGTTCAGTGGTGAAAACCAACCAAAACCAACACAAAAGACAAAAAGAGCGAGTGGTGGTGTGCCTATGCAGTACCTAGATGGTAGAACCTGTTCTTTGGGAGGGTTTTTGTGAGCTACAACACTCAAAGATGAGTGCTGAGGGTTGGGGGTGCTCCTGATGAAGAAGCAGGAATGTGAGAGAATGTGATAGGGTAGACTGCTGTCAGCCTACAGAAGGATGGATGGTGACTTAATTCAATGTCCTGAGCTGCACTGAGCTCAGGGAGGGCTTGGAGTGAAGTATATTGATGATAGACAAGGATAAGTGAAGTAGATGATAGTTAGACCCTTAATAAAGTCTCAACTATTGAAGCTGCTGAATGAATTACTGAGTGATGATAAAATGCGAGCAAGAGGGGCTCTCTGACATCTTCTCTTTTTTGCTATCTAAGTACAGTGATCTATATACAGTACAGGGGTGTTGCCCTTGGAAAACAAGGTGCAAACACTTGGTAAGTGATTGGTAACTGATGAGTAAGGAATGTAAGCGATGGGTAATTGTCTTGGAAAGCATTGGTAAGCATTGGTAAGGACGAGCAAGCCAAAAAGTGAAGAATCAGTCAGGATGTCAAAGTATGAGTCAAGTGATGTCAGGAACTGGGAAAGCACACTGGAATCACATTAGGGGGAGGCTGTGCATGTCACATCTCAAAGAGATTGCTTCTAGGCCAAGGTGGGATGACAGAGAGGCAGTGCTGTCCTGATGCTGATATAGTACATCCAAAAGTGGACAGGGTGAGTCAGATGTCAACAGGGGTCAAGCTTTGGGGGTCTGTGGGGTGACAGGAGCATAGGGGATCACAACTTTCCCCCCAAAACCATCCTCTCAGTGAAGCAAATAAAAACTTCATGAATGAGGCTCTATCAGAAGAGAGGATGAACAGGGAGTGTCTTCTGCTGTATCTTGCAACAAGGAGGCAAGATGTGCATCATACTCATCATGGATGTGATCAGGAAGAGTGGGGAACAGTAGATTATACTGTAGCCACCGCAACCTCAGAAGAATGATGGACAAGACTGGTATGAAGACATTGCAGGGAGCAGGGAGGAAGGATCCATATGCTTCTTGGAATGGAGAGACTGAAACAACCACATAAGACCTTTCCAAGTGAATGACAGACCTGAGGTGACCAAAGAACATCCTCCTAGAGGTCATACTGACAAAAAGAACATGCTGTCCAAGCTGGATGGGCTGAGAGGGCACAGATGAGGGTGGGATGTACCAGGATGCTTCAGGATGGAAGCTGGTAGGAACTCCTGGTAGATATATGTAGCCACAGTCCCTAGCAAAGGGGACAAGCGAAATGATTGATGTAGAGGCAGCCATATCAGAAGAATTTAGCAAAATGAGCATCTTTTGGAGGGAGTGCTGTAGAAATGTGTGGAGTGCACAAATCCTTTCCAATTTTGGAAGGTAAGATCATGTGGCTGAGCACTACAAGTGAGTGTGGGAATGGTCTTGGTATCTGCAGAAATGGCAGAGATATGTCAAAAACTGGAATGCCATACACAGGTGCTTAAGAATTTTAGCCAGAACTTAACTTGCTCCCTTTCTTTTTCTCTGGCACTGATGACCTGTTCTTGTGTGAGGGATGACTGCTGACATTCCTGGCTGTCCTTCTTCACATGAGGGCTATGGTCTTCATCTCCATTCATCAGCTGTATCCATGTCCACCTCACCAAACACCTTTGGTGTGTGACAGCACATGGACAGCTCTAGCAAGAGCTATGAGGGGATCCTCTGGTGGCTCAGCTGGGTATTCAGGGATATCCCCATCACCACTGCCCCTGCTGTTGGGATCACCATCAGGGTCATCAGGGTCAGGGTTGGGTCCATCATCTCAGTTACAAGGAGACAGAGTATGGAAAGTGGTTGGGTGGAGGTTGGAGTGACCAGCTTGCAAAGCACTTTTGCCTTCAGCATGAGAGCAGCATTGAGTGGAGAATGATTGGAACTGTTCAATGATGGAAGGGAGTTGATGTGGATTAGCTAGTGCAACAGCAAGGTTCTCAGCAACCTCTCTCTGGGATTGAGCTCAAGTTCTCATAATGGTGTAAGTTTTTTGGAAGACAGAAAATGAGATCATACAAGTGCAAGTACAAATATACTGTCAAGTCTGGGCCTACTCCAACCAACTCTGATGCTAGGCAAGGGCTGGGGAGAGGTTTGGAAGCAAGTCTGACAGAAAGAACTGAACTCTGACTGGCAAAGTGTTGGCAGGAATGAAGTCCACTGAGATAAAGGCAGAGCAGAGTGAGGGTGTCAGGTTTAGCTTGTGTGCTACCCCCTTGCATGATCTCAGCCCTCATATTTCAGAGGGAGAGTACAGACAGACAGATGGAGGTAACTCCAACAGACAGAAGACAGAGACAGAGGGAGTAGGAACTAAGTTGATATTCATACTGAAGAACAGCAGAGTATGGTACATGCTTTTATACTACTACAGAGGCACAGTAATTGGAATTGGAACTGACATACAGAGACTTGTAAAATTTCAAGTAAAACTTCCTTGATGATGAATGAAGGGTAGATGGAGGACATATGAACAGGTAACACAGAACATCAAACAGTCCAGGTGTTGGACCATGCAGTGCATGCACTGCAGAGCACATGACCACACACTGTCAGGGAGAAGTCCAAAGGGTAGTCACATGACTCCTCAGGAGATGGCCTGCATGGTCTGACAGGAGAGCAGTACAAGTCCAACAGCAGTCAGAGCAGAGATGACTCATAAATGTCAGGGGATGGGTGGAGTTGGTGTGGAGTGGGCAAATGACCAGCAGAAAAGGGGTGCAGAGTGAGTGAGGACCTAGGATGAACACATGGTCATGACACTCTGCTCATGACCAGAATTTGAAATTGCTTAATGTTTTTCATGTACATCATGGCCATTTCAGAATCAATGCAGTAAGTGGGCCCAGGAGCCATATTTGCTGTGACTCAGCATAAGAGAGCTTGAAAACCACCAAATACTACAATAATACCTTGGGTGGCAGCTCCAATCTGTGCAGGAATGAATGGACTCACTGCACCACCAGCAAGATTGCTAGCTTCTGTACCTCCATATCAAGTTCATCATATTATCAGCAAGCTAGAAAAAATCATACCTGCCATGGTAATTTCAGATGCAGCAGCAGCCAAATCAGTTACACCACTTCAGCGGGCATGATGAGAACCAGTGCCACTTGTGAGCGGGAACAACCGGAACCACTTTTTGATCCGTCGACCAGGAGCCATGTAAATTTGAACTACTTATGCTTCACAACGCGGAGACTAAGCTGTGTGGAGGTCAGCGTGACGTCCGTTATAATGAAGGTAGAGTGGTACTTCCGACGACTCGCAGGGAGTCGGGTTGATTACGATCGAGATGCAATCTCCTTGAATTTACAAGTCCGCTTATGTAATAAAGTCAAACTTGACCTTGACGACCGTCCAACATGCAACAGACTTTAAGGCGAATGGATGCCCCAAGAGCGAAGAAATCTTGCACGTGCGCGTTTGTTGTTTCTTCCGTCCCAGTAGCCCTACCATATTCACAAGACCTCAGGTATCCTATTCCTATGTGCCTTTTGCGTGAAACAGATGGAGGGGTCTACGGGCCACATATCCATTTGCACGACCACCTATCTTTGATGGAATCATTGCTGTCATCGATCCTGAGTGGAGTTGGATAGCATGGTGGTAGAGAATATGCGGGAGTTTCTTGCTTGCCTTTTGGTTTGCCCCCTTATGGTTGTTGACGGATCTTTTTTTTGTATAGAAAGCGAAATATGTACGAGGGGTGTGATGCGGTTCGAATCAAAGGCCGCATACCGGAAGACGTAGAAGCAGAGCTCGAGAGTCGTGGCAGATATCAAGTATCGACCAAGAGACCAGATAACACAGATCACCACTTTTACAGTCCCTAACACGCTCTCGTTCGTTCCCAATCTCATGGTTCCCTTTGCGATCGGGTTGACTCCGTTTTTTGAGGTAATATTATTGTGGCATCTAATCTGTTACTCACACTGCTTCATGCCAAGCTTAAACAGTTCGGATTGTAGAGGATGGTTGTCGGCTCTCCATTCGACATGTACTATATTACCGGTATCCTTACAGATTGCGAATTGTCTCTGTGATGTCCAAAGTAACCTAGCTGACGCCGAAGAATGCCGTATACGTTGCCGGCGCGTCCCTGTTAGTCAATGCATAACATTCGACTCGGATCAATGGACAAGCCGTAGTGAGTTGTGGGCATCCTTCGGCACTCTAGACCTAGAGATGTTATCGAGGGCTTACTGTGGGAAGCACCACCGTTGTATCGTCAGTCCTTGAAATCCGAGCAAAATAACTTGGGTGTTCGTATTAGAGAGTTGTTCACGCGTGATTACTGTAATTGGACGGAGCGCGGCAAGCGGCCATACAGCTTCTGCGTGCTTTATTTCTGTTTCGCTCATCACACATACTCCTACTACATTCTTAGACTTACTTTCTTACATCGGACTGGACAAAGGAACCTGCTTTTTAGACCTTTAGCATGGCGGAGCCCGGGGAGGGTAACATCAAGGTTGTGGTGCGATGCAGGCCTCTCAACGCTCGCGGTACGGCCCATCCACCTGTCCCTCGCATGCGAACATACTCATCTATTCCACCTTCTTCTCTCCATTCGATATGGCTCCAACCATGCAGAACTCGCGCGGGGCGCCAAGATGCTCATCCGCATGCAGGGCAACCAGACTTTCCTCGATCCGCCAGAACCAGGCTCATCACAAGATTCAAAGCGTGCCACGGAACGCAAGACAATGGCGTTCAGTTTTGACAAGAGTTATTGGTCTGCGGGGCCTCGCGACGAACCGGGTTACTGTTCACAGCAGACATTGTATGACGACTTGGGAAAGGAGCTGTTGGACCACGGCTTTGCGGGATTTAATGCTTGTATTTTGGCTTGTGAGTGCCCCCCCCCCCCCGGAAACACGTTCAGAACCACTGTTCCTGATACCTCGAAATCGTCGCCTTCGTTGGTAGATGGACAGACTGGTAGGAGTGCTACCACATAATACCCGGGCAAACTTCAGTGCTGAAAATGTAACCTCTAGGATCTGGTAAATCATATAGGTATGTCCAAACAAATCCTACATTATATTTACATGCGCCGCTCAATCCAATGAAACCTCCAGTATGATGGGATGTGCGTCTCTTTGCCGTACGCGATACTACCTCGCGAGATTTTTGACTCCTGTCCGTGACACTAGATGGACAAGACAAAGGAATTATACCATTAACATGCTCCGAGCTCTTTGTACGCGTAGCCCACAAGAGGGAAATGGACCCCACTGTCAGCTTCACTGTCGAGGTGTCGTACATAGAGGTGCGTTTATATGCTGACATATGTACCCTTACCCTACCCCTAACCCTTGGTGTCGCATACTGGCGAAACGTTCTTTTGGTCGCCTGGCTTGCACATAGATATACAACGAGAAAGTGCGCGACCTTTTGAACCCGAAGAACACTGGCAATCTTCGTGTCCGTGAACACCCCAGTTTGGGCCCTTACGTTGAAGATCTGTCCAAGCTCGTCGTAAGTAGTTACGATGAGATGATGACACTCATGGACGAAGGTAACAAAGCGCGGACGGTGGCAGCCACTAATATGAACGAGACGTGAGCCACATACTTCAGGCGTGTCACTGCGACGTCCATTAGGCTGAGTCATTGGATAGGTCGTCACGGTCTCATGCAGTTTTCACTTTGCTACTCACCATGAGAAAGCATGACGTGGATACCAACCTTGACACTGAGAAAGTGTCGCGGATTAGGCACGTTCACACGTTTGGCGAGCTCTTGATGGCGGTGGTTAACATTCGGCCACAGTCTGGTTGATCTGGCAGGTTCAGAGCGAGCCAATTCGACAGGGGCGACTGGACAACGTCTCAAGGAAGGAGCGAACATCAACAAGTCACTCACTACCCTTGGCAAGGTCATATCTTCTCTTGCACTCGTCAGTCAAGATGGTGCGAAGAAGGGGAAGAAAAAGGGTGACGAGTTCATTCCGTATCGCGATTCGGTGACTACGACCACCCTTATACCAGGGAGGCTTTTTCTGATCACGATAATTATTAGGTCCTTACTTGGCTCTTGAAGGATAGTTTAGGTGGTAATTCCAAGACAGCGATGATCGCAGCTATTTCTCCTGCAGACTACGAAGAAACATTGAGCACTCTTCGATACGCCGATCAGGCTAAGAAGATTAAGAACAAGGCCGTAGTTAACGAGGATCCCAACGCTAAGTTGGTACGCGAACTCAAGGAAGAATTGGAGTTACTCAGAGGTTTGCACTTACCGGCAATATGAAGGAGCGAATATTTACTGATCTTTTCCTTTTTTCTCTTCCCTCCCTAAGCTCGTGTGGCTACTTCAGGCGGGGAGGATGCCTTCGACCCTACTGTACCTCCTGAGAAACAGAAAGTCACGTACCAGACGAAAGATGGGAAGATCAAAACGGTCACCAAAGCAGAACTACAGGAGCAGATGGAGGCGAGCGAGAAATTGATGCAGAGCTTGAACGAAACATGGGAGGACAAGTTGGCACGGACGCAGGAAGTGCAGAAGGAACGCGAAAAGGCGCTGGAGGAACTGGGTATTACTGTGGAGAAGAACAACGTCGGTGTACACACCCCGAAGAAGGTAACTCCCAATGCTTTCGATGAGATTATTGGAAACTCATGTGACACTTCTAGATGCCTCACCTGGTGAACTTGGTCAGTCCTTCGGTCCATTCGACTGCGGATAGACTACTGAATGCATGCGTGATCGTTCTGCTCAGAATGAGGGTAAGGAAGTTCGCACTCACCGTATATACTTACACTCACGTCGCCCATAGACCCTCTGATGAGTGAGTGTCTGATATACCAGATCAAACCAGGCAAAACGCTGGTGCGTGTTATTGGAAGTCTTTTATGGCTCTGCAAACCTCCTTAAAACGTCTGAGTAGGTAGGACGCATGGACAGCGAGAAACCTGCAGCGATTCGCCTCAGCGGAGAAAACATTCTCGAAGAACATTGCGAATTTGAGAATGTTGATGATAAGGTTACAATTCACGCTATGCCAGAGAGTGTGACGGTGAGCTTAGATGAAGTTACTCCAATATGTTTAGGTCAATGCTCACCGTATGACAGTTCCTGAATGGGAAACAAATAACACCTGGACAAGTAAGTGCGGATAGCCCGCTTGATAATTTGCCTTATTTCAATGTTTCCAGCCGTACAAACTGCGGTCTGGATACCGAATCATTCTGGGCAAGTATCTTGCAGGACTGCTCTGTTGAAGGGTTGCTCTTACATCTATGTACTTTCAGGGGATTACCACGTTTTCAGGTTTAACAATCCCGAAGAAGTTCGGAAGAAACGTGATCGAGCAACAGCTCGGTCTAATTTGCATCACAACGTAGCAGCCAGCGAAGTGGAAGGTGGCGAGTCCTCGCTGACACTTCCAAAGGAATCTCGACCTCCATCCAGGTCATCTTCTTCCGCCGCCGGAGCGGATGTAGATTGGAACTTTGCAAAGCGGGAAGCTGCGCTGGCTCGGCTGGGTCTGGACCCTACCTTGGACAACCTACCGGATGAAGAAATAAACAAGCTCTTCGAGCGGATAACCAAAGTCAAGACCATGCGGGACCATAATCAGAAATCGAGGCCGGAGAGTAGTCTCAGTCATCGCGACGACCTATGGAGCGAGTCTGGGAGACCAGTGTCGAGTGAGACAGATGACACAAGCGTATATGCTGGTCCGAGCCACGGTAGTCCTGACACAGATGGGCCGCTAAAAGATGTTCAGCATCAGCTAGAGTCACGTCTCCAGGCGATCTCAGAGTCCAGCGAAGCCGAAGATTTGAAGGTGGAGAAGGATCATATGGAGCACCAACTCAAGCTGGTTCAGCAGCAACTCAAACGTCTTATTCATGCGCGCGCACGTGGGGAAACGGATGATGAACTTATTCAGTTTGAACCTGTCATTTACACGGCGAAGCAACTGCGCCTGATCCGCAAGGTATTGGACAAGTGGAGATCTCATAGATCGTTCTCGATGGCAGAGACCATCCTTTCTAATGCTGTTCTAGTAAAAGAAGCAACAGTCATCAGGTAATGTGTTTTCCGCGTCATTCAACGTACCGGAGGATTGAACTTCCCGAGCAGCAAAGAATTGGGCAAGGAAGTTTCCTATAATTTCACGATTGCTTCCGGAGGTACGCTGGCAGCCCCAACCTCCGGCGTTGACTCTATTGGGAGCCTGGATACCTTTGGTGACGTTGCTGACCCGAGGCTGGCATCCACCACGCAACCATCGGCTGCAGTTAAAGTCCTTGACAAAAAGCACTGCGCCATCTATATCTGGTCCTTGGACCGTCTCCAACAGCAACTGCAGCGTATGCGCAACCTGACAACCTATATCGACCGCCCTTCCTTCACTCACCACTTCAGTTCTGATCAACCCTTCTATGACCTGCCGCCACCTCAATTCTCGTTCATTGGTAATGCCGTAGTATCACTGGCACCACTTGCCCGCCGCCTATCTTCGACCGCCGTCGTCCCTATATTCTGCCGATACACCGCCGAAGCGATTGGTTCGTGCAGGGTGGACATGAAGATATCGAGTGTGGTGCACATGTCATCGAAGCACGGTCGTAGATCAGCAGCATCGACACGGCCAGCATCTCCCGCTCCTTCTCTTCTACAGCCTGGTAGCAAAATCACTTTCTTCCTGACAGTCGATTCTGTCAAAGGGTTGTCATCCCTCGACTTCGCAGCACTTCACCTACAGTTACGATTATCCTCGTTTGTGGGACCCTCATCCGTTACCAACGACGAAGTGTTCACTTCCTCCGTGCTCGATCCAGACGTGTCTTCTTTGTCAGAACTCAAATTCCGGAGGACTTTTTCGCTCGCCGCGTCTTCTAAAGTCATCGCGCACCTACGTGAGGGATACGCTCCGATAGAGTTCTTTGCGGCTGTCAGGCCAACATACTTGGAGCGCCTGGAACGGTGGGACGAGATGAGAGAGCTGCGAGGCAATCCACGTCCACCATCACCGGGAAGTCAGACCGATTCTCCTTCGTCCAGCGTTCAACCAATGCGAAGGTCCGAAACCGATTTCGTTGTCGAACAAAGCCACGACGTTGCTGCCCGTATCCAAGTAAGGGAGCTTGGAGCGGACGGCGAGTACAAGCCGGTGCCTGTAGTCTCGCAAGGCGGCCTTGACCCAGGGGCATTTTTCCTACACCAGGGGTTGCAAAGGCGAATTGTCTTGGAGCTGTCGTCTGATTCAGGATCTCAGTTCCCGTGGACTGACGTGACCAAGATTCGAGTGGGAAATGTTCGCTTGCTAGATCCGAAGGGTCGAATACATGACTCGACATCCAAGGCAATGGTCACGCTTCCGTTGCTGGCAGACCAGGTCGTTGAGTTCAAATCGGACGGGACGGGTTCGCTGACCGCGCAAGCACTGTGGGACTCTAGTGTGCATGATTCGCTCTTACTGAATCGTGTGACCACGAATCCATACCGTGTCATAATGCAAGTCAGCTGGGCAATTGGAGTCGAGACGTGTAGGGAACCGGTGCAATTCACGATGGACATCGCGATTACGATGCAAACACGAGATGCCCGTCCTCCCAGTCGTTTCCTTACCTTCCTGAGTTCCGGCAAGATTCTTTCGCGTATCAGTGGGATTTTCAAAGTCTGTCTATCACCTCCCTTGACGCGTTCGCCTGGTGACTTGTGGCGATTGGATACCTCGGAGAAATACGTTCGCGGGGAAGAAGTGCTCCACTCGTGGAGGCCTCGTGGTATATCTGCTGTCGAGGACTACAATCGCCTGATCCTAACAGAGAGGCGCGCAGCTGACGTTCAAGCGATTCGGGTCATCTTGGCTTCATCACCATCCATGATGCGTTCGAATGGTCAGTCCGGTTCGACTGTGTGGGCATCTGACACGTTGCTCCGAAAGACAATTGAATTGTGGCAGAAGCATTTCGGCCACCCTGGCGAAGCAAGTGCATGCATTTTGTCACATGGGATTGGTTTAACAATAGCTTGGACAGATTGTTCTGAGTCAGGTGATGCTGGACGCTGACAAGTCTAGCTCAACTACGATCAAGGCAACCCCTTGCAGGGGTCTCATTGATGACCTGAAACTCGGCTCGACTGTAACCCTAGTACCTTGCGGGTGAGTGCATGCAACAATACACGTTGCTCTGTGGAGTTGGTTGTGACTCAGGTCCGCAGCGATGGGCCGACGAAGAAAGGGTATTTGATGATCCTGACTGATGCAAGCCAAGATACATGGCAGAGGAGGTGGTTCGTCCTACGCCGGCAAGTGGTACTGCCTTCCGTCATTACTCTACGCCACTGACAGTAATTTTAGCCCGTACTTGCATATGTACACAAACTCCAAAGAAGTGGAAGAGGTCGGGGTCATAAGCCTCCATGGCATGAACATCGAATGCGATTCCAATAAGGAGGCCCTGCTTGGCGTAAGTTGCAAGTTCCTTTTCTCTCTCGAAGTGGTCACAGTTGATCTGATCATTACTCTCATACTACCGCTAGAAACCATTCTGCTTTACTCTCTTCACGGCGGCCAATTCACATGCCTTCGCTGCACCGTCCCTCAAGGAACTTCAGTCATGGACATCGAAATTAGATCCTACAGGTTCTCTTACTTAGACCCTTGTCGACCCTCGTTTCTTGGGCTGACTGGTGCTGCTTTAACTTTATTATTTCGGGCTCACACGTACCGGTTCATTACTATACCATAGTCTCCATACAATCGGTTGTATGTCGTATGTCACTTGCTGCACGATAATTCGGACGGGATGGGTACATCCACACGTCATTGAGACTTTGCACCGCACGCATCAAGTCTTGAAGTAAATCCGAACTTGGCGGTCACTACCGACACTGGCAGCACTTCGTCGATAAACTTAGCCCCGTAGTGTTAGCAACGGTCGCCTACTTACTAAGAGACGCAACTTAACCTTCAGCCTTTCGAAGTTCAAACTTGAGGTGTTGACGCAGGTGGGCACCCATTTGATCCCTTCGGCTGTTGCTTGGGCTAAGCCGCCTCTCGCCATCAGAATTCTATGAATATACTCTAGTTCGCTCAGCGCGCCAGGTACGAGATCACACCGTCCTTCGGTTTCCTTGGCCTGTTCCCCTATGGTATGTATGGTTAGGCCTCGCCCGCCACTCACAGCCTCTCGGAGCCGTTCGGCGAGCCAGCGCTCAAGTTACGCAGCGAGTCGGTTCAGTTCGGGGAATCTCTTTTTCTCTCGGGGAGGAATGGCCCACCGGAAGAAGGAATTCCCTCTGGCATGCCAAGGATTGCCACAAAACTCTGCGTCGTGTCCGATACCGCACCCACGTGCTTTACTCATCTCATTGGATGCCATCCCACAAGATCCGACGACCGAACGTACGGCTTCTTCCAGCCGTAAGGTAATATATGTGCCGCAGTATCGGTGTGAATTCATTACCCACTCGAGATCAGGTACTTCTTCACGTGGAAAACGTACTCCGAGTTTCTAAAGTCGAGGTTATTGGTCGTTTAAAAACCGTGACTTCCCATTGTCGACGGAGAAGGCCATCCGATTCGTCAAGCAGTGCCTCGGCGACCACGTGAGTCCGACTAGATCAGGGAGGGATCTAGGGTGAACGATTGAGAAGCACATTTCGGTCTCCCCAGCTTCCCTGGAGAGGGTTGGTAACGTGAAATACACCCCCGTCATTGTGGAGACTAGGGGGCGATTGCCATCTTGATACGATTGCTTGGACTAACAAGAAAGCGTGCTGAGGGAGGGCGGGTACGCGTTTTTCCAGACGGCCGATAAGGCACTTTGGAGCGTATATTATCACAGCATCCGCCCTCCTTGTGGAGCTATGTGTAACACGGCGTGTCAGCAATTAGAATATCCATGCATGTGCAGCAAGGCCATTCCCTTTGCTCACACGTCAAGGAGGGGGGACTGGCAACCTAGTGTTTGCAGCACTTTGCTGTGTGGGATTGATTGCAAGTTTGACAAGGGCAGGTTACCAATGTGAAGCCAGACTATCAAAAGAACTTCAAGACTTCTACTTCGACGGTGAATGAACAAGGGCCGGGTTGATGTGCCCATAGTCTACGACTTACCTAACCTTTGTGGATTTGTTGTTCCTTGCAAGGATAAACCTTGCGGAAACCGCTCTGTGATGAGAACGCAACTCCGTGCCAGACTGTCATTCTTTATGACGCAACGGCGTTCTCACAGTACTGTAAGAGACAGACGCTCGTCAGCCACTGCTAATATTATGGTCGTGGGTGTGGCAGACTGAGCCACATAGTGCACCTGGAATTTGGAATTTGTCCAAATCCACCCAGTTAATTCACCCCCACCACTCGTGGCCTCAAATTCACCTGGCCAAATTCACCAAGACCCCTAGTGAATATAGGTGAATTTCAATCTCACTCCCAGTCTCCCAGTCTTCGTCCACTGGAGGTGCCTTAGATTCAACTGCGGATCTAGCAACACCCATCCCTTCTCCATGTAGCTCACAGGTGGATACCAAGTCCCGGCTGGCAGTAGAGTTCATGAGGCATGGTCTTGTGGCAGTATGGCCAGCCGTGCTGTGGTTTGCGTTGACATTGACTTTGGAAATGTTAGCACTGCCCACGTCGTACTGAGGGATAGCAGTAGTAAACTAGTGCCTTGAAAATGACCATAACTAAAAAGGAAATCACGGTGAAGGACCGCAAATACTTCACCCCAAATTCACCCTCATCAAAGAGCCTTGGGCGAAATTCACTGTGAATGCCACCTAATTAACCAAGGTGAATTAACCCTTCGAAATTCCCACCCACCATTGACTGACCGCACCGTGGGAATGATGATCCAACTACCTTGGAGTCCCACCTTCTATAATCAACTCGACGGAAACGAGCTCTGCACACACAAGCCTGGGACTCGACAGTTTACAAAGGTAGAAACACTTGCATACCGGACTGGATTGGTGTGAAGTACAGTCGCAAGCTTCATATAATGAGGCTGAATCACTCGCGGGCAGCTAAAATGAGGGAAGTTAAAAATCCTAAGTATTTTTGCTATCGCAACTTGCAAATATACATGCGGGTACTTATAAAATGTGATACATCGCTACGTTACATTGTCCCAAGGGCTTGCCAAGGACTAAATATTATCGCTACGATGGGATGAGTACTTGAGTGCTAATAATATGCTATCTAAACACGGCAGGCGCGCTCGCTGGAACGAACGAAAACGCGGTGGCCCCCAAAAAAACGAAATCTATAAAACAGTGCGTTCCGAATTTATAGGAATTTATGAGTCATAATAAAATACGAAGGATGGTGGTAAATTTTCGAATTCGAAGCGTCCGAATGAATTTAATCACAGGTGGGAGGGCAGTCATTCTAAGAAGCCGAACCCGTTCAGCTTCGAATTGGAAGACACTCAGATATTTGGACAACTCACTGGACGTGCGAAAGTGAGCATATGACAGGTGATGTACCCTTTGGCGAAACCAGCCCCAGCATATGCGAACAGATATTGCCATTTCCGCTTGAAGACTTCATATTCAGCGGCGTCGGCCAATGCCGGATAATCCTTAATAATCAGTTCTTGTTTGACATTGGCTTCAAGGCGACGTCCCCATTCTCGGAGGGTTCGAGGGTAGTCTGGATTGAGGAGAGGCAATAAGGCAAACGGATAAATCATCGCAAACCAAAGGGAACATACGAGCAGCGTGATTTTCGACACCTTCGAGGGTGAATCGCCCTTCTGAACCGGAATTGGCTGCGGCGATCAACGCGGTAGCACTGGGCAGGCACGAGTTAGGCCACATGTATTTGCGCATGAAGTCCTCCGGCCTTTAAGGGAAGGGAAGGGAACCTTGCGTGAGCATGCGAATCGTGACTTCAAGGGGCAGAAGAAACTCACTGATAGCGGGAATAGCGTGACTCTGGGAAACTAGACGCACTAACCACGGCGGTTGCGTTTCGCGACTTCAGAGCGTAGTCGACAAGCTTGAAGTACGTGTGATAGTGCTGGGAACCCACGTGCTGTCCCACCAATTCGTGTGAGTGATAACAAAGGGAAACGGGGAATGCCTTTTTCTCACCTCCAACATTTCGATACTGACGAATGCGTCGAAGGCTTTTTCGAAGGAGGGAGGGATGTCGCGATAGTCCATAAGGTGGACTCGAATACGATCCTGAAAACCGGCCTCCTTGATACGCTCCTCCGCAAGTGCTTTCTGTTCCTTAGACAACGTCAAAGTATCGACCTCACACCCAAATGTTCTGGCAGCCTAACGACGTAATCGTGAGCGACAATTATGAGAAAGCAACGAACAAAACTCCTTCACCTCAATGGCGAGACCACCCCAACCAGAGCCAAACTCCAAAATTCGGTCTCCAGGCTTGACCCTAGCCGCGGTAAGGACATGCCGGATTTTGCGAAGCTGTGCCGTTTCGAGGTCCCCGGGCGTTGGCCCAGTTACCAAGTCCCCACGCACGCCACCCTCCGCGTCTGTCCACAGGGCGCAAGAATACATCATTTCCTTACTCAAGAAAGCCTAGAAAGCATCGATCACTACGTGATTCCAGTCAAGTAGATTATTCTGGAGATACCTTGAAGAGTTCATTTGATTGGTCGTAACTGGCGATGGCATTCAGACGGGCTTTCCACCGTGTCTGCCCAAGGAAGGCGTTGGAGAGGCCGGATATCGCCGATGCTACCCGGTTGGCAGCTGAAGAAAGGTGGCCCATACCAGCCTCATTGTCGAGCCAAAGCTGACATTACCAGGGTCAATGGACATCGTGGAAAGGCAAAAGTGAAACTTACATCGAAAACAGCTTTGAGGTTGTCCACTTGTACGTCGCCTACCATGTACGCTTCACTGACTGGGGACAAGAGGTTAGACACTCAGGGGGAAAGAGTGAGCCGATTTGATGCTCACACCCAAGGTCCTGAGAACTGTCTGGGGGTCAGCACTCGGGTACCTCGAGAGGGGAATAAGATGAACACGTACAAAAGAATACGAGTCCAGAAGTCATCTCTTGTGACTTTAAGGTGGACCTCATTGCAGTCCTTCGTGCGCGAACCAAAGTGGAATACGCCCTCGGAATCAGAGATGGTGAGGTAGCCTCTGACGATGGCTTTCTCCATGATGGCAAGAACAGAAGCACGAGCTGTTTCAGCTATTAGCGGATATTGATCGGAGACGCAGAGAGGACATCTTACCGTAGCCGACCACGACAGACCTTGGGTTCGGAACAACCATCGACAATGATGGCAGCCGGTACAGCTTAGGAGCTGAGGAGAGGGCGATTGCTGTCGATGGCGCTGTGTTCATCATGGTGGCCCGGAAGGATTAAGGTGAAGGTTATCTTTGGGGGAGGGGATCCGAAGCGGAGTGAAGACTGGACGGGATGGGGACATCCATGGGTCCCCTTTATACTCTCCCGTGGGGGGAGGGGGGGAGGACCTGCCGGTTCATAGGGTCCATAGTGTAACGCAGATCTGTTCTCGGTTAAACCACGGTGTATACACTCCTGAGTGAGTCTTTCCTGTAACAAACGGGGATTCGCGGGAAAGATGAAATGGATCTGAGATGAGATTGATGCATCCAGCTGGGAGGGCAAGGGAAGCAAAACATTCAAAATGAGTCCGGACGTAATAGCGTCGCCCTTCTCAAAATTAATATGAAAGAGAAACTCCTGTGGGTGTGCGACAATAATAATAATGATGGTGGCCAACAATATTGAGCTGTCGGTATGTATCGTCCCAATTTTGTTTACCAAATCGCGGAATGAAACATGATTGGACAGTTTGTACCGGCCACTGCTCCCCTAGATGATAATTGCATGCATCCACCCGGTCTTGATCTTGTCCTCTCGCCGGGAGTCTGTTGGTTGCAATATTTGTGAGACACAGCCATATGGACAGAACAACGTCCTATCATGAAACTTGGAGCCCGGGAGGCGAACTCCTCCATTTCATGAGCCATCCCGCCTCCACTAATCTGGCGGTGCCCTGACCTTGGAACTATTTTTTATTTATTTTCGACGCCCACATGACAATAAGGAAGATTCACTTTCGTCTCAGGAATGTAGCTAAATCAGCCGCTACAGAGATCTGCGAGACTGCGGTGCTGTCACGGTGAACTCGTCCCCCAGGGTTGGAAACGGAAACCCTCCACGTTCTTCGGGTCGGACAAGGAGCTGGCAGCCCGGTTCGGAGCGGGCGGCTCGGTTGGTTTACTTCCGTTGATATGGATGATCCTGAACCAACGACCCTTTTTGCAGGCCAAGCCCCGTCCAATGGCCTCATCCCAACGATGTTGCTTGAAACTTGGCGCCTGCACTCACGAATTTACCCGATTGACACTTTTTGGGACTCGTTGTCATCGATTTCAGTGTCGTGGCACTCACGCCTTCGCACACAGGCTGTCCAACTTGGTGGTCATTTCACTCTGTGCCCTGACACACACTGTTGCCTTGGAGAATTTTGTTTTAAAAACGGATCTTGCTGTGTATATAGTTCTAAGCACGATGCTTTATCTAAGTTTCATCGTGATGGAAAACAGCGATATGCAGTTCGACAAAAACGTTTCCTGCTCGAGTCGGCCTCTCCCGGCCGAACTCATAAATGTGGCAAAATGGCCGAAACCCATTGCTGAGATGGCCCACAGCTGCCAGAGTGACACCACCGTTTGTCTTGATGAACAATGGCCACGTCCTGAGGGCCTGAGTAGTAGGGTGCAGTTTGTGGAACAATTCCTTGATTGACTTTATTGGACTCACTAGAAAATCAAATGCCCATCTTTCCTTCCAGAAACTTTGTACCCATGCTCCAGTAATTTGATCTTGCTCGCAGCTTTGTTCAGAATGATTGTTTCAAAATCAATGAGACTATAATCGATGTCAGTGATTAGCAGCGGTGTAGGCGTCAGGTATGTCGCAGCGGCGGATTGGCTCTCCGCTTGTTCCCCCGTCAGACTCGAAGGAGGATGGTCGCTCCTCTTGCCCCGTCCCTGGCCTTCGGCTTCCTTGGCATATCTCTCGAACGAAGGGTTTGCACGTACTCGTCCCAACTTCCTCGACGTCTAGACTGCCTAGTTTTGCTTCCAGAGTATGGCTTCCGTGAGGCTGGCCGGGGTTTGCCATCCGGGCATCAACACCGCCCTGACCACGTATGTCGCGTCATACAGGTTCAATCCGGACCTCGACCGCGTGGCCGACGCTCTCGCGCCCTAGCTGTACCACGCTGTCCAGCCATCCATGCCGCAACATCCCTTAGGCGCTATTACGGACGTTTTACACGCACAACTGCGTTGCTGTTGCGAAGAATCGTGGGATCCCGACTCCCAGCCAGCGGGAACTTTTCACAACGGTGTAACACGGCCCCACTTGCGGACACGCCTCAGTGAGCTGACACGAAACGCGACGTAAGCGGATTAGGATGTTTACCCCAACGGGCATCAGTAAGCTGTTGTGCTCCCGACTATTCGAGTAGACGTGACTCCATCGATTTGTGATTGGCTAGCAAGTACCCGTTGGGTGTCCGCACCAAGGCTGATGGCGTGCAGCTTGCCAACCGAAAGTAGGTTAGGTCTGCGTTCTTCTAAATGAACTGTCTTCGTCCTTGCAAGACTAACTTGAAAAGGTTGGTTCTACCCACATATCTGGCACACCGGGTGACCTTAATTGCCTCTTTATTAGGCCATGCGACTTGATCCGCTGTCTTATCATAACTCGGTCGAAATTGAGCCGTTATCTCGAGTCGTTGCGGCGATCACCCTGAGAGAATGCGCAGCTGCGTGTAGGACGTATGAATTGTCTTTGGTGCCTGGCGGGTGAACCAGGAACATGTTTCCACCCGAGGTTCAAATGTTACCTGGCAGTTGTATAGGCACGCGTGCGACCTACATACTACGGTGATCGTGGAACTATGGTTTCTCAGCCGAATACATGTGCATGCGATGGCCAAGTGGTCTGTTGCGCCAGCAATCTGCTGTTCGGTCACCCGTCACCACTGGCGGGACCTTTTATACTGCGCACTAATAATGAGAACCAATGCCTATGTGCATTTTGATCGAAGAGCTGATCTTGTCTAGTAACGCAAAAGCTTAATGTTTGTTGACTGCAGCGCCGCTTTGCCAAGCAAGTCCAAGTCTGGCCGAACGTCGCTGGGCCACAAGTTCCCATCGTTTAGTCAAAGACGGTTAGTCAAGCATCTGACTGTAGGTCCACATGGTCAGTGCTATTGTGTGGGACGTACAGGGGTCGCATCATACTCCACTACGGATCAAAATCATTTAGGAACCTGTCGGTCGGCCGGACCTGAAGGAACATCCTTACACAGAAATCGGTTTCTAATAAGCGGTCATCGAATGGAACTTGCCTCGTGTTCTTTTGTAGCGGGTAATGTTTTGACGGTGGCACACAAGCTCTTAATACTTGCAGAATATTTTGCTTGCATTATGACTTTACAGCTCGGAGTTCGTTCCGATCTTCCCAACCAGCTCGACTCGTATTACGAATGACTTCATCGTTGATATTGCCTCCCCACTTCGTACAAGTTCGGTTCCGGACGTCACCCCCTTACCTTGGTGTGGTTTGACATATGGGTCTCAGCTTAGTACGCAGGTAGGTCAATATAAGTGGTCATCGAATGGCATGCTTCGAGCGGGATTCCATCGCAAGGTTTCTTCCTCCATTGGTTCAGCTGCACGGCATTTGGCATGACCTAGCGTTTAGCCTGAAATCGATCCATGAGTTCAATTCATGGCACGAACCTTGCGTCCTCAATTTGAGAGGTAGAAAGAAGGCCGCTGTCAAAATTTACGTGTGGGATTCAAGGTTCTGCACGTGAACAAAACACATGTCCGCATGAAAGGAACTCAGTGCTCAGATCGCCCAGCTTGCCGCCTACAATCAAAGCGATTTCAGAAGTAGTTGTCGGCAATCGGCGAGATGGCTGATCCTCCAAGAAGGAAGGCAAGGTACGCATGTCGATGGTCGAGGCTTGAAGCCGGCAGCCACTCAGAAGGCGGTCATAGTTAGCAAGGCCCAAAACACTCGAGATGGGCAGCGTATTGGATGGATGCTAAGCAGGAAGGGCTCGGGATAGCAATAGTCTGACCATTATTGCAATATCGTGTGGACAGTACCATGGACGTGACTCAAACTAGAATTCGAGAAGCATGGCTCTCAATTTGGAAAATATTGGACCTACAAAGAGGATACACGAGAACGGGGAACTGTGAGATCGACAGTCCGCAAACGGACCAGGTTATTGTTTTTTTGGGTGTCCACATGTCTTTCAAATATTTCCTCACCAAGTTAGTGTCAATCGGAGGCGATGATACGCCCTGTCAGACGACGGTCTGAGGTGGCGGCGGCGACACGGTGTCCAAACTATTCTCCCCTCCATCAGGGACCACTGAGCTGTAATAGAGCCTACGGGCGACATCCTCGACCACCCAGTCAAGGCCAGCAATTAAATTATAGCCCGTCACCGCACTGCAGGGAGAAATTTTCCAATGGTGCGATTTGATGCCGGACAAGCCAAGCAGCTGCACGAGAAGCGTAATCACATCAAGGTCGATGTTTCATTTAAAACAAAATACGTACGTCAGTGTATTTCCTTGTCCGTCATCGATCCGTGGATATCCTGCTTGTTGGCGAACACGAGAAGTGATGCACCCGTTAATCTCTGGTGATAGCGATAACTTAATATTCAGATCGCCTCGCCTCCGGGGCGTGGGTGGAAGCTAACTTACGTCTTCTTGTAGAAGGTTATGGAGTTCCTCTTTGCAATCCTGGATGCGTACGCGATCGCTGGAGTCGACGACCCACACAATGGCATCCGTCTGTTCGAAGTAATTTCTCCAGTAGGGCCGAAGTGTCCGTTGCCCTCCAACATCCCCTACAGACAATGCAAGCGGAAGAAAACGTCAGAGATACCATTACGATACAAAGGAATGAATTAGAACTGACAGATGTTGAGGGTATAACTGAATGATGAGAGGACGATCCATTGCAGAATAGTTTCTGTTTTCGAGAGTGTCGCCGAGAGAGAACCCTTCGACTTGGCTCACCTTCGATGAACAAACGTCTTGATATTGAAGCCAAGAGTAGGGCTGATACTTGATATGTCCTCTCCGCTGATCTTCTTCAGAATGGTGGTTTTACCCGCGTTGTCGAGTCCACTGGTAGTGAATCGGGATTGTGTTTCAGTCAATATAAGTTCCTTCTTAAGGCGGTTTCGTTTGACGAAACATACAGGAAAAGGATTCTCATTTCCTTCTCCTTTCGACGGCTTTTCCTGATGATAGTGAGCAGGCCCATGACGTTCCTTATACCTACCAGCTATTAGTAGGACTTGCCAAGTTTCGGTGAGGCAGTCCGGGGGTGGCGCAGTATTGCCTTCGGCATTCGGCAGCAATTCAAGTGCCGTGACCGCTAATACCTCCAGTACATACCACCAGCACACCTCACTGCGAGAGATCTAGCTTGTACCGGTGGTCAAGTCACTGTCGCAAGGTTGAAAATCACGCCATATAAAAAGGCTTTGGACAACTACGAGCAGATATGCCCCCAAAAAGCAAAGGGAAGAAGGGAAAGCGTGCCGACGACGATGACTACTGGTGTGTTCCAGCACTTATCTTCAGCGTGATCTCCATTTTCGAGCTAATGTTTCGCGGATGCCAGGGATAAGATGGGGACTCCTGCTCCGGCAAATCCCCTAGTTCCGGCGCAGATCACGGGGGGCGATGCCGCAGATGAAGTTGAGAGTAAACCGCAACCCTCTGCAATGGGATTCTCGGCGTTTGGTGCCCTTCATGTGGACGATGGTCCACCAGAAGTAGATGAAAATGAAGATTTTGGAGGTTTGATGGTATGCCCGATCGTATTCCTGAGAAGCGCATACTGTACACTAATTATATGTACATACAGTCTATGATCAAAGCGAATACTACAAAACAGAAGAAGGATAAGAAGAAAAAGGGCAGATTCCAGGCCGTTGAGGATGAGGATGAAGAGTTTGCCTCTCCGCGTCCACCAGCACCGCAGTTAGATGCTGTTGAGGACGAAGATACCGTCCTGGCTCCTTTCGCAAAGAAGAAAAAGAAGAAGGGTAAGAAGGGCGCCGACGATTCCGACGAAGATGGCGCACTACCCACTGCACCACCAGTTCCCAAAGGAGACTTAGTGAATGAGGACGATGGTAGTGAAGACGTACCAGGGCCTGCCTCAAAGAAGAAGAAGAAAAAGAAGGGCAAGAAAGACAAGGATATTGATGAAGAAGGCGACGCATTACCCACTGCACCGCCAGTTCCCAATGTGGAGGCCGCAAACGACGCAGGGGACGACGAGGAAGTAGATGTGCCTGGGCCTGCTTCGAAAAAGAAGAAGAAAAAGAAGGGCAAGCAAGATAAGGACGACGAACTGGAAGTTGCTCCATCGCCAGTTGCACCTGCCGCACCAGAGGTGGGAAAAGAAGATGCGGAGGAGGCTGAAGCTGGGGATGCTGCTGGGTCGGCTTCGAAGAAGAAAAAGAAGAAGGGCAAGCAAGATAAGAGCGAGGAAGTCGAGGTTGTCCTGCCGCCAGCTGCGCCAGCCGTTGAGGAGGCTGGAAAGGAGGCTGGGGGGGAGGCCGAAGGTGGAGGCAGTGCTGCTGCTGCTGCCAACAAGAAGAAAAAGAAGAAGGGAAAGAAAGACGAGGATGCGGGCCCACCGGCAGCCGTGCCTGTCCCCACACCTGTCATTGGGAAGAAGGCGGGCGGCTTGGGTGCACTCCGGGCAATGATGGAGGAGAAGAAGCGGCTGGAGGAGGAGGCCAGGCGCAGAGAGGAAGAAGAGCGACGGCGAATCGAAGAGGAGGAAAGGAAAGCAGAAGAAGAGGCTAAGCGGAAGGAGGAGGAGAGGCTCCGTAGGAAGGAGAGAGAAAAGGTATCTCATTTCGTCTGTGGTTACTGCTGCATCCCTCACTTTTTCTTTAAGGCAAAGCGTGACTTAGCTAAGAAGGAGGGTCGCTTGTTGACCAAGAAACAGAAGGAAGAAAGGGCTGCTGCTGAATTGCGACGACAAGCGTTATTGTCGTCGGGTGTCGTTGTTGAGGGCCTACAACAGCCCTCCGACATCTCCGGTGCCACTGGTAAAAAGGTGGTATATGGCAATCGGAAGAAGAAGTCAGCTGCTACAGGAAGGGAGACACCCATAACTTCGCCCTCGTCTCCTGCTCCTTCATCTCGCCCGCTAACGCCTGAACCAGCCCCTGAACCAACAGTGGAACTGGTAGAGCCATCTACCAAGGTCGAAGGCGTCAAGGACGATTGGGATGCAAGCAGCGATGAGGAAGAAACCAAACCTGTTACACATCCTGGTGTCAAAGACTCCTGGGATGATTCCAGTGAAGAGGAGACTGTTTCTCCACCTCCGACAACGAAGGAACCTCCCAAGCCACCCAGTGCTCCTGTGTCGAAGCCTTCGCGGCCAACACGTCAGCCCGCTGCGAAGGTGACTGCTGGTAGGTTTGGCGATCTCGGTTTCAATACCATCGTACTGATTTGGTCACAGAAGCCAACGGATCGGCGGTCAAGAAACCTCAACCTGCTGACGCAAGCGGATCATCAACGGAATCTTCATCCGAGGAATCTTCGTCGGAGGAAGATGACTCTGACGACAGTTCAGAGGAGAGCTCTGAGGAGTCCGATGATGGCCTTACGAAGGCGCAGCGTCTAGCCGTACAAAGGAAAGCTGAAGCGGTCGAACGCAGAGCGAAAGCCCATGAAGCTGCTCTGGCTGCGCGTAGCAAGGACGATTTACGCAGTCCGATTTGCTGTATCTTGGGCCACGTCGACACGGGTAAAACGAAGTTGTTGGACAAGGTTTGATGATTGCTTATTTCTCCACGTATGGCTAAATTCGTTGCTGTAGATTCGACAAACCAACGTCCAGGAAGGCGAAGCCGGTGGTATCACACAACAGATTGGTGCAACGTACTTCCCGGTTGATGCTATCAAGACCAAGACTGCTGTTTTGAATAAGGTTTTATCTGATATTGTTAGAAAAAAAAAGTCAGCACTGACATGCATGGTAGGACAATACGCAAGAGTACAAGATACCCGGTTTACTTGTTATCGATACACCCGGCCACGAATCATTCACCAACTTGCGGAGCCGTGGAAGTTCACTTTGTAATATTGCCATTCTCGTCGTCGATATTATGGTAAGCATTTTTCTGCCTGCCTTAGTTTCTTCATTCTGATGTGCGCATTAGCATGGTCTTGAACCTCAAACTCTTGAATCTCTTCGCCTTCTGAGAGACCGTAAAACACCCTTCATCGTTGCTCTGAACAAGGCGAGTTCCGCGCATTGCAGGTTCGTTTAGTTGTTAACAGTCCATCAGATCGACCGTATGTATGGCTGGAAGGCGACTCCAGACGGGGCATTCCAAGAATCACTTGCTAAACAACCGGTTTCTGTTAAACGTGAGTTTGAAGATCGGGTTCAGAAAACTATCCTCGCGTTTGCCGAACAGGGTCTCAACGCTGTTCTTTACTATGAGAACCGAAATTTTGCCCGCAACGTGTCCCTTGTACCTACGTCCGCAATTACGGGTGAAGGTGTCCCAGATATGATCATGCTTCTTGTGAACCTCACCCAACAGCGCATGAGCGATCGTCTCATGTACCTATCTGAACTTGAGTGTACCGTTTTGGAAGTCAAGGTCATCGAAGGTCTCGGAACAACGATCGATGTCGTACTGTCCAACTGGCATTCTACGTGAAGGCGACAAGATCGTCGTATGCGGTCTTAACGGACCAATTATCACCCAGGTTCGCGCTCTTCTAACCCCGCAGCCTCTGCGTGAGTTACGTGTCAAGGTCCGTGAAAACCCCTATCGGGAGAGTATTCATCCAATGATACACCTTTTTTTAGTCACAATACGTTCACCACAAAGAGGTCAGAGCGGCCCTTGGTGTCAAGGTTGTGGCACCTGACCTGGAGAAAGCCATCGCTGGTTCGAGACTTCTTGTAGTTGGACCAGACGATGACGAAGACGATCTCCGAGACGAGGTCATGTCCGACCTCACTTCACTTTTGAACTCCATTGACAAGTCAGGCCGTGGTGTCTGCGTACAAGCCAGTACACTGGGGTCATTGGAGGCGCTGCTTGACTTCCTTAAAGTCAGCAAGATCCCCGTAAACGGCATTAACATTGGTCCTATTCACAAGAAGGATGTCATGCGTTGTGCTACTATGCTTGAAAAGGCTAAGGAACTCGCAGTTATTCTTGCCTTCGACGTTCCAGTAGACAAGGATGCAGAGAAATTGGCCGAAGAAATGGGCATACGGATATTTAAGGGTGGGTTTCCCGAAGCATCTGTCAGCGCGTCGTTGACAGTATCCTTGTAGCTGACATCATCTACCATCTCTTCGATGCGTTCACGGCCTACAACAATGAGATCATGGAGGCCAAACGGAGAGATGCAGCTCCTCAAGCTGTCTGGCCATGTCGTCTTAAAATCATTGCTGCATTCTGTAAGCGCGACCCGATCATCTTGGGAGTCGATATTCTGGATGGAAACTTGCGCATCGGAACGCCCATGTGCGTTGTGAAGGTCGATCCGACGACACAAAAGAAAGATATCATTGACTTGGGAAAGATGTGCGTCCTTTATTTCCTCGTTATCTACAATAGCTCCATGGGCCGGCCAACAGCACCTCGCTCGAAATCAATCACAAACCGTTCGAGGTAAGGGTGGATCACACTGAATTCATTTTAACTAACAATGTTTCGTTGTCCTATCAGATAGTCAAGAAGTCTCAAGCAGGTGGAGGCGTTGCAGTGAAGATTGAACATGCAGTTTATCAGTCTGCGAGAATGTTCGGCCGACATTTTGACGAGAAGGATGAACTCATTAGCCACATCACACGTCAGAGCATTGACGTTTTGAAGGTGAGTAGACATTGACACCATGTAGTCGTTTGTCGCTTAGATGTGCGTTCCAGGCGACCTTCAAAGCTGAGGTATCAATGGAGGAGTGGGCGCTCATCAAGGCACTAAAGCCAGTCAGTATACTTGATCTGTCGTTCTTCTGTCCTCACTGACGTGAGATCTCTCGCAGCGCCTGAATATTCAGTAGAACCACATACATAGCTCATGAGGTGTACCTACGTAACTACTGCCCTCGGAATACGGTTTTGTCCAAACCAGCCGTTAGCCAGCCGGATTCTTAAATTCTGAATGACATTTCGTGAGATTATGGAGTCCAAGTGGCGCTTATCACACCGGATAAATATCAAGTCACTTGGAAGAAAAAAGTATCGCTTCTTCTTTATCTCCTCAATGTCTGCTCCTGCAAGTGTCAGCGGTACTAACAAAATCGTCGCCAACGATAGCGAAGTTGTCGCTGTCGTGGATAGAGACGCATTGCAACTGGTGATTAGCGGTATGGCGCCATGGAGGGATGCCTTGCAGGGACTTGATGCGTTTGTGGATTACCACGATAACTGGTAACGTCGACTTACAAACGGCGAACTGGAATGGGCTGCGGGTATCCCTGGTTGTTGATCTGGAGGGGAGAATGACTGTGTCTCGCCGACCATCACGTCCGAGCCTCTAGAAAGACACCAGGGATTGAGATTATACCGCTAGAACCTGAACAGTGCTCATACCTGCGTAGGGAAGCCCACCAGTGTCGCTGTTTATGTTACGCTCCTACGGGAGCCACCCATGCATTACTGATGCTCACTTTTTTTTTCCTGCCTAGAATCAACTTGGCTATAAACAGGTGAGTGAGACTTGAGCTTTTTGATGTTGTCCCACTCGTTGAATGATTCATGATTTAGCAACTACACCGCAGCTGGCACCTTATCGAGAGTTTTGCTGCCAGCTTCGTCGCTCTCAACTTTATTGGTGGTGTCCGGTACGAAACATATTTATTTTGTCTTTTGTTCCCGACTTACAGCATCGTTCAGTTCTGCACTTTTCCTCGGTCTACTCGCGGGTGGTCCTGCCGCGATATGGTCGGCAGCACATCTATGGCTCATTGTCTGAAAGTTAACCCTCGAATAGGTCATCGTACGCCGTTACTATGATCTTCATGTTCATTACGGCTGTAGTGCTGGCGGAAATTTGCTCTGCCTTGCCTTTGAGTGGTTCCATATACATCTGGGCTGCCGAGAGTGCTGGTCCTAAATATGCGAGATTTGTTGGCTTTATCGTCGCTTGGTGGGCTTGTACGGCTTGGATGACGTTTACAGCAAGCAACTGTCAGGTTTGTAAACCCGTTTCGCTACCAATGCCTTCTAATACGTTTCCTTAGGCGACTGCCAATTACATCGTCTCTCAGATGGCCGTATGGAATGTCAATTTCCCTGGCGGTGTAGGAAATGACAACATTCAATGGCGTGCCCTTATTTGGGGTATCTCTGAATTGATGCTTTTACTGTCTGTCACGATGAATTACCTCCCGCCGAGACTATACTCCTTCATCTTCAAATTCTCCGTTGGCCTTATGATGCTAGACTTTTTCCTATGCCTCATTTGGTTACCCATCGGTGTCTCGAAGACCTATGGTTTCCGATCTGCGAAAGACGTTTTCACTATGACATGTACGTTCCCTTGCTATCATTGTAGTCCTGGCAGGATCATTCATCAATATGCAGACAATGGTACCGGGGCTCCGCCCGCATGGAACTGGATACTTTCTTTGTAAGTCTTGACATCGCCGTTCTCGTCACGTATTCACTCTCATTGTAGCCTATTCACTGCTGGCACGCTGACCGGTTTTGATGCATCCGGGCATATAGCTGAAGAAACAATGAATGCCAGGTCTGTCGCACGAAAGCGAGATGTGAAATTTGGCACTTACCGGTACTACTAGTGTGGTTGCTGCGAAAGGTATTCTATCCAGCGCGATTGCGACGGGCGTTCTCGGCTTTGCCACCACGATCCTGTTTCTCTTCTGCACTCCCGATCTGGACACAGTATTTTCATTGAATGCACCGCAACCGTTTGTCCAGATCTATGCGCTTGCCCTGGGAAAGAAAGCGAGCATCTTCATGACGATAATCGCTGTTCTCGGTCTCATCATGGTTCGTGACAAGCTTCTACCAAGAAACGGACCCAGTTTGAATTGACTACTTCGTAGAATTCCACTGTTGCCATCGTCGCATCATCACGGTTGGTGTTCGCTGTTGCCCGTGATGGCGTACTGCCTTTGTCTCGCTGGGTTGGCTGCGTGGATTCGAAAGGCCAACCTCGCAACGCGGTCACTGTCATTTATATCTTTGCTGCTTTGCTCCTCTGCACGATCTTGCCAAGCCAGGTGGCATTCACATCGTTGGTTTCGGCCGGGGCGGTTCCGACTATCGCTGCCTATGGATTGATTCCGTTACTCCGCCTAACGATGACGCCAAATCACTTCCAGTCATCGCACTTCCGACTTGGAAAGTATGCGAAACCGTTCTACGTGTGCGCTGCGTTATTCAACGCACTTATCTTCGCCGTATGTCCGCACTAGTGAAATTATTCTTTTAACTAACATAGCATCATCTTAGGTGGATATATCACCATTCTACTTCCCTGTTACGGCCAATACTTTCAACTTCGTGAGTTATGGTGCCTCAACCGTTGAAGCGCATCTCTGATCAGATTGCATAGGCAATTGTTATCTTCATTGCGATCACCATCTTTGCGGTTCTTAGCTGGTACTTTATTCCTGAAGAGAAGTGGTTAAGGAGGGAGCAAGTTTTGCGGGCCATGGATGCTTCCGAAGGCCAGGAAGAGCACTAGATGCTCAAGGTATAATCGAGATTGGTACATCCTTTTGGTACGGAACATATTAAAGTGGTTGGAGACCCAGTAGTCCTTGACATGCTCCTTCCACGTCTGCAACCTATTTGAAAAATATGACGGTTCATTTATTCGACACGTCGTGAGAGATTGAATACCAACCTCTTTTGGCGCTGCAACACTAAGGATCATGGGATGTTCCTTGCCTACTAAAACCTCATCCTGCGCGCATACACAGTAAACCCGTGAGATCTCTTTATTCAGAAAGGCTGTGACTTACTTCAATTCGAATTCCCATATTATGGAAATTTTTGGGGAATTGAGGCAGGGGCGGTACATAAATACCTTGGAAACACACGGAGAATGCTTTAACAGCGCAGCCGCGATTAGGTTGTGTAATTTCATATACCTGGTTCTATGGTAATAACCATCCCCGCCTTTAATCTGATGAAGAGATTGTCCCATATACGGCGTATCTATTTTAGCTTACGAAAAAACTTACAGTTCTCCCCGATCAAAATTCGACGATTCGTGCAAATCTATCATGGACACGTCAGCGGCCCGTTGCTAGCCCGTCTGTCAGAATGCAGATAGGGAGACTCCCACCTATGCCAATAGGGTGGCTCAAGAAATGGGGGTAAAGGACTCGCTCCACTTCGCCCGCGTGTAGCCGAAAACCGAGCTGGTTGAGTTCGACTCGGAGAAAATCGCATGAGCGTCGGTGGAGTTCGTGTAAGGTGAAGGATGCAGTTTCGGTGCATTGGCCAATAAGAGCTTTTTGAGCAGTAAGGACAGCAGTGTAAAGATCATGTTGTGCTGATGTAAAACTTCCCGAGGCTGGATATGTACGTGCTAATGAATGCAGTTGCGGGCAAGCCATGGGTTAATGGTAATAAAGCACATCACAACAGTATCACTGACTTATATCTGAAGCATAACCACTGAATTTGTGATTGTGTCAGTAATAGATGTGTCGATAGAAGGCAGATGTACACCATACTTGTATTCGCACCCAGCATCCACTAGAATCAGCTCGCCATCCTGGATAACTTGGTTGTTCGACGTGTAATGTATTATGAGTGCGTTAGGTCTAGAGTATATGAAGTCATCAGCATATCCTTGCCCTACCTGAATAACAAAAAACTTACCCGGATGCAACGACGGGTACATAAGCTAAGCGTTGAGACCCAGAGAGGCTACAAAGATATTCGAAATGAGCTGCAATCGCACTCTCTGATGTACCTGGCTGAGTGAACCGCATGGTCTTGGATGATCGGATAAGCTTGGCTTATTGGAAAGGAACACAACACCGACCTTTGCGAACGCATGGCCACTAATGTCTGCAGCGGCGCGCATGACCTGTTGTTCACGCTTGCTCTTAATAGACCGCAACTTCGCTATCAAAGGAGCCAAAGGTTGCCTTCTAGGAATCAAGAGTGAGTCGACCACGGATTCACATTCTGAGTTGGACCGGGCAGAGGGCTGACAGGTATCTCAGCAAGGACTTTGCTGTCCGTGGAGGCCGTTTGGTGGACGCGTTGGGTGAATCAATGTAGATATTGGAATAAATGCCTGCAAGAGATTTAAGCCGAGCAGGAAATACGTGAATGGGCAACGCATCGTCAGCCCTGAAGATGGAAACAACATCTTCGAAACTTGTCCTAATCGACACAGGGTAAGTATGAGGCAAAGGGCAGACGAGGTATGGGGTCACCTAGCACCCTCCCATTTTTCCTTCGCAGAATCCTTTCCGCTGGAAAATAGCGTCATCCGATATCCACGAGAATTGGATGTCTTCTCTAGAACAGGGGGTAAAGGGGTCACCTAAGCTGTACATACACTCAGGCTCACCAAGTATGACAGCCGCGTCGGGTTCCTCGAAACCCGTTAAATACCAAAAGTCAGAGGCCTGACGGAATTTATAGCTACTCTGAGGTTCAGGGGCTCAAGAGTGCAGACCAAGTGCAGATAACCTACAAAATGTCTTTGAACGAATGAGACTCATCATCTACACGACGACTTCCGACGGTGCGACGCACTTCCGCTCATATATTTGATGGGGGCTGCTACCAATACGACAAGAGAATCGCTCGGAAGGCTATCCATGAGGGTCCTCCGCCGACATTCATACTCATCAGCAGGTATACCAGGTGTCAGTTCGTGCGGTTTCACTTTCAAGGGAAGAAGAGATTGTTTCAGCACTCTATCCATTGGGTTCATCCAGCGAAACACTCACGGAGGTGGGGGTGAGATGGGAATAGCGGTTGGCCATAATTTGAAGGTTTATGGTTCTGCGCGCTACCGGCCACTGTTGCGAGTGCCCTCAACCCGCGACCGCACGTTCTCAGAGGTGCTGTGGCTCGCCATATGGGCTTTTGCAACGCCAAACGCAGTTGGCGGACTGACATGGACCAATGAAAGGTATATACAAAAATGGTAAGTACAAGTAAAATAATTCAAGACATAATCACGCGCGCTTGTACTGCAATTAGGCCGATCAAAGGGGGCATAGTCTGGTGTGGAGGCGGAGCATGGGCTTGGTGCTGCACCCCCACAACGACGCTCGCATACGCTAACCATGCGCTATGACTGGGAACGATACAGCAGACAAGGCATCGACGTGGCTTCAACACTCACCGCGCTCGCCTTTTCTGCTGTAAGAACGACTACAAAGTTCGGGGTGCGTCTTCCGTTCGTGCTCGTGTGCCAGTCAATAATGCTCAGTCGATGTTACTAAGTTTTCGCTCGTCCGCAACGTCGCATCTAGTACCGTCGGTGCAACGGCCAATGCTCTTGATTACACTGTGTTCGGCAACAACGTCACCGCCCCAGTCATTGAAGGGGCCGTTGCCAGCGCCATAAACTTTGCAGAGGCGCTTACCCTTGCGCCGATTTTTCTTGGTGAATATATATCCGCTGCCTCTCTACGGGTGGCACACAGCTCCATCGATATCCTTTCGATCATATTCTCTGGCAGCACTGAGGCTTCCTTTTCATTGGTCTCTTTTATTCATCTGGTGAAACGAGAATGGTACAACCCAGCGGCGCCAAAGGGGAGCATACCCAGGAAGAATTACGGCATAAGAGAGGTCGGAAAGGCCATCGTCGCTTGGGTAGCACTTCAAGGCGTGACCCAGGAGTGGCACGAAAAAGAGTGGAAGAACTCTCTACGCGAAATCGAGGTGCACGATCCACATAGTGGACCACAACTCAAACGTGTGCCGTCGCGTGTCCGTGTCACTTCCGACGTCATCTTCCCAGGAAACCGTGGCCAGCTCATTTCCGCAGATATCGGAGAGGCTCCCCCAGGTACCCAGAATACCCGCAAGCGATCCTTGAGTGTTCTCTCCCGTGTTTCGTTTTCATCCATGTCGACTGTTAGGCGAAAGGATAAAGAAGACCTCTTTGAGCGGCCACAGAAATCAATAGACGAGATTAAATCAAATTTACGACGCTTCTCGAAAATGGTTTTAGCGGGGTACGGCGGTGCCAGTCTGTTGTTCTTCGGGGTTTCACCCTGGCTCACTTCAACATCGAACCGAATAACGCCCCCTACCACAAGAAACCAGAAAGAAGTGGAAGAGGCTCAGTTGGAAAGTGCTATCAATGCTGCAGAAGCAGAGGCTGAAGGCGATTCTTCATACCCTTCCTCGACGCCCGATAATTTGGAATTTTCGTGGTGGGATATCCTAATGGGAAAGCATGATAAGGAAATATTTGAGAGGTCTGTGCATGGCGATACTCCGAATACCCGGGACGTGCGGGCCCGCGTCCGCGCAACAGCAGTCATTGGTATCGAACGGCAGATGCCAAGATTTTGGGTGCTCACAGACCACGACAGACGTCAGGTCGTTCTCGTTCTTCGAGGTTCGTTCTTTTATAGAGGACGGCTCGCTCCTACGGAAAGTGGATGTATTGAAATCCTTACTTCACAGGCACCATGTCCCTGAACGAGCTAGCAGTTGACCTGACTTGTGTACCTGTCGAATTTATACCTTCATGGAGCGTGTCGGGAGAAGACAAGTATCATCACGATACCCATAGCCCTAGCGATAACAAAGTACCGGCTGCGAATGCAGGGCGACCACAGCTTCCCAGAAGGCCGTCGTTGAGGTCATACCCGTCATTAGATAGACGTCCGCGATACCATGTTCACGGTGGGATGCTTCGCATGGCGCGTGTGATGGGTGAAATTGGAAAGCCTGTACACCGTGCTGTAGCGAACGCTCTCAGCCGAAACCCTGGTTATGGTTCGTCCACGAAACCTTCCATCGCGTCTACTCCGTGAACTAATGGCGTTGTTTGGTGGACACAGAATTGATTCTCTGTGGGCACAGCCTCGGAGCGGGGGTTGCTACATTACTCGCTCTGGTGAGTGGCATTCCAGAGGAAGTGAAGAGGGTCATTACGTGTCTCATCAATTCCACGCATCAATCACAGATGTGGGCAGATCCGACAACGTGCTTGACCATTCCTTCGAGTGGATTGCCAGCCGACTGTCCCGTATTCGTCTATGCATTCGCTCCTCCGTACGTGGCTTCTTTGGGTTTTTGATGTAAAGCCTCACCGCATTTCCGGCCCCGCTGGAAACAGGTGCCTTACGGATGCAACACTGAGCCACTTGGCGTCGAACTTGGTAGTCTCGTTTGTATATTCGGACGATGTTGTATCCAGGCTCTCGTTGGGATCCGTCCGGGACATCCGGAATGCGGCTTTGTTACTTTGTGACGCGAATGAAAGAGGGGAGGAGGGGTACTCAGTCACTACGCAACGAGCCAGGGAATGGAAAAGCGGGAAAGGGTCCGATGATGATTTTCGATGGGTAAGTGGTTGTCTGGATCCTGCTTGAGGCGGGGTGCGCACTGTCGGGCGGACTTTTCTGTTGTTCATGATTTCTTGTCTTTGCTAATGTTTTCCATCCGCAGTTTCTGGCGATGCGTAGGACGCTCGAGGCCAATATGCATATGGCAGATCTCTTTCCACCAGGTCGCGTCTTCTGGGCGCGTAGAGAGGGAGATCTCCCACCTTCCCAAAGACTGACAACTTCGACGGACAAAGTTAGGCTTTTCGAGGTGCTGGATACCGAAAATGTCTTTTCACAGATTGTCTTTTCACGTAGCATGTTGGGGTACGTCGTGGCTTTTCTCTCTCACACTGACGGCCGAACTGATATGGCATTTTTGTCTACTTAGTGCTCATATGCCGCACAGATACGATCAAGTTTTACATGAACTGCTATGACTTCTTGGTCTAGAGTGGGTCCACGAGATCCTCACCGAGTTATCTGTATATCGCTGAGATTCATTACACATTCCACGGTCGTTACTACTAATTTACGACGCATGTAATACCAAGTACCCCGAAGCAAACCAAGCGACGGGATACACCGTGTACATATAACTGTAACTTTCTTGTCGTTCAACTGATTCGATGTTTCGAACGAATTCAGCCGCTTAGGATGATATGCTGTCAGGTCCAATGATGTGGTACTGTTTCATCATTACTATTGAGGCATATCACCATGTGGCAGTCAATGATAAGTGCAGGATAAATTCGATGATCGCTAGTTCGTGCCAGTGCTGGTAAGCTTGATCGGAAATGAGCCATTTGCTTATCTAATGCCGAAGTTGGCCTAATCGGCGAATCCCGTGCGCCCCGCAGACGGACTCAGCACAGAAGCGGGGCTCTGTCCAACGCAACATGATTGCATGCACGGTTCTGCTGGCATTGTTGCCTGTCGCTGGCGTATTTGGATTCTCAAACACAGTACCATTCGTTGCGTGGTCGTCGAAAAGGTATGATGCATATATTGCTACCGTTATTGACAGTCAATCAACCAGAACGCGCAGCTCGAATGTACTTTCACCTATTTCACCCAGTACGCACCCAGACCACGGCGCGTTACTCGAAAGCATAACGCAAGACGAAAATATTTGCTCGTTCGATGCCATTTTCGTGATTGACCATCCAGGTGTAAGTCGCTCAGGTCCTCCGCGTGTACATCCTTTGTTTGATTGGTCGAACTCTTTCAGTTACACAATTCAGACCTCCGGGATTTGCATCCATCGTGCGGCGTCGCAACCGCTCTCAAGAATGCACCGTCCTCTCGACAGTTCCCTCACGTCGAGCAGAGGATCGTGTCTCCGGATCCAGATTCGTTCTCGGAACGAGTCGCGAACCAATGCGACTTTGCGTTGGTAGATATCAAGCCCGAGTCTGGCGTATGGACACTCGATGGAAATAAGAAGCACATCTTGACGATGTCGATGCCTCCACTCGGAGGCCCCGCCACGCACCGGAAAATTGTTATGTCTCAACACGGTATGTGCATGCATATCCTAAGCGGACCAGTACGCTGAGACTATGTTCCTTGAACCTCACTTAAAGAACAACTCATCTCTGGAGCTTTGGAGAAGCTTGCTGTTCTATCACCCAACCACCTGGTCCTCTATTCGGGGGCCCCACTTCCAGCAGAGAAACGCCAGCTATCCGAATTTGATCCAGATTTTGACGAAGATGGCGATGACCCAGTATTCCAAGCAAACGTCATAGCTGCCGCTCCAGCAGACGGAAGCATTCTCCAGCGATACCAGCTCCTAACACCTGCGCTCATCATGTCACTACTGCTCGTCTTCGTCATTTTAATACCGATTGTGGTGCTTGGTATTACAGCGCTTGCCAGTATTCAATCACCTCTGCGTACTGAGGCACCCGCAAGCTATAGTGCTCACGAAAAGAAGGTCCAGTAATACGTGGCTGTTGTACATTGCGTAACATTCTATGGCGCTACCATTAATTACAATCTCTGATAACAGAAAGGGAGGTATCAATGCACAATGGTTTTACACGTAAGGATACAAGGCAATCTAGCGAGAGCAACAACCAAGTGACAACAGACAGATGGAAGTGGGCGGTAGGTACTAAGGGTTGCAGAAGAGCGTGGGGAATCAAATCCGGTTACTCGGTATCTTCCATCTGGAGAGCATCGTGCATTATCTCGAGTGCCGCCAAATGAAGCGGTAGGAGAGGGTAATCGTCCGATCCTTGACCTCGCACTCCCGCAAGGACCGCGAGCTCGTGGTAATTCCGAGTAATTTCCTGGTGCATGACGTCGTCTGAAATTGCCATCGATGAGCCAGAGGATCGGAGGGTATGAAGCAGATGGATGTGAAGGGTAGGGTAAGTGGTACCGGCCGCAGCCTGCTTCGGAGGGGCATGCAAAAGAATTGTTGTGCTAACGGGGAGGAGGGGAAGAGCATCAGTAACAGGTGCACCTTCGGAGTCAGGAATAAAAGAGGCGCCTGCCCAGTGTTGCGTTGTCGGTGCTGCGAGGGGAATACGGATGGTAGGGTAAAGAATATACGTTGCCGCCGTCGAGATGTCAACATAGAGAGATTTCGTGGAGTCTTTGTTAGACGTCCGGCGTGGAAGTGCCTGATGACCAACGTTGTTTGGCGGGTTTTGCAAGAATGACCAGGACGTGGTGCAGTCGGCTGAAAGTATGCTTATGTGGAAGGGGGGTATGTCACGACATAGAGGAACGGTAGCTGAGAGATGGTGTATCCAAGCTAAAATGATAAGTTAAGTAAATTGACTGAACCTAGAAGAGAGGGGGGCAAAAAACTTGCCATCGAGTTCGCTTGCAGATAGGACTCCGAGCTTGGTTATCACCAATCGCCACTCTATATTTGCCCTCCGAGCAAACCGCGCTGCGAAATTCCAGATTTGCACTACCGCCGAAGTCTCCACGTCGTCATGTGTTAGCCAAGTACCAACATCGTAACTCTCTCCTCGTTGGTCAACACACGACGCCAACAGCCACTTCCCGCACGATGAAAACCGGTATCCTACATGCAGAAACGTATGTCGGTCTAGAACATCCAACGAGCGAGCCTGTCCATGTTGACTAAAGAGGACAGTTGGAGTGATAGGTCTGGACAGCGTGAACAGCGGTTCTTGAAAATAAGCTTGGGTCGGCTCTCCGGTTTCGATGATTTTGCGGGACATAGTACGTTTTACCGCTCGCGAAAGTCGCTGGTAGACCGAGAAACAGAGGGTCTCGAGTTCGGCGACGTTGTCCGTCCAGTCATGAGTAGCGATGACAGCCTCTGGAACCAGGTGGAAAAGGACGGGAAAATTTGCGCAAGATTTTTGAAGGCGCTTGATAGTAGATAGGATTTGTCGGAACAATGGAGAAGCCAACGACATTGCCAGACCAGGAATCGTAATATAAATAACGAGTGTATTTGACGCAGAAGGAAGACCGCCAATAAATGAAACTTGGTGACCAGTCAGGAAAAAAAAAAAGATGCATATATAAGTTTAACACGTACCAAGATGCTTGCGTAGCGTATCCAGACGCCAAGCCAAAATACCGTCAGATATACAAAGAGCATGAGTTCCCAAGTTATGTGAACCAAGATGATGACCCTGATAACGATGCTGTGTGAATGCAACGACGGACGGAATAATATAGCATAACTTACACTGTAAACCGAGGACATCCTTCGCAACCAAGTCGCAGCTGTTTGTGGCTGCAAAGGGCCGTTGTCTTCAATGACTAGAAATGAAGTGACGTCCTTATTGCCTCCAAGAGGGGTCAAACCAAGTTTTCCCCAGAACCGAAGTGATGATGGCAGTAATTGCACTACATGATCCCCCTTTCCCATCGAAAGCATTGGAGGTTCGAGCCGTTGAAGGAGACTTCGTTCGGGCGCTGTTGCGGCGCCCGAACGCGACAGGATTTCAGTGACGCATTCGGTTCCCGCACGCTTTCCCAGAAACGAAGACAGCTCTAGCGGGCCGTCTAGTACATGAACTCGCTTTATGATCCCGGCTACAGCAGCGACGTCCGCAGGCCATACATCATCTTGCCTGCTTGGCAGGACGTGAGCTTTGCTGGCTCGCCATGCCTTGGCAAAGATGGCGTTCTCAACAACTTCGCGTGCAAGCATGTTACCAGCTGCTTCGAGGGACTTGGACTTTTCAGAAGCCGCGCCTAGAACGGCAGCAGGAGAAACTGGCGTTGGAACGGAAACCGGGACGACAGAAGGGATGGTCATAGGAGCGACTGCAGCTCCGGGTGATCGAAGTGGCTTACTAAGAGGGAGCAGGTAAGGATGGTGAAACTGCATGTGAAGCAATGATGCTCCTAAAGGCAGATATGCTGGAGGGGGGGTCGCTGGACGAGGCAATGCACCGACATCCGCAATATCTAACTCATCGGAGTCGGAAAGGGTATCTGAATCAGGATCATCAGGGTCAGCAACGACGCTCCCTGTTTCATCCCGGACATTGTCATAATCATCCAACCAGCTCGGATGAGGGCGTCGGGGTCTGCCTTGGTCAATGGATTTGCGCTTGACGCCGATGAGCCGTCGAACGACGCCCACTCGGTGGTCTGTCGCGGCCCTGTAACGTTCCTTCCAACCGTTCGCGCTTGTTGGTGATACAAGTGGGATGGGTTCTGTGCGGTCCTCTTCATCTGGCGGGCTCGGGAGTGCGAACTTGCCCTTATCGTATTTGGAGTCAGAGAGTCTGTGGCTCTGTGCGAAAGGTATAGGATCGAAGGTCGAAGTAGCTATCAAGGACATGGGTTGATGAGTTTGCGGTGTCGCAGCCACAGACTGAGCATGGGGGGTTATTTCAGGTGATGGTAGTAACTCCGTGCACTCAGACGCCAAGTCGTGCGCATTGGAATGCAAATCGGGACCCATAGGAATGAAGGTATCCGTGCTCGTGATTATCGCCGTGTGTGGCATACTGGATACCGTCGGAATAGCGAGTGGTGTACTCTGTGAATGGTTCCTACTACTTAACAATCCTGACGAGAATCCCAGTGTAGTTGGCGGCCCCACAGGTGGTACAAAGCGGGTTGAAGGTGCAGAATGGGCGTGAGAAGTGCTTGACGGTTGATCGAAGAAGTCGAAATCGTCCTCTGTGAAGGTAATATCATCCTCGAAATCTATATTCATGCGCGAACCACCGCCGGCCCCTCCCCCTCCCCCACCGGTAATATCGCCGACGTTCATGTTGAAAGGCATATCATAACCAATGTCAAGGTTCATGAGCTCGGAAGGACCTTGAGACCAAGAGGTGCCCATGTTTTCGAAGGCGTCAAACGCAGACTCAAACGGCGCCGTTGCGGCCTCTAGTTGGTCAGATGGCGCTGACGGGTCAGTATGAACCATGGCCGGCGTCGACACGGAATCAAGCGACTGGACAGATGGCTTCCCATTGGTAGATGACGGCGATGGATAGAACGTATTGATAGCGGGTGTATTGGTTTCTGGAGTGTCGGGTACCGCAGGTTGCGAAAGACCTGGTGTCGTGGAAGGGGGAGCAGAAAGCGTTGGTTCATTCGGTGTGCTGGAGGTGACGAGTGTCTGTGTGGAGGTTGGCACTGTAACACTAGCAGGAACCGCTATGGGTGTTGTAGCTGTTCGAGGCGAGCCGGACAACTGTGCTTCGCGTTCTCGGCGTATACGCTCACGTTCCTTTTCACGCTCCCTAGCAACGGACTCGATATAGGAGCTTATTTCAGAAGTGACAGTGTCGATATTTGATGATTTGGAAAGCGACACGTATCTAAATGCACGGAGAAGGTCGGAGGTGGGTGAGACGCAAGTACGTCTAAAGAGAGTACGGTTCGTCAAAACCGAAATGGAAGGGATTGTAAGGGTATTTCCAAGCTCCGAAGAAGCGGACTCTGCAAAGATGGGGGATGAAGGCAGTGGTGGGGAGGGTTGAAGTTGAGGGGGTAGCTCAGGGATATGAGATAAAGATCGCGTAGATTGTTGAGTAATAATGGTAGAGGAAAGGCAGAGGCGCAAAGGCCAGATTATGGGCATGCCTTTATCCTCACCCTGCTTGTTTTGTACGGCAAGCCATGCGATGATGTAGGCAGGATCTTGTTGTCTTTGAATATTTAGCCGAGATAGTTTATTTTTCTCCGGCTTTGGAATGGTGCCACACAGCTTCCACTCTCCTACACCTAGGCCTGCGAGAGACTGTTCGAACTGAGAGGTGACAGCTGAAGTTGGTCCGGTGTACGCGGAAAGATAATAAGCAGGGACTCCGAATGGGAGCAGGGTAATGGGTGCACCAGCAGCCACGGGTAACGTGACTTCTAGTGGAAGAAAATCAGTCGGACGAAAGTGAGCGTATACTTCGAGCCTCGATCGACTCAAGTGTATCTCGAGTTGGCAATGCACGAGTGGCCTGATGGTACCATCAGCGACTGTCAATAAGATGAGATGGAGAAAAGAAATATACCTCAACTGTGCACCGTGCGACCAATCTGCTGCCCATTCGTCTGAGCAAGGGGATGAACTCAGTAGGAAGCCGTTCATCATGCGATGAGCCGAGCCACCGCTGCCAGCTGGACTTTTTGATGCTTCTGTGATATCATCAATCAGGCGAGTTCTAATGGCCTCTAGGAAGTGGAAGTAAACCCCACGCAATGGCTTGCGCGGAAGCAAATTGGCGGCCGAGAATCCATGAGCGGAAGATGAAGGACTCGATGACCAACTCAAGCATTCGGAAGCACGGTGATGGCTGATCGGCGCATACAGGGGAACATGGGTAGAGATCGCGGGTACCAAACGAGGACAATTCTGACACTGGAAACAATATTAGCACAGATGCTCGAATAAAGGCAGCGGGAGAGCGACAGACAGTGGAGTACAAGTAATTGAAAGAAAGTATGATCAAAAACTAATATTCACCTTTGAGTCCGTCCATGGATAATGCTCGCAGGGTCGAGAGACATGTGTCGGTAGAATCTCCGGAGGTAAGCATAAATGCATGTAATGCAGAGGACTCGCCATCGACGTGGGTATGAGGGAATATCGAATCAGAGAATGAAAGAGACCTGTTCCGCGATACCAGATATCGGCGTCCGTGTTCGAGGACTTCATATGGCGGACATTCGCTGTCCGGAATGTAAGTGGCGAATGCTACTCGAGGATCGGCAGGTAAGGTTATGACCGAAGCAAGCAGCTTGTCTGACGGTGCAACCGGGGACGGTAAATGAGAAGAGCTTGACGTGGTATTAGGATGATGCACTGAGGCATGGCTATCGTGTTTATGCGCCATGCAGAGCGACATGGGCCGTTAGGCTGTCTCGGGGTTCCGCTTGTTTAAGGATGGCCTGGATATGAGTTAAAGTTAGACCGGCACGGGGCCAACACAAAAAGACCGTACTGCACGAATGCGCCGCCCACCAACCAACCAACCCGAGTCTCAGCTCGACGCAGCTCAGTCCGAATCTCCTCGACAGCCCGTTCTTCACGATACCGTCATCTTCGCGCCCTTGGCTGTGGGCACAGTGCTGCCGGATAAATAATTGAATAATTTAGATAAGTAGTTATACACGTAATTAGGTAATATTCAGAACCACCCGTGGCGTCTGGTCTGGGTTGCCACCCTTCCCCGTCCTCCGCTATTACCTAGTGCTCAGGTTCTCATTGTTTTCTCAAAAAAATGCAGTCGGCTACTCGTCCAACGTCGCGTGCGGTTGCCTCTCCAAACCCGAGGTCGAACCCAGTGAATACCCAGACAAAATTGATAGACACCGTTCAAGGTCGCATCCTGTGCCTCGCAGACATTCGCGGTCATTTGTCTGCTCTCAATGATCTCGCTCGCGAAACCAATGTCAAGGCCATCATTCATACAGGGGACTTTGGTTTCTTTGGTCTGTTCAGTGCAGGAAATGCTATGTTTTTGTGTCTAACAACGATACCGTTACAGAGAGTCAAAGTATAGCGCGTATTAGTGACCGCACCCTTCGACACCTCACGATGTACTCTCCCCTTATTTCAACAAGCCAGAGAGACCAGCTCCTTGCTGCCGACAATATTCCATCCACCATCCGTACCACAGTAGACATCTCCCTAATTTCAGAATTCCCACTTCTCCTGTCCGGCCAGATAAAACTCCAAGTACCCGTGTTCACCGTCTGGGGCGCTTGTGAGGACGTCGTTATCCTGGAAAAATTCCGTACTGGTTCCTATTCGATCGATAACCTACACGTGCTCGACGAAGTCACAACACGTTGCCTCGATGTGGGTGGCATCAAATTGCGGCTTCTCGGCCTTGGGGGTGCCCTCGTGCCACACAAGATGTTTGACAATGGCGACGGAAATGCTACTATCGCTGGTGGTCAAGGTACAATGTGGGCCACCGCGTTGCAGATCGGAGAGCTCGTCGATACCGCCCAGCGGATTTTCGATCCTACCGAAACTCGAGTCCTGGTCTCCCATACCAGCCCTGGCCGGGAAGGCATCATTGCCCAACTCGCTCTCGTTCTGAAAGCGGATCTTACTATTTCTGCTGGCCTTCACTTCCGCTACGCAAGCTCCTATAACGAGTTCAGCGTCCAAACGGACTTCGATGGCTTCCGTCGCAAACTCGCCGTCGGAAAGGAGGGCTTCGATAAAGTTTGGGATACGGTGAAGGCACAAGTTGATGCCGTTGTTGATGACCACCAGCGAATTTTGCTTGATAAGGCACTCTCGGTCCTCGAGCGGGTTCCGTCACTTCAACCTCCGCCAGGCGCTACAACTGCTACTAGTGAAGAACCGGCTTGGAAAAATTGCTGGAACTGGAATCTATGCGACGCAGCTTTTGGTTCCCTTGTTCTAGACATCAAGGAAGGCAGGATCAGTGCAGAATTAAAGAGTCAAGGTTAGTTTTACGCCTTTTCCTTCTTGGCAGCTCTTATCGTTCTTTGCTTGCCACAGGTTTCAACTACGCCTATCGCCGCACTGCGACTGGCAACGTTGCACAAACCCCTAATTCTGCCGTGTCTTCATTGTCCAACACCACTCCACCTACCAAGGGGCCGACACCTGCTCCTATGGAGAAGCCTGCTTCTCCCCTGCCCAAGGAGGTCAAGTCTCCTCTCGCGGCTACTTCTCCACTAATATCAGGCAAGGAGGCACCCAGGGACTCGCAGATCAAGACCAACGGAACTACGACACCCTCAGGCCCGCCTTCTGAGAAGGCTGACAGGGGGGGATATAAGCGGAATCAGAGAAGGGATAGGAAAGACCGGGAGCGTCCTGAGCGGGAAGCAAAGGAACAGGAGAGGGAGTCCACTGAAGAGAAGACAGACGCAGCCCCGGCAACCGTACCTGATTCCCAGCCAGCGGTGGTACAATCTGGGAAGGCTACTCCAGTGCCGGATGATGGTGTGACAACCGATGGATTGGAGGGTGGACTCAAGTCACCACTCACGGATAGCACGGGGGCGAGAACTCCCACGTCGAGGCGCCCTTTCAGACATCCTCACACACTCTTTCTCCGTTTTTCTGAACCATTAAGTGAAGCTGACATCCAAGAATTCTTCGGGGGCGAGGAAGCAGGGGTGGGTACTTTGACCTTGACCTTGGCGTATGGAGAAACTTGACTTTGAAAACCTCATAGATTTCGCGGGTAAACACTCCTCAACCCTTCCACAATCGAGGCCACAGGATAGCATACGTTGAATTTGCAGATGAAGACAAAATGAAAGCAGGACTTGAGAAGAACAACGAGGTCCGTCAACTTCTTTCCAAATGGTGATTCATTGCATATAACCACTCTGCTTTCAGAAAATCAAAGACATGACGATTGAAGTCAAGATTGCCCACGATCGTGGAGAGGGTGGCGAGAGGGGAAGAGGTGGACCGAGAGGTCGTGGTAGGGGTGGATATGCGTCGCGAGCGCTCGGAGCTGCTGGCATGTCAAAACGCAATGGTGACGCACGCGGCGGCTCAGCTGACAACACGAAGACGGGAGGGGATAATGCATCAGCGACCTAGGGCATCAATTCGGCTTTCATGGGTACGTGGGATGAGGTTTGGACGCGGTAGAGACGAGGAATTTGGGCAGGTGATACTTTTTTTTTTTTTTGACGACTCTGGCATGCCGTTTATCACCCTGTTCACATTCGCTTTGTGTTGTCATCCTTTTTTTTCCTTCTCCTTCACTCAAGCCTTATAATTCTCGAGCACATTCTTTGTGTGTTTGATCCGTTATGCTCGTCTTGGGTACTGTACATGCACTTGTTACCTTGCCCAGATAATTTGTTTGCATTGTGTGAAAACTACCTGATTATGTAAGGAACATTGTAGAGCTGATCACGTGATGATATATTCCCCCAATAAAATTGGTCATATCTTTTCCAAGGGCTGACAGGTTTTTGCTGTTCTCCCAGCTGCCAGAATTTTGCTGCTGCTTTTTCACGCCGACGATGGGCAAATCAAGTAAAAAAGCAGACAAGCCAACTACTACTGGCTCGGACAGCAAAAAGGCAACGACGAAGAAGCCTGCTGCAAAGGACAGCAAGGCCGAGTCAAAGTCGAAACCGGTCCCTGCAACCTCGAAGGAGATTCTCGCCAAAGCCGCGGTATGTAATGGGTTCTTATTACAGTGCGCGTGCGTGGGGGAAACGTCGTGCTGACTGTGGATCGATGGCTGTAGAAACTAGCTAAGGCGGCGGCAGCCAAGATACCGCAGAAAAAAGAAGATTCTTCGAGTGAGGAAAGCTCCGACGACTCCGACGAGGATGAGGCTACTCCCCCCAAACCCGTGGCACTTCCCAAAACCGAGAAGAAACAACCACCCAAAAAAGCTTCTGAGTCCTCGTCAGACTCGTCTTCATCCAACGAAGACAGCGACAGCGACAGCTCGTCATCAGAAGAAGAAAAGTCCAAATCGACCCGGATCAAGCTCAGCGCCAAGGCTAGCTCTTCGGAATCGTCAGATGACAGCTCTAGCGATGAGGAAGCTGCACCCCCTAGTTCTGCTGCTGCAAAATCAGCGCCCAAAAGGCAACCCCCTGCTTCATCCGACTCGGAATCATCTGATGAGTCCTCGGAGAGTGAAAGCGAGAAAAAACCCGTGAAGATTTCCCCATCAAAAAAAGTCGCTCTTGCCAAGAAGGCGTCATCATCATCTTCCGAGTCGGAAGAATCTTCGTCATCGGATGAGGAGGATTCCCTAGCTGTCCCTGAACCGAAGAAGGGAAAAGTGGCATCGTCGAGCGAGGAGAGCAGTGACTCCGAAAGCGAAGTGCCAAGTATGTGTCCCTCGATCTTCATCTGTTCAGTTGATTTATTTCATGCAACCAGGCAAGAAGCAGACAAAACCTGCTGCTGTTGCATCACCCAAAAAAAACTCTGCAAGTGCTGTTGCAAACGGAAAACTGAAGGCAAACGGCAAGGCGGAGGAGTCCTCAAGTGACGAAAGCGGTTCCGACAGCAGCGGGTCCGAAGAGTCGGAAGACGAGGACGAGGACGTCGAAATGGCCGAAGCACCCCCTCCAGCGACGAGTAAGTACCCCCTCCTTCCCTTACCATCATGAGATCTTTTTTTGCTTACTTGTGTCCATGCGTAGCTGCTAGTAACAAGCGCAAGGCGGAAACTCAATCCGCTGCTCCCCCAAAAAAGGTCAAGCTCGCGGATGGTGCAGCAGAACCCTCCGCCGACCAAGAAACCAAGAGCGTTTTCGTCGGAAAACTCTCATGGAACGTTGACAACGACTGGCTCGCACAAGAATTCTCCTCTTGTGGCGAAGTTGAGTACGCGTCCGTTCAGATGGACCGCACGACCGGCCGGTCACGTGGGTTTGGCTATGTACACTTCAAATCGGTAGATGCGGTCGAGAAAGCGCTGGCAATGGACGGCAAGGAAATTGATGGACGTCCTATCCGCGTCGACAAGAGCAGTTCTCCAGACAAGAAAGCGTCCGCAGACAAACGGGCGCAAGCGTTTGGCGACAAGCAAAGTCCGCCATCCAGCGTTCTCTTCGTGGGTAACCTGAGCTTCAATGCGACCGAGGACGGCTTGTGGGAGACGTTCGGCGAGCACGGGGATGTCAAGAGCGTTCGGATACCCACGGAGCGTGAGACGGGTAGACCGAAAGGATTTGCCTATGTCGAATTCAGCGACACTGAAGCGGCAAAGAAGGCTTATGAAGCACTCAATGGCTTTGAGTTTGATGGCCGGGCCGTGCGGCTAGATTTCTCTCAGCCAAGAGATGCGGCAGGCGGACGTGGCGGCGGACCGGTGAGTAGTAGACTGACCGTCAGGGTTTATGGATGTTCACTAAGTGTTGTTATACAGGGTGACCGTGGCCGTGGTCGCGGACGAGGGTCTGACCGCGGCTGGCGTGGCAGGGGTGGTGGCGGTGGATTTGACCGTGGTGGAAGGGGTGGTGGTGGGTTTGATCGCGGCGGAAGGGGTGGTGGATTTGGCCGTGGTGGGAGAGGCGGCGACAGAGGACGGGGACGAGGAGGCGCGCGGACCGGTACCATTGCAGCCTTCGAGGGGCAGAAAATCACGTTCTGATCTATTCCGTTTCCTCCTCTTCCCCCGCCCATGCTTGAATGAATTTGGCTTCCGTGCATATATGATGCACACGTACCTCATGTTTGTTTGTTTTGTTTCGCATATTCTCACATGCAAGTTCGAACAACCCACGCTGGTGTGTCATAGCTTACTGTGATCTACGTAGAGTGCCTTCCGGTTGGAGGCACTATAGGGCAGCATTACTTGCTCAATGTTCTCAATATTGGGGCTGCTCTGGAAGAGGGTTGATCGCTTTGACGCGTAGGTAGTAGGATATGACCACAGAAATACGTCGGTCTCGCAAGTTTCCCGTCTCTCACCGCGAAACAGCCATGCACACGTCGAGAGGTGTCAACTGGCAACTTGGGTGATGACCACTATAATATTCCCCATAGTAACATGCTAGCTATTACCTAACTCTAAAGCGGCAAGGGCAACGCCGCCACCAGGTCCAGTCCCAAGAGAAAGAAATCCTCCTTGTTGCCTGCGGTGCATGTCATCAGGCGTACCTCTTTCGTTATCTAGACCATCTGGTATTAAGTAGATTAACCAATGAGCTAAGGAACACATTTGGGGGGATTCACAGGAGACTTGTGACAGCGACACATAGTTGTAACCAGTAGCCCGGCCCGCCATAAACACAAATCAAAAACAAAAAAAGAGACTGCTACACAAGGGGGGCATCAGCATAAATAAGGTGCGTACTTATGTAGGTGGGTAGGTAGATGTAATGTATTGATATGTAGTACAGTTACTGTAAAAGAACAAATTTAAAATCAAAAAACAAGAATTCACGACCCACCACTCCCCTTCTGCATAGCCTTCCGGATAGGATTCTGACTAGGCGGTAACGCCCCAGACCTCTCAAGTCTATCGAACAACACGAACAGCTTCTCAGCCTCCCTCTCCTTCTCTTCCTCCGTCATATCGTTGGGCTCGCGTTCCTTGACGACCTGACCGGTTATGGGGTCGATAGGCAAACCGTCCGAAGTTGTCATCTGGGGAGTCGAATCGGTTGGGGGTGGGCCGGTTGCGATGCCCTTGTTGAACAAAAACCCGGCGAAGTTGCCGTAACCGAGTGTCGTGAGGTTCGTCGCTAAATTCCAAGTTAGCTATTCGTTACAACGGCGGAACGCTTTTTTTTTTTTGACCAAAACACTCACGATTAGAATCATACATCGCAAAGAACATTTCTCCTACGCATTTCCCCAAGCGATCATGGTATACGCTCTGAAGAACACGGAGACACCGTCCCAAGACGTCGTCCCGTCCTTCCAGCGGTGTAGTGCGGTCAAGGCCCTCAGGTACGAACCAGTTCCTTATTCTCAACTTGGCATCTTCGTCTCCAAGACAGAACCGAGTGATCAAGAGAACGAGCGGGGTGATGAGATCGCCCATGGAGGACTCGTTCAAGGACCAATGACCTTGGAACCGATTCCGCACGACGGCTTCGTCGGGGTCGTGGTCGCCTTGGAAGAACGCTGCTAGAGCGCTATCGAGCAGTTCGCATGCGCGCATTGCTGTATCCGGCACGGCCACTGGCGTTGTGGATCGAGAAGAAGAAGACCACGAAAATGATCGTCTCCCAGCGGCGAAGGCAGAGATTGCGCGATCGATTGCCCTGGTCTTTGGTTCCTTTTCCTTTTCCTTGGCGGCAGGAAGATTGGTATTGGTATCTGGACAGGGGGAACCGGACAAAGATGATGTCGCTGAGTCTGTCGGTGTCACTCGCGCTGGTGGAGTAGGAGGTTGTGAACCGAACCACAGAGTCCGATTGGAGGCATTGACGGGTATGATGATTAAAGCGTGAATAATATGTAGCATCGGGGGCACCAGTGGATGAGGTGATTGAGCAGGTAAACGGTGAAAAGCACGCAGAAGGGGAGGAATTAGGCTAAGGGGCATGGCGCCGTCAGCTCCAGCGAATCAAAGAGAAAGAGGAGACTTACCCATCCAACCGAGGACTCCAGTAATCGGCCATGGTCCTATGGTCCTGCCCTGACGCTGCAACCTCGGGTGATTGAATCTCGGCATCCACGAGCTAGGGTATGATGAGCAAAAAGAGTTTACACGGTGGACATGCGGAAGGAAGGGCAAACCTTGGGGTAATGAACGCAAAGATTAAATATAAGTTTAAGTAGATCAGTCATAGCGTCCTCGGGTGAGGTTCCGCTGACGGATTTTCCTGCTACCAAATTGTGCAAGAGGTTGTCCATCTTGGTAGTTAGGACATCAATAGCCGTTTCCGAACAGGACGAGTTAGTGCGTTTGTTTTCCACCATCCACTGGATGAACGACGCAGCGGACAGGGATGAAGCGGTACAAAGGAAGAGAATTCTCGATGTGAGGTAGATCGTCTCGAGGGACGAGGATTTCTAATTGGGGTGTGCGTGCGTAAGACGACGTAAAATTCAGGGGGGCGAATGGTTACCTGCAGTAAGTCGAGAGCGACATTTCCTCCGTTTACGTCCGAGCCGATGAAGGTGGTTCTGGCAGGCTCGATGAGAAGACAGGTATTTGCGATGCAGCGCAAAGCGTTGTTCTCCTTCAAACCCTCTACGTGGGGGGTGCTAGAGATGCCGAGCAGATGACGAAGATTTGCAGGGGACGCAAGTACGCCGGCAACTTGGGGCACTTTGCCCAAATCCTTGAGTTTGGGAAGAGCCACATCTACAGCACCTGGCAACACGATCAAGAACTCCATCCAAACGCCACAGACACAGACACGAAGATGATGAAGTGGCGAAGTGGCATCACATACCTTGCTTGGATAGCCGAGATACGGTGCCGTCGATCAGAGCAGCTTTGAGGTCATCGAGAATGAGCTGGGCGAGTGCCTTTGATGCGGGGATGTCGTGAGGATCTACATTATACGAACCGGAGAGGTAATAGTCTGAGTTGCAAGGCGGGGACCGGGACGAGATTTACGAGAGAATGCATTACCGATGGCTCTGAAAGCAGCGATGACGTCTGAGGTGGGTGCAGAAAGAGGCAGAGAGACGTAAGGTTGAATCGCAGGACTCAGGTTGGACATGATATGTAGTATGCGAAAAGAAGAAAAAAGAGAAGACACGAGTGTTTTATTTTATTTTTAACAGCAGTAGTAATGGCCCGCACCCTGTCACCACCGTACAGCCTCGCTGCCTGTCTGCCGTGATAGCAATTTGCAAAGCTAATGTGTTGTTGGCAAGGGCTCGCGATCCTAATACGCACAAACATGCACAAACATTCTGTCTCTTGTGTCTCGCCCGCATTCGGAATACTCGACGACCGATGCAGTCGACAGGCCGTCTGCTGTCTGAGCATGTGCACAGACCTCTCATTCGCTTCATCGGAAAGCGTGTCTGGTCATCCCGTACGTCCCTCCTCGTCGTTCCAGTCACGTGAGGTGTCATGTCTCTCCAGCTGGCGCGGGTCAGCCGCATCCCGCCGGTCCGGCGAAACAACCACCAAATGCCAAACACAAGTCTGTCTTCCAACACTACTGGCAGGCCCCACCTCGTCTATGGAATCCCCGCTACCACAACCTCGAGCAAGCAGAAATAGATGCAATCCAGGTAGGTTACCGACAACGTAATACTTCAAGACAGACGCTGACTGGCTCGTCAGAGCGGTGGTGCTTCGTTACATTGATACTCAACATCAACAAAACCACTCGCAAAATATAAGGTCGTAAAACTTACTGCAATGTCTTAAAATTCAGTACAACTGATACATAGTACTGTCTCCGTTATATACAACAATGTATTGCACTATAACAAGCGGCCAAATACAGTGTGGATAAGGGTCGCAACCCATCCATTGGCACATGATATTTTATAGCCATGTATCTCGGTGCCATTCGATGCATTTTAGTATGTTGAATTGTATTCCTCGCCATACTTTATCACACGTTCCACTGGATTTCATATGAATGCAATGACTTCTATTGCATGGTATACATTACATGATGATGCAGTCCACTGAGAGCAAGTTAGAAGCCGACAACGCTAGTACAACATTCAATGCATCCCGAAATGAGCAGCCACGCACCAGTTACAGGAATAAACGATGACAAGGTATAAGAGGGAAGCATTCGAACAACAAAGTAGGGGAAATGAAGGCAGTGTTGGGACTACTTGCGCTTGACACGCTTACGTGGTGGCTCAGCCTTGTTCTTCGAGCGCTGACCAGCACTGCCACCTTGAGATTTCTTCGTGGTCGTAGTGGGCTCTAGAGTGGGGTCCTTTCGTATGGTCTCAGTAGCTTCAGGATCCGTCAGTGGGCTCCCAACGGTCTCGCATTCATTACCTGGGTCATGGTGAAAATTTCTGTGACTGGGCCTAGGCCCTGGAGGTGATCTGGGATGGAAGCTGGTGCGATGGTCAGGTGGATCGAAGTCGTTACGTTGTGGCACTGAATGGGCATCATCTCCCAAGCTTGGTTGGATCTGCAGACCATGGTAAGCCAATGGATTGATCCGAAGCAGAACATTGCAAGTACTGCTACCTTGGCGCTGCTGTTCTTGGGTGGCAGAGTACCTTCATCGTCGCGAGATACATGAACCATGGGTGTGGGAGACATGGTAACCTGAGGCCCATTGCGACTGTCAATTGAGTGCTGCACATGTTCTTCAGTACAACGAGATTGGCGACCCGCAACCGGGGAGTCAAGGAAAGAGTCCATGTCGTCATCCTCTGATGAGTCATCCGAGTTTGCTGCTGAGATTGGTCGCCTTCGCTTGGAAGTTTGGCTGAGGCCAGGCACCTGCCTTCAAATGCGAGTAAACCTAGTTGACCGTGATAACACTCTGATGCAGTACATACTTATTCCACCAGTGAAGCGTCTCTTGGGTCCATGGATGGTCTGGTTGATCTTCCAAGACCTTGACAATCTTGAGAAAGAGTTCGTAAAGGTCAACACCACCAATTGCAGATGTCCACTGCTCGGCGGAGCTGAGCGCAAAGTAGTACTGAGAAACAAGAGTTAGCAGACAGAGAGAATAAGAGCCGTAACTCCATAAGGTGACCTGTATCGCAGCATACGCAATTGTGCGAGGTGTTGGGTCAGGCAGGCCGTGTGCTACACCTTGCGGGGTTTTCGTGCCTCTGCGAGTTGGGTCCAGTGCAGATGATGGACTTGTGAAAATGTGACGAAAGGTCTACCAGTAAAGACTTCAGCCAAGCTCGCACACAATTTTCAAGTTCACATGAATACATACCCGTACTAAACCTTGGCTTCGGAGAAACCCTTTCTTCTTGTTGTTTGGGTCAAACATTTTCACGTCGTAGAGGCAAGCTGGAAACTTGCGATGTGTGATTTTTCGTGTCCCATCGTGAACCTGGTTCATGAATAGTCTGATCATATGCACTGCATGAGCAGAAGGAAACGAAGTTGAGGTAGACATACTGAGGGTTTCTATCAAACTCTTCCAGGTGTACAATTGGGCAGAGGTTCCGTGCAGTAAGAGGATGGTTCCATCCACGGGTTGACTTGGGGTCACCCTTCCGGATTGGTGGCTTCACAGACTGAGTCGTGGGGTCCTCAAGCATATATGTCAGCACGTCCCACTTGAGGCTTCCTGTGTCATTTGTTCGCGACCGAGCAGCAGCAGCAACAAGCTGGATGAAAATTAGTGAGTTTGAGACATGTCAAGTGCATATATGCACCTACCTCATCGATGAAAGTAGAAAGTGAGTCGCGCTCATGTTCAAAGCCTGAAACAAGCTCACTTCCATTATCAATATGCGAGATGAAATTCTGATAAAGTGCGATATGATAGTCTTTCTCATTCTGACTGCCAAATGCAAACAATGTTAGTGCAGTGCGTCACAAGCAGGGCATTAGTCATACGTGTATGCAGTGGAATCCTCATCTGGCTCCTCAAGTGGATCTGGAAACTCATTCTAAATCCCATCCCAGAGCACTCGTTCAAAATCCACAAAGGGGTCCATACTCATAGGGAAGAAAAACGCAGCAGATGTAAATGGTGACATTGCATCTCTGAAAGTCATCAGCTGGGGAGTCCTATGCTCATATAAACACAATGAATGTACCTCTTTTGCCTTGGGTTAGACAGACTATCAAGCAACTTTTGAAAGGAATTGTTGAGCATGACGCCTCCAGGCATGATGGTGATAGGAGAATACGAAATGAGCCGCACTACATGGTGAAGTGGCATTTCAAGCGGAGACTAAATTCACACCCCTGCCTTCACTCCTGGCGCCCACTGCCCTGATTCCACCATTGATTGTATTACATTGCAACAAGTTGCAGTAGATTGTATCTGCATGGTCCATGCTCACGCAGCGTGTGTTCCTTGTATTCTTTGTTATAATGGCTGCTTTTGCATGTGTAGGATGTAATCGTTCATTCAAGAACAGGACTGCCCTTTGTAATCACAAACGAGCCTGTAAATTCAAGATATCACAGGCAGCAAAGTCTATCCTTTCAAGGCGGAAGGAGGGACGTACTGCCCATCAAGCAAACCAGGCACTGCAGAAGGAACAGGCTAAATACATGGAGCTGGCAAATGAAACAATTAGTGATGATGTAGTAACCATAGTAAGGCGCCTTTCAATACTTAATTCGAAACACAGTATTATCTTACATATGTATGGTGTCAGGATGTGGCAGATGTCGTGCCTGCTGAACCCTTGTCACCCGAGTACCGGGTTTCTGGGTTGCCCAACCGTCGGCATCGCTTACCAAAGAGGTTTCGTGATGATCTACCCCCGATTCAAAGCACTGCCGCCATAGCAGTCGCAGCAGCCAAATCCCCCAGGCCTGTTGAAGAAGATCATGACATTGTGCTTGATATGGAGACTGACAATGGGTCCCCTCAACCACCTTCGGAGAGCCATATCACCACTGAACCAGACCATTATGGAGTTTACCGCACATACTTCGGACCGAATCTGCCTACTTATGACCCTGATGGCATTGCCGACATCAATCACCTTTCAGATGCACCAACTTTCCCACTCCCTCAAGACCAGCAGCACCGAGTTGCATCATGGTGGTCTGGATTTGGCTCATCATTGCGCTCTGTCCAAACTGACTATTTTGCACCATTCCTCAATGCAACTGTATTCCGGCTGATAAGTTGGTTTTATAATGGGACTAATGTGAAGTCACTTGCAGATCTTGATCGCCTTGTGCATGATGTAATCCTCGCCCCGGATTTTGACAGAGCTGGTCTAGAGGGTTTCCGAGCTGTAAAAGAAGTAGAAAGGATTGACGAACACCAGGGTGACCCCAATGATCTTGAATCTGCTTTCTTGGCAGCGGCTGGATGGAAAGAAACTACTGTACAAATACGACTACCGGCGGATGGCATTTTACATGCATCTGAAGACGAGGCACCCCTATTCAACATACCAGGCCTCTTTTACCGCAAGCCACTTGAGGTTCTCCGGTCAGCACTTTGTGAGACATCGGCAGAACAATTCCATTTGTCCCCATTTCACACATATGCCACTGATATTGACTCCCATGAACTACCAACACAGCGCATCTACTCAGAGATCTACAACTCGGATGCAATGGTCGAGGAACACCACAGAGTCCGAGAGCAATCACGTGCAACTGGGTGCACTCTGGAAACTGTAGTTGCAGCAATTATGTTCTGGTTGGATTCAACGCACCTTGCGAACTTTGGCACTGCATCTCTTTGGCCAATTTACATGTATCTTGGAAATCAGTCAAAATATATACGAGGCAGGACAACATCATTTGCTGCACACCACCTTGCTTACATTCCAAAGGTTTGTCCTTGCTATTTTTCCTACTGGTTCATTTATTGTTATTATTATTATTAACATTACTTGTATAGTTGCCCAACACTCTCCAAGATTTTTATTACCAAGTGTTTAACAAGGCTGCAACTTCGGAGATTCTCACCCTATGCCGACATGAGATAATGCAAGCAATATGGTTACTGCTTCTGGACAATGATTTCATGCATGCCTATCAGTTTGGGCTGGTAGTCGAGTTTGCTGATGGGATTCTGAGGTGTGTTTCTCCATGCATCTTCACATACTCAGCTGACTACCCTGAAAAGTAAGTTCGTGCTGTGCTTTGCCAATATGTATCTCATCTCACCAACAGGGTACTTCTCGCATGCCTCAAGTTTCTGGGAGGATGCCCATGTCCTCGTTGCCTTATCAAGAAAGATGAAATTTCAATGCTTGGGACAAAGGCTGATTGAAATCTTCGCTCTAAAAGGGCACGTGTTGACAACAACAGATTTTGGTTTGTGGTGAAGAAAGTGTGGGAGTGGCTCTTTGTGAAGGGTTTGAACATAGTGAGTGCAGCAGTAAAGCGCTTGCTAATGCCGGAGTCACTTGTTCCAACAGTGGTAAGTTTTCAAGCCTGTCCAAACTATGTGATAACTTGTAATTGCCTTTGAATACTTTAGAATGCCTTCTCAACTCGACTCTCACAATTTGGGGTCAATTTTTTCTCCATGTTTGTGCCAGATCTACTACACGAGTTCGAACTTGGAGTATGGAAGGCTACCTTTACACACCTTCTCCGTGTGTTGTATGCCCATGGTGAAAATGCTATCCAAGATTTAAACAAACGGTAAGCAAGCACTACAAATAATGGTACATTTGTTGTCAAGCATTCGTGTTACAGGTACCGCCAGATACCCCCGTTTGGGCGAGGAACAATTCGAAAGTTCAGCAACAATGTCTCTGGCATGAAGCGTTTGGCTGCACGAGACTTTGAAGACCTACTTCAGGTGTGTGTGTGGTCAATCTCTTTCCACTGAATGATCTCATGTCTGAGTGTGAGTCATAGTGCGCAATTCCTGTGTTTGAGAATCTTCTACCCCGTCCTTTCAATGCCATTGTTCTTGACTTACTCTTTGAGCTCGCTACTTGGCATGGACTAGCTAAGCTGCGCATGCACACAAACTCTACTCTAGATTACCTTGACACTTCTACAACACGCCTGGGCCAGATCCTCCGTCGGTTTTCGCGTGAGACAAAGAAAGCTTACCAAACTCGGGATCTTCCAGCTGAAGAAGCTGCTCGTGGGCGCCGCAAAGCAGCCATGCTACTCAAATCAGCAGCAAAAGATGCGTCTGGCAGTAGGATCCTGACAGAACCCAAGCCGTGTAACTCAGACTCAGCAGGGGGAAGTGGCATCAACAGCAAGGGAAAGCAGAAAGCTGAGGGGCCAAAGCTGCGGTATCTGAACCTCTCCACATACAAACTCCATGCACTTGGTGACTATGTCAATGCCATTCGTCAATTTGGACCTACAGACAACTATACAACGCAGTTGGTAAGTTTCCAGCGAGCTACAAGCAATATCCAGTTGTGTTAAGTTCTCTTGCTGTAGGGCGAGCTCGAGCACCGACGGGTCAAGCGATTCTACCCAAAAGTTAACAAGTCTAGATTCACAGCTGGTATCTCAAAGCAGCAATGCCGGGAGCGGATCCTATTCGAGATGAATAGGCGTTATCAGCGCCAGTTGGAAAGTGATGCTTCAGGGAACACACGACAGGCTCCACCATTGAAGGGAGGATCACGTGAATCTCACCACCTTCAGTTTGATGAGTCAGAACCACTGTCATACAGCGACCCAAAGGCTCACTATCACATGTCAGAGAGTAATAGGAACTATATTAACCTGCCAATGTGGCTTGGTAAAAACAAGGGGGACCCAGCCTTAGAAGTAAGTTTTATTTTGAATACTCCCGCACCGTGGTTCATTGGAAACAACTGATCGTTGGCCCCCTGAACAGGATTTCTTACCTCGGCTCAAAGATCATGTTCTCACCCGACTCCTGGGCCAGGCTTATGATGGCGATGAACAGTCGTTCACGTCTGCTGAGCGCAGCAATGTGATAATTTTCAAGGACCGCATCTACTGCCACAAGGTTCTGCGGGTTAACTATACAACATATGACATGCGGCGTGCCCAAGATTCTCTCAATCCACGAAACTGTGCAGATGTCATGGTCTTGGCCCATGAGGATGATGAAAGCCACGAGCACCCTTACTGGTATGCACGGATACTTGGTGTATTTCACACATTTGTTGTTCACAAGGGTTCCGGGTCCATGGAGCCCCAGAAGGTGGATTTCTTGTGGGTACGATGGTTTGGGCGTGACATGTCACACAAGTCTGGGTGGCATGTCAAGCGACTCCATCGCATTGGTTTTATTCCTCATGAGGACCCTGGCGCATTTGGATTCCTTGACCCTCATCATGTCATCCGTGCAATTCATTTGATTCCAGCATTTGCACATGGCCGGACAGATGAATACTTGCCGCATTCACTTGCTCGACAGAAGAAAGAGAATGACGAAGACTGGGTTTACTTGTATGTGAACATGTGAGTTTCAAATGTCTCATTCACGTCTGATGTTGACCTGTCGAACATTAATCATCCATAGGTTTGTTGATCGAGACATGCTGATGCGCTTTCGTGGTGGTGGTATCGGCCACAAATCAACCCGCACAGCTACAAATGTTTTCAAGCAGGATTGTGACGATCTGGATAGGACCTGTGATTTCAGCACTACGGACAATGAAGAACATGAAAATATAACTGGAATGTCAACTATTGTGTCACCAGATGACGAAATCCAAGCTGAAGATGATGAAGAATCACTCGAAATGGAAGAGTATGGATATGATGGACTTGAACAAGTGGAGGACGAGAGCAGAAGTGTGGGAGGTATGGGCGATGATATTGATGGGCCTGATCTGGAGGAAGACAAGCTAGAGTTGGGCCCGGAGGACGGTGAGGATGAGGTGTTTCCCCAGGATGAACTTGTATGGGGTGACTACGGCGAGCTCTAATCAGGCAGGCAGCCACTGGTAAGACTTTCCTTCATCAAACGTTAGTACGCAGGACTCATCGCTACAGGTTTCGTAGCGAACAGGTATTTGCCTGCCGTCGTCTGTCCTTGAGTACCTACCCCTGGTTTGCCTATGTTGGGGATTGGTTGCGTGGTGGTGGTATCGTTAGCATGTCGCAAGTATTAGCTGAGGTTCGAGCTTTGGGTGCTCTGGATGTGGCATGTTCGTTTGGTATTGACCCATCCCAATAAATTTCCAATACCTCCTAATAGATTCAAGTGCAACCTTATGGAACTGCCAGTACACTGAAATCTCCAGAATTCCCTCAATATAATGGTATGCAACCCTAGTACTACCTAGTGCAATGCGTCCGAATGTACAGGTGCACTGCTGGTGATTACATAAGCTGAGTTGAGCAGAGTCCCGAGCGCCCCGACGCTGGCATTTTGGAATACATGACGAGTGGGATACCTTTTATATTATTCTCTGTAGCTATGCTATGCATGCATCTTAATGTAATGATAAACAACACTTCTGCCTTGAGCTACATGTCCGCGACAAGAATATATCAAGTTGGATGTGGCTACCACTACTTACATAAGTATCCATACATAAACTGGTCGAGCAGTTCGGAATACACGACCACTGGAATATCCTCATCTTAATCAAACATAAAATGCCTCTGAATGTAATGATAAACAATGCTTCCGCATCGAGCTACACGTCTGCAACAAGGATGTATCAAGTTGGATGTGGCTATCAGTACTTACATAAGAATATGACACGCGGTTGGTTTTGTCGATGAAGTCTTGCTAGATGAATGAATCTGTAAATTGATTGTATACCCTTACACCCTTCTTCACTCAATCTTTCTCCGCATATGCTAGTAAGTGATGCTCGACTTCTGCCTCACCCATCACTCGCCAAAGCCCTCTCGTCTTTGGATTTTCATCGTCCGACGTCGAAACAATCCCTATCTCTATTTCTCCGGGTTTGTAATCCGTCGCGTGAACAGTCGACATGGCTTCTATGGCAATCTACGACATGATTAGTCGCTTTAAGCGTCGTGACACGGTTGAGATAGCAGTGACTCGCACCTCTATCACCTCATCACGGCTAAGTGCCTTGCTTGCACCTGCAGGATCGTCAGCACCCTTCCCGTTATCCAATTTCTTCCACTTCTTCTCAAGGTGATTCATTGCTTCTTGTTGCTTCTGTCCCGCAGCAGTGGCATGGAACCCCACAAAGTATCCCGCCGGATCGAGCTTAAAACATTGCGGTCCGCAGTCGGGATCGATCCCAATCAGAACCATAGCTGGGGAGGGAAAGGCACAAATGTACACCGTTAACACTCCTGTTCCGTCGCCAGTTCGCATACAGAAACACATACAAATACCCAATGGTCGCATGCCAGCCCGTTGTGTATAGACTTGATTGATATTCGCCATTCGTCTTGCCAACGCATCAGGAGTGATTTCATAACCGTACTTGTACCGCCAATCCGCCGCTTCCTTTTGAGCACGGAATACCTGAGCTTTGGCGTCAGCTGCATATGCATCAGTTCAACAAATCTACACAATATCGATGGGGCCGCGCGGCTCACCCGTCAGACCGGTCATCACACACCCAATAGTCGGGGTAATACTGTGGAGATGCGTGACAGACGACGCATCGATGAGCTTGTCCTGCCAATTGCGTCAGTGCCCGGTCACAAGTACGAATAATACGTGCATACGGGCACTTTCTTCTGCGTGATGACTACGGATGTATCCTTGCCTCTCACAGTAACGGCAGTGTGTCCAGAACCAGTGATGGCCTTGAACGCATACTCTATTCTCGGTCAGGTAGTCAATCCATAATCACGTCCGAGACGCAGTTGCACGACGCACCGACTTGGTATAACCGGCCTTCCGGCGAGAACACAGTCAGAAATCTGCGAGCCTATAAGTGAAAACTTTAGGTTGAGCGCGCAGGGGGAATACCGGTCGTAGGATGTTCTTGACATGGTTCCTCAGTGAGTTCAGCAATACGCGACGCGCAAGTGCTATCTGTGGTGTCACGCGGTGACTGTAACGCTGTAACGCCCTTGTCACACGCACTACCACACGACCGGTTTTCAGCAGCCCCCTCGTGCACTGGTTTCTCGCGCCAATCACGACCGTCTTCGTTCCATTGTTCAACACATACCACCGAGCAACACAACGAGGACGGTAGTGCTTTTTACAGTAAACTCTTGCGACATTCCATAACATATCCACGTCTGGAGTGCGGGCGGGCGGCCACAACTCACTTACTGATCTTGACCGACGAGGACACACCGTCGATTTATACGGTATTGCTCGGTGATAGCTGGATATTACAATGGCAACTCGCGATTTGTAGGAGTAATATACACACATATCATGTCGAAAGCGACCCTCCACAATCGGACCTGTGACATGCGAGGCTTTGCACGAAGCAGCATGGGTGATGCATTAGATGGCATACATAGTATACATAGCAATACTACTCTGAAAAAAAAACGAAGTCAACGCCATTGAAGCGCAAAGATTATGGTCGAACAAGAGAGAAAGAAGGAATACCTATGAAGTTTAGTCCTGATCCGTCTGGTCTCTCGGTCGATACTTGATACCACGACTCTCGAGCTCTGCTTCTACGTCTTCCGGAACGCGACCTTTGACTCTTACTGCATACATCCCTCGTACGTATTTTGCTTCCGATGGAAAATAAAATAAAATAAAAAATCCGTCAACAGCAGTACGGAGCGAACCAAAGTGGCAAACAAAACTCACACGTTCTCTGCCACCGTGCTACCCAGCTCGACTCGGGATCGACGACGGCGATGATTCCGTCAAAGTAGGTGGTCGTGCAAACGGATATACGGTCCGTAGACCCCTTCATCTATTCCACGGAATAGTTTGAGGTCTCGTGAATAGGAAGAAACAACAAACACGCACTTGCATAATTTCTTCACAGTTTGGGCATCCATTCTTCTTGAAGTCTGTTGGATGTTGGACGATGGAGCATAGCAAGCATGCCCGGAGATTTTTATATTTGCCCTGAGAAGGAATTGAAGCCATGATCGTCTGGGTCAAGGTCGTTAGGCGTTACTTAATTACATAAGCACACCCGATTGTTCGAGGAGATTAGGGGGGCGCCAAATCAGCTTACTGCGAGTCGCAGCTGTTCCTTTCCCCCTCTCGAGTCATGCATTGTATCTCGCTCGTTTTCGCACTGCGTCTCTCTCTTTTCGGCACGTTGATACTCCTTGACAATAGCTCCCTGTCAATACCTGTTTCGTCTAAATGTGCCCAGCGATTCAAGAGATATTGATATTCCATGCTTTATAAGAAGGGCCGCCCCTGAGGCCATGTCATTGTATCTCGTGCATCCCTGCGCCGGGTCTCTCGCGTGTCCCATTGCACATTCCCCTCACTGACCCCTCTCTGGGGACATCTCGTTCGTGCAGCCCCTCACAGCAGCTGTCGAGATATGCCCATTTCTGTATTCAGAAGGGCTATAAAGTGTTTTGGTGCATAACTTGTGATTAGATGGTCTAATTGTTATAATTTCTTTTTCTCCGTGTGCGTCGAGGTGTCCCCTACAGCCCTCTGGAGTTTCATGCTGGTTGCCCAAGTCATTGACGCTCGGGGGCCTCCCCTCTGCCCCCAAGTGTACATTGTGAAATTGCAGGTGTCATCTCGTCCGTTTTGTCACCAGCCCTCTCGCTTTTTTTGGGGTGCGGTACTACTCGTCGAGGGCTTTTGAATGGTATATTGTATATTGTGCTTGCCACAGTGGATCTGGAGATATGCTCCATTTTGTAGTCAGAGGCACCTTCGAGCTATTACAGATGATCATAACAATGACGTGAAAAAAAAAACAACAACATAACAACGGAGGCTAGCCAAACGACACAAAAGTTATCGGGTAAAGAGCAGAACAGAAATGGGGAAGCCTTCAGTAGGCTATATCATCAAGTGTGCCATTCTTCATCTTGCTCCAGGTCGACCGACCGTATCTGTTCAACCACGCTGGCCACACATGTTTCCCTACCACTCGCAAGGACCAGAGCCTCAATCTTTTCGAGAATCATGTCGTGATCTGTGATCGTATGCTTGAACTGCCTAATCGACGCATGAACGTTTCTCATCCATGACGATTCATAGTAAGCAGTGAAGGCCAGCTTAATCGCCCTTCGCGTAAGTTTCTTTCCCTTCTTGTTACCTGTGAGTGCAAATAATATTTCCAGAACGTGCGTCAAGTCGACGATGTATGCCATAAACTTTTGATGTACATTTTGCCTAAAAGAATGACTCGTTTGATATTCCCAACGATCACGAGATTGTGTTACGTACAGTCGTTGGTAGGATTCGTTGACCCATTGGACAAGGGCTAAGCCGGCAATGAATGGCAGAATCACGACCATTGCAGTCATGAGAGGGATGGCATTACTTGAAAAGGGGCCCTCCTTGAGTTTGAAAAGCAGGGTTCACAACAGCACTTACCCCGAAATGGTGTCACTACGACCAAGATGGGTAGATGCACAGGACGACTCGGTCAGTACATCCACGTTGCCGACCATGTTAACCATCAAATCTCGAAATTCTTTGCTACTCAGGTACTACAAAAGTAATATCAGCAGGTCAGAGTAGCTCTCACAGAAGGTGTGTTGCTCACCGCAGAAGGATCATAGAAGTTCCAGACTGAGGTGATGTCGGTGTGTATCACACCAAGGCAGTCCAGCATCGTAAAACCCCAAAAATTTGTGCTGGTAGCGAGTGCTCTCCAATACCCTTTCAACGCATGAGTGTGCTGATATGCTGCCTTAGACATAGGGACCCACTCTGCTTTCCCACGCTGTGTAGGAAACAGCTCAGAATATAACACCGTCACAGTAGAATGGAGCATACTTAATTGATGATTCAATCTTTACTCTAGGTACCATCCTTTGAGCTCCTGCGGCCGCAAAAGGAACCGGTGATACCATGTTCGGCTGGGAGGCGAAGCTTTCAGATACCCTCTCATAGGTGAGGTTTGTCAGCTCGCCATGCCCTCGCTCACACATACGGTTTGCTAGTATTGTCCTACATGAACAATGGATAAGGAATTGGGCGACGAAGACTCACAGCTAATTGCAACATGCAAAATGTCCTTGACTTTCAAGAACTCTTGAATTGGCTTGACACAATATTTTTGCAGATAACGCTCCGCCCCTGCTTCAGGATCCTCTTCACCTGATACTTGCATATACGCTATGAGGTTATCGTATTTCGTGAATACAACAACAGTCGGAGCTGAGGAGAGTCAGTCTGCTAGAGTCAAGACGAGTAGCTGTTCGCTCACTATTCCCTAGGGCTTCGCTCGACTGCTCCAAGAATGTTTCTGCGCCCTCCTCCAAAAGTCGTTCACCAAATTCTATAATAGGTACCGGGAAACACAACCTATCATATCCAACTCTCCGTCAGAACCTTCGACGTGGCTGTCTCAGGGCGGCATACCACACTGCATGAAGCTGATCTTTGATATGTGGCATCTTCTTCCTGGTCTCTATGAATGACTTTACGGTATCATAGTTGCTGCCTTCAGCCGGTTCGAAGCCTCGGCTGTCGTGTAAGATGAATCGGTCATTTTGAGGAGAGATCAGCTCTTCCTCAATCACTGCTTTTCCAGGCCTGTTATCAGCAACATGCTACGTCCTCTGTCAATACAATGGATAGACGCAAACGAAATTACTCAACCGCAACTTCTACTCCGAAGATTCGGTTTATCAATGAAGACTTCCCGGCACCTGTCTGCAATCATACGGTTCTCAATAGCCACCTGCGAGGGGGTTGCGAACACCCACACCTTTCCAACTACCAGGATTCGGAAACTATGGCATGTAGATAAATACGCAAGCATGGAGAACTGGGGATTTAGCACTCACCGAGGACACTGTTTGATAAGCTCCTCCGTAGTTGGTGTCAAGGTCTCAGGATTTGCAGGCGGAGGTAAGTCATCATTAGCAACTGTAGCCTGCAAGTTCTCGGTTAGGAGTCATCGAGCGCTATGTATTATTTTTACACACAGCTGACTACGAATTGTGGTGAAAACTGGAGGGTAATATCTAACTTTCCCCATCGTTTTTTGATCACTGCGCATTTTTTAGAAGTTGTCCAAGACACGGCACATGATTTCTTTGAAACTACCTTGCCTCTCTGATCTGGACTGAACGTCGGCAGAGCTAATCGTGACGGTTTCGGAGTCCGTTGCAGACGACGAGCCGAAGAGCACTTTCTTTCGGCGACGAACTTCAAGAGAGAGCTGATCTGCCGCAAACGTCCTGTTAAAGCCAGTCAGAAACATAAGAATAGTGTCGATGCAAACACCGAGAGGCAACTAACAATCGTTCTTCGAAGTGTTCCGAAAAAGTGCCACCCTCTTGTCGAGGGATGGGGCATCGCACATCACCGAGGACGAGATCGATGGATTCGATGTCCTTTCCGCCTCGTAACTCGATATCTGTATGCAAATTTTTGTTTGAGAATTAGCATCGCAAAGATCGTACTGTTTGATGGTCGGAAATCGTACAGGATAGTTGCTGGGAGCGTGGAGTCATGGTAGTGGGAAGACTCGTCCACGAGTCCAGGAGGTTGCATGTCACCTTCAAGCGCCCGAGTGACCTTGTCTCATTTCGTCGTGTCGTAACGTGGATCCAGACTAGCAAGGTGCTCTAGGAGAAGCCCAAATGAAGATTGTGCCTTGATACTTGTTGCCCACTGCCATGCCGTCTGCGTACTTGATGGAAGTCGTGTAGGTGTGTAAAGGAATGCCTTGCTATTCAATTACTGTAACGTGGACAGGTACAGGCGCTCAGATCGGAGAGCGTCAGTCGTTCATTGTCGCCCATAGCCAGCTCCGCGGCACTGCATACGCCGACACCGCGATACCCCGCAGCGCCGGCATTTCTTTCTCAGTCTCCCGCTCCGAGTTAGTCGGGAACACTCAATGCACTGGTGACAATAATGACAAATCCCATTACACCTAGTGCCAGTAATATTGCTCTGTCTGGGTCCTACGTTCCACTGAGGCTCACCCACAGCACTCACGCACCGAATTCTGCGTACGTATGTTTGCCATCGTTATTTTATGTGAACTTTTACAGCAGTTGCAGAGCATGAGATTCGTCATTGTTACATCGCTCTGTGGATGAACCGGTACGAGAAATGAAAGCACCTAGTGAGTTTTGGATCCTGCATGGTTGCACAGCAGTAGACCGACCCTAAGGCGTTTAGGCTTCGGTGTGCAAACTCGTTGCGCGTTATGTATGGGCTCTAGTGTGACTTCATTGACCCCATCTCCCCCCACCGTCAATTACCCTCAGTAATAATTACCAAGAGAAAACTCTTGCAAAAATGCGACTCGTCGCTTATGAACGCAGCGTTAGTGGACGCGAGCGGTGCTCAGAACATTGGCGCTGAACCATCCAACATGGACGCGTTAGCATTGTTTGGTGTCTCCGTCGGGAAGAGACAACCGACAAACCTACTATCGCAGTGTACGACCATTTGTAACCCCCCTGGCGAACAACACCGACTCATTTCCAAGCAGTATTATTCTCACTCTTCGCGTTTATTCTAACAAGGCATACTGATACAGGATTGTCAGGCAACTGTATGCTGTGCATCGACCTTCATTCAACGTACCGCAACTGCCTCGATCGCGTAAACAAGGTTGTCATCGGCTCCAATTCCAATGGCGTTGCGAAAGCTGCAGTTGATCATACGGAGTCTTTCTGTTATTTGCGCCATCAATGGTTGGCAATCCAGACGCCGGATAGGGCTACTGGCCCTTCGTAATCAATCGGGTGCCTTGCCCTCACCCCCGCCGGCGTCTCAAGATCGTATGAACCACACCTCATGTGTGGAGGCACCATCATCTCTGACAGTGCTGCAGCATCGGTGACGATCGCGTTGTGTTATATTCACTTCTGCTGACTATCATAGCGTCCTCAACTTAAGGCCCCTGCGACCGGGACTGCAGCCGTCGCAGTGCCCCCTGTGAAATCTGGAAATTGATTACACTATACCCTTACACCACTCTTCACCCAATTATATTCGACTTCCGATGACAATCCGAAGACAGTAGACTTTGGCGAGTATTGAGCGAGGCTCGCACGAAATGATCCCTACTTCTATTTCTGAGTTTGTAATCCGTTGCGTGAATCGTCAATATGAATTCTATGGTGATCTGCAATATGATCAGTCGCTTTGAGCATCGTGACATGCCGAGCACGTACCTCTATCACCTCACTACGGCTGAGCGCCTTGTGTACACCTGCTGGATCTTTTACTTCTGGAGATGATTCATCGCTTCTGTCCAGTCGCATGGAACCCATACAGGGTATCCTGCTGGATCAAGTTTCGAATATTGCAGTTCGTGATCAGGACCGATTCCGACCAGAATCATAGCTATATATATATATATATATATATAAAGAGGGGGGGAGGAACACAAATGTACATTGTTAGCGCATCCTTTCTGTATACGGCACATTCGCACACAGGACATGCCGGTTGATGTTCTTCACCCGCCTTACCAATGCGTGCGTCACGGGCGACCGGAACTCACGTCGCTCAAGGATTGATTGGAAAATTCATTGGCTGACGAGGACGCGCCGTCGACTTATACCGCGTTGTTCAGCGTCAACTGGATGTCACGGGGACAACTTGAGATTTATAAGGGTGATATACATACATGTAAAACAGGAACTGAAAGCTACCATCCACGATCCGAACTGCGAAGCAAAGGGAAGCACGAAGCCAGTCGACGAACGAGGGGCGCGTGTGAGCGCGTGTGCCTGTAAATTTAGTCGTGACCTGTCTGGTCTTTCGGTCGATACTGGATATCATGTCTGCCTCTATGGCACGACCTTTGACCCGGACCGTACGCATTCCTCAAACATATTTCGCTTTCGACGCCCAAAAAAACCATGAACAATGAATAGGGAGCGTGAAAGCCAAAAAAGGAGCCTCTTACACATTCATTGCCACCGTGCTACTCAACTCAACTCAGGATCAATGACGGCGATGATTCCGTCAAAGTAGGTGGTCGTGCAAATGGATATACAGTGCGTGAATCCTTTCATTTGTTTCACGGAGTGTAGGATAGGATAGGATGATTTTGAGGTCTCTTGACAGGCAGAAGCAACAAACATGCAGTTGCACAGTTTCTTCGCAGTTTGGGTACCCATTTTTCTTGAAGTCTGTTGGCTGTTGGACCTAGGAAAATTGAGTACGCTCGAAGGAATTGAGCGCCTTTAATTACATAAGCAAAGTTGGTGAGCGGGGCTATACATGGGAAGACATGAGAAAGAATCAACGTTCAACGTGGTGCCTTGATATCGATCGATTAAGCTGCATCCACCACCACGACGGGCTTCGCGCTGATCATCCACACCTTCAGCTCTACGTTGTGAAGTATACAAATCATAATTCACATTCACATTTACATGGCTCCCGGTGGTATCAAAAAGTGGATCAGGTCGCTCAGCGGTGACTCTCATCACGCCCGCCAAAGCAATGTAAATGACTTAGCTCCTGCTGCAACTAAAGCTACAACTGCAGGTATGATATTATTTTAACCTACGAAATGTGACATGTTTGATGTGGGGGTACAGAATCAAGCAATCTTGCTGGCGATGTGGCGAGTCAAGTTCCCGCTCAGATTGAAGTTGTTCCCCAGGGTATTGTTGTCGCTTTTCGTGAATTCCAGACTGTCTAATGCCGAGCCACAGCAACTACGTCTTCTGGACCCACTTACCGCCTCGATTCCAAGATGGCTCGAGAATACATGAAGAATATCAAGCGCTTTCGAATTCTGGTAATGGGCAGGGCGAATGCTGGTAAAACCACCATCCTCCAAAGAGTTTGCAACTCTACAGATAAGCCAGAGATTTTTGATGGGAAGGGAAACAAGGTATAGTCCCATGAAGTTGGTGACACCTAACTAACAATTTTCAGATTGATGGTGGTGTTGTGCAAGGCACTTTGACTGTAAGATGTCACGTCGACTCATGGAAATTCATATTGCAGCTGAGTACTCCCAGCGTGGCTACCACGATATCAAGCATGAGCTTGTGTTTCGGAGTAACCCGGGCTTTGTGTTCCATGACTCCTGTGGGTTTGAAGCAGGCACTAGTCAGCAGTTTGATCAGATGAAGAACTTCGTGCGTGATCATGCAGTCACAAGGAGTGTTAATGAGCGTATCCATGCTATCTGGTAGGGGCTATGTTATGAGTGGCTGCAGGCTGAGGCAACTCATAAATCTAGGTTTTGCATCCCCATGACTGACTACCACAGAACAGTAACTGCAGCTGAGCAGAAATTCTTTGATGAGTGTGACACAGGGCATGGTAAAAGCCTTTTGATGGATATGATCCATGTAACTAACTATCTGCTTAGTTCCTGTGGTAGTGCTGTTGACAAAGGTGGATGCTTTGTACCTCACTGCATTTAGGGAGCTTCTGGATCAAGGTTTGGCACTAGCTGAGGCAAAGGAAAGGGCTGTGGGAAGGCAGGGTGAACTGTTGGAAAAGTGGCTTGACTACATGAAACAAGAACTTGGCAAGTGCAAGTTTCCACCTCAAAGATATGTACCACTTCAGAGTGGGTATTTCTTTTCTTGGAAACAGTGCTGCTAGAAACTCCTGGTGGCAGAAATGCATCAAGAGAATGCAGACTGCAATGCTCTGATGGAGTGTACAGCAAATGTGTTGAATGAGGAAGGTTTACAAAGGTTACTTATATCAACACAGCAGTCAAGTATTGCACTATGTGTTCAGTATGGTGTACAGAAGTAAGTCAGTGAGTATGTTTTGGTGCAGATACTGATGTTCTGAAGGACATTAAGACGTGTACTGCAGTCAAGTATTCAGGGCAGATTGCAGGTGGATGCAAAGGAGTTTGAACATGCTCTACTGAGCTGGTTCCCAAATTGTGAGGTGAGTGGCCATATTCTACCAACATGCAGGGTTAATGATGCTCCCATTATGTATTCATTTGCTTCTACCAACAGGATGTGAGTAAATGATGGCATGCTGGATCTGCTGACTAGGCTAAATTGCATTCTGCATGATGGTGGTATGACAGTATGTGAGTGATCTCATGCCATATTTAGCCAGATCTTTGCTGAATGGCCTTGCTTCCTCTCTTGATGTTGGTGGCATGACAGGTGGTGAGTGATTTCATGGCATGTTTAACTGAATGTCTGCTGAATGACCTCACTCGCACTCTTGATATTGGTGGTATGACAGCAAGTGAGTGACTCTATGGCTGGTTTAGCTAGATCTCTGCTGAATGACCTCTCTTGCACTCTTGATGTGGTGGTATGACAGCGAGTGAGTGATTTCAAGGCATGTTTGGTTGGATCTCTGCTGAATGGCCTCATGTGCACTCTTGACATTGGTGGCACAATAGCAAGTGAGTGTTCATGGTATGTTTGGCTGGATGTCTGCTTGATGACCTCATGTATACTCTTGATGTTGGTGGCATGACAGCATGTAAGCAATTTCATGGCATGTTTAACTGGGTCTGCTGAGCATTCTCATGTGCACTTTTGATGTTAATGGCATGACAGTGGGTGAGTAATTACATAGCATATTTAGCTGGATTTTGGCTGAATGGTTTCACTTCCACTCTTGATATTGGTGGGATGACAGCGGGTAAGTGATTTCATGACATGTTTACCTGGACCTCTGCTGATTGGTCTCCGGTGCACTCCTAATATTAATGGCATGACAGTGGGTGAGTGATTTCATGGATATTTTTTAGCAGGTCCTCAGCTGAATGACCTCACTTATACTCTTGATGTTGGTGGCATGACAGTCTGTGAGTTATTGTATAGCATGCTTAACTGGATGGCTGTTGAATGGCTTCACATGAACTGTGGATGTTGGTGGCATGACAGGAAGTGAGTGATTTCAAGGCATGTTTGGTTGGATCTCTGCTGATTGGCCTCACTTCCTCTCTTGGTGACAGCAAGTGAGTGATTTCATGGCATGTTTGGCTGCATATCTGCTGAATGACCTCATGTACACTCTTGATGTTGGTGGCATGACAGCAAGTGAGTTATTTCATGGCTTTTTAGAGCTGGATCTCTGCTAAATGGCCTCATGTGCATGCTTGTTGATGACATGTCAGTGGGTGGGTGATTTCATGGCTTGTTTAACTGGATATCTGCTGAATGACTTCACTTGCATTCTTGATGTTGGTTACATGACAGCAAGTGAGTGATTCATGGTTTAGCTGATGTCTGTTGCATGACCTCACTTGCACTCATGATGTTGGTGGCATAACAGCAAGTGAGTGATTTCATGGCATGCTTAACTGGACCTCTGCTGAATGCCCTCATGTGCACTCTTGATGTTAATGGCATGACAGTGGGTGAGTGGTTTCATGGCATGCTTAACTCATTCTCTTCTGAATGGCCTCACTTGCCCTCTTGATGTTGGTGGCATTTCAGGGGGTGAGTGATTCAATGGCTTGCTTAGCTGGATCTCTGCTGCATGTCCTTACTTGCACTCTTGATATTGATGGTGTGACAGCAAGTGAGTGATTTCATTGCATGTTTAGCTGGATTGCTGCTGAATGGCCTCACTTGCACTTGTGGTGCTGGTGGCATGACAGGAAGTGAGTGACTTCACAGCTTGTTTAACTGCTCTGTTGAATGGGATCCCTTGCACTGTTCATGTTGATGATATTGCAGAATGTGGGTCAATTTAGGAAATTGATTGATCCCTTCTGATTACCTTCACTTCCATTCTTTGTGTTCCACTTGACTGATAGCTTGTGAGTAGCTCAGACATGTTATGTTGGGTGCCTACTGAGTTTTTTCCTCCCTAAACCATCCCCCATGGCAGAATGTGAGTGATTTCATGACTGGTTGAGGTCATGGTCTGATTATGATTGTGTGCTGGTGCCCTTGGTATGGCATCTTTGCCAGGAGGTGAGCAGCCTCACAGGAGCCATGGCTAGTTATGCTGTGACTATACTTCTGACACATGTGCCCTTGAAACTTTTAGCTTGTAAGTGTTGGGTTGCTATCTTCCCTTGTCTCAGGTGAACCATGTACAATCACAGTTAAAATTTCAAGTAAATCCTGGTGTCCCAATGCCACCTCTCTCAAAAGATGTGACTTTGTTGGGGAAGCTCCCAACTGTCCACTCAATAGCTGAGTATGCCATTGGTAAGGGTTTCTCCTTGCCTCCACAGAATTTGCTCACTCCTCTAGGATGCTTGCTTGTTGCTGAGCATTCTTACTTTTTAATGCAACATGGGCACCATGTTTGGCAGGAAGTTTTGTCATTGGCTGTGGAGGAATACAAAAACTCCAACATACAGACTGCTATTTCCAAAGTTGTGAAGACAGTTTTTCATGATCATGATGGTGATATGGATGGTTTATGTGATGCCATTATCAAGGTCATCATGGAGAATCGCATGTGTAAGCAGATCTTTTTCATGCTCATGAAGCTGTTATTCTCAGGTGTTTTCAGCAAACAAACTGTTGATTGGGCCAGGGAGCAAATGAAGTCTGCACATGGATAACACATTAAGAGTTGACTCTAGATGGATGTAAAAATGGAAGTGGAAATTAGCCTAAGTACTCCTGATGGATCATGATCAGTCTTGATGTCTCCATAAGGTAACACTAAGAAATAAACCCAAGCACAGATACTCATGCAGAAACCTGAAGCAATGCTCCAACAATGTTTTTAGAGGCCACATTTCTGGTCATTAAAAACACAGCAAATACCACTAGAAGCATGGAGGGAAGTTATTTAGAGCATGATATGTACCTTCTGAAGATGCTCTTATATCATCTGTGTGGGTAGACTAAGTAGGTGGCAGGGGAATGCCCATATTCATCTGATGGTCTACTTCCAATTCAGCCATTTCAGTCACAAGGAGGGATAAGAATTTGAGAGGCCTCCTCACAGTGTGAAATATGGTGGGACAAGAAAAAATATATGCACATCAGCACATGCATGATTTCTTTGCAGTTAAGGCATTCAACTTGCTTAAATTCTGTTGACTACTTGGTAGTGGAGTGTAGTAAGCCCAGGTGCTTATGTATTTGCCTCGAGAAGCCAGGTCAAGGTAATGTGAGTACATGGTCATGAAAATGATGAGTATGGATTCATCATTTATAATGGCACTGGAAAAACTCTTACATTTTCTCTCTGAATGCCTTGTGATGAGGTTGCAGTAACAGCTCAGACATATGTATTTAAGATCAGTAGCAAGGTAAAGTTGACTACTGGTCTGTAGTGGTCAGTCAATAAAAGCCATTTGCACCAATACAAAATTATTTTTTTACTTGACAAATTATGGAACTTATCATATTACTACTTATGGTACTTATATACCCTCCTGATCAATTTGTTGAATACTGGTCAGTAGCAACAGCTAGTCAACCATTGGCCAACCTTTTTATTGACCACAAGGATTAGATCAGTCTGGATACCATCTATGACAACACCATTTGAGATTGCACGAGCTTGAAAACAGAGATGTTACATGAAACAAATTACACACTTGCTGTCCAGTATGTATAATATATATGATTGTACAGTAGAGGCCTTTTTGCAATGTAGGACTCAAAGCTAAATCATTACAGTATCCATATTGAATATCATTAAGGGCATAAGAGGATACCAATGACTTACCCTGAACAAAAAGCTCAACTATACGAATAGTTGTCAGTGAACGAGACGACAGAACGGGCACCGTGCATGCCACTCACATCTTCCGGAGTCAAACGACCCATTGCCTAAGGAAGGCCGATCCGATCAGGAAAAAAAGAAGTTATTGTCGCTACAATTCACACATACCGATTCATCAGTGGACAACGTCGCATCCACCATGGCAGACTTCTTCTCCTGGAGCTACGAAATGGAAAGGTTACTAAACAAGACTGGTATTTTTCCATCAAACAAAGGCTACCTGGACGATGCGGCTTTCGATGCTATCTTCTATGACAAGTTTGATGGCTTGTACAGGACGATGTTGGCCAAGACGGTGAATACGATCCATGGCTTCTGTCAAGATGTTAGCTGAGCTGCTGAGTCGTGAAACTGTTCACTTACGGTACTCGACCTACGTAAAAAGTAAGAAGGGGGGAACTGGTCACGAAACGTGGAGTGACTCACCGCCGGATTCCACCAGCTGTCCATGAGGTATACCCGAGAAGCTTCTGTCAAGTTCAGAGCAACACCACCAGCTTTCAAGGAGACGAGGAACACGGTGACCTCGACATTGTTCACTATAATTACAAGAATTTTTCAACGATGGTCAACGACATTCCACAATGAGGTGCTCACTGAAGTGCTGGATTGTGGCATCTCGAGCGCGTGGGGACATCCCTCCCTCCAATCTACAAATCTGCAAATCGTTCACCGTTGCTTCTTAGCCCATTTAAACTGCTACAAAACACTGATAGCAACGCACCAGAAATCCTGCCTTCTGAAGCCTATATGCGATGAGGTCTAAAAAGTTTACGAATTGACTAAACACGATGCTCTTCGTGGTCGCATCTTGCAAGCGGAGGTTGCTTAGTTCTTCTATGAGGGCTTCGATCTTCGAGGACGACTGCCACGTGTCAAGATCGAGACGTCCCAGTATGCCTTGGCGTGCAACCGGTGCACTCTCGCCTAGTTCTAATGCTGGAGCCTCTAGATCTATTGTCAAAGGAAGATGGCAGACGGGACAGTCGGGCTACCCAACAAACACAAAGCGAATGAACTAACGCCGAGAGAGATCTGATTCGAAGAGTACAAACGCACCGAGACATCGCAGCTCGCGCTCAGGTACTGCTTGATACACTCACGATCAAAAATGTGCCGACACTTGGCTTGTATCGCGTCTTCGGCAAAGTCGTTGCAAAGCCGGCAGACTGTGCCTTCTCCTAGCTCCTCCGTGTTGAAGAACTGATGCCCATTTTTCTTGCTCCGAAGCACGAGGTCCGGATGGCAAGCCATCTGTCTCATACGGGTAATCCTGTGTGATACGTAGGTGAGCACTCTGAGGGCGGGCGATCGCTAGACATGTGTAACACACAAGCTGAAGATGTTCGAGTAGTCTACAAAGATACGTAAGCGCAATAATATCAATAACGGGAAGCATGGCACCATACTGTTCAGAACCGTGCCTGAATGCACGTAAGTGTTGAACTGACGCTTCGCGTCAGTGAAGAGAGAAAGATACAATTCCTTCTCTTCGGGGCTAAAGTAATCCCTCCTGACGATGACCGTTCTAGGTGGGAGACCAAGGTCATCGGCACGTTGAATCTAAAAGCAGCACATCGTCACTCTGAGGGGTAGACATCCAACACAGGTTCATCTGACACACCTTTGTTCGCCTGAGCATCAGTCGATCCAGGAGAATCCTCAGTTTCCTGAACGCCACTTGTCCTGGACCGACCATGCCGTATTTCTGGATCGGTGTTAAGATTTCTTGGTTCCAGAAACAGGTCTGAGTGACAACACGTCAATGCAATTCATAACAACAGGTAAGTAGCAGAGACACACGTGGCTCCCAGCACCATGTCCACACTCTGCGTATGCCTCAGCTTTCGTGGTGATATGCGTCAAAAACAAAACTACGAACCGTCACACGTCTTTTTGTCTGAAAAGTTCCAGTGCAACGACTGGCAGTCGCAGCGCCTGCCTATTCACATATGTGCTGCTAAGCAACGGTCCCGACACAACACAGGACAGAAACGCACAAAAGTAGTAGGAAAATGGATCGCCTCCCAAGAAACGAACCAAACTGTACAGCTCTCCGACACGGTTTTGAAGGGGAGTGCCGGACAAGCACCATTTATAGTTGCTCCGCAATTCGAAGCACGCTTTTGCAGTGTTTGTTGCGCGTTCTTTGATATTGTGAGCTTCGTCGAGCTAGCAATGCAAGCCTAAACGGGATGTGCCCAACAAAACTACAATAGACTCACGATAACTCTATTCCAGTTGATTTGGTGCAGAGGTGATTTTTCTTTTATTATCAATCCCTTGCGCTTGAAACCACTGTGTTGCTTCCGGAAACAACTCTCCGCAATAGCATACGTCGTCAACACCTATTACGTCACTGAGCAGAACGATATAAACGTGCATGAAATATGACCGACCACATCATATTTCTTGAGTTCCTCGTGATTCACACTGCGAGAGGAGCCGTGCCACACAAGAACGTTCATATTTTCCGTGTGGGCTTGGATCTCGTTCCGCCATTGGATGAGAGCAACAGTAGGTCTGCTCGAAGCGTGAGGATTCGCAGGATACTGACTTCAAGGGACCCGACCCACGCAATAACGAGATTTGGGCGTTTTAGATCAGAGACAAAAAGGGATATCATCTGTATGGTCTTTCCCATCCTGTGGACATGATTTCAGTACTACGGCTGAGCATATGCATATATGTACTCACCCCATCTCATCCTATACCAGTCATTCAGCGACTACGGCGAAGAGCAATAAATAAGTAAACTCACCGCCAAAATACCACCCTTCCAGACGCTTTCCTCCTGTTTTCGCATCCAAGAGAGGCTTTCTTGTTGGAAAGGCAACAAGGTGACCTTCAATCCAGCAGGTTGAGGGGCTTTCTCAGGCGCCGCAACCGCAACTCCTTTAAGATTTCTCCACACATTACGCAGTTCAGGATGGTGGAAGAGGAAGCGAATGCGTGACCTTTCCGCCTGCAAGACATGAAACCGAATCACACGGTGCATCGACAGAGAACTTACCAATGTGAGCTTGCGGCCAAACTTCCTCATCGTGACTCTGAACTCTTCTTCTATTGAACTGTAGACGACCGACTCGTCGCCCAGACCATCGTCGTCACCTTTGGATTCGGAAGGGGCACTCTCAGTATCATTCTGGTTTGAAAGCTCCATGCCGAGCTCTGATTCAGAGTCAATCTCATCCTCTTCAGAGTCTGCGTAGCTCCGGGATTGTCGGTTCCGCCTGGTAGCGGGACGCTTAAATGAAGACCGGCGACGGTTGTAAGCCCTTTTAGGGGCAGGTCTTGACGATGGTCCTGCCCCAGATGTGTCACGTTCGGCTTCTACCCTAGCCGTCTCACGAGACAATTGTATGGCAACGCTCATCATCTGAGCCTCATCTTCGTCTGAGGATGGCACGTAGTCATTTTCTCCGTGACCATTGACAGAGATGTCGTCGATGTCGGACAATTCGAATTCAGAGCCACTTGACTCCGACTCTGACACCTGGATGAGTTCTGGCTCATCTTCCGAGGCACAGAACGGATGGTTGTCGTGCTCGGTCTGAGGCGGTTCCAGTGCTTTACCTTTGCCTTTGTCCTTGATGCCGAAGCGTTTTCCAGTCAATGGCTGTATGGCGAAAACCTGACGAGCATATATCTCACTTTTGAGCTAACGACGGGTATTTCGACAAACATTGCTTTGGAAACGACCCTGCGCTTGGTGGCAACAACCTCTATTTCTTCGATTTCTGTGTCGGCGACGCGCTTCCTTGTATTCCTGTTCATGACAGAAGTTTTCGCAAGAAGTTTTTTGGGGACTTCCAACAACTCGACGTCTGAAGTAAGGGGCGTTTCTGGCTCGACAGAGAGCTGGTCAGTCATGGAGGGAGAAACGCTCGTGCTGGTGGCGGTAGTTGCTGTAGTGGCCGGCGTGGCCGAAGCGCGTGCGCGTCTCCTTGTCTGAACCATGCTGGGGTGGTGGGAGGGAAGGGAGTGGCAGTCAGAGTCGTTTTAAAGGAGCACGGCGACCATTTTTTTGACGTTCACCTAATTAGTGGGCGCGAGAATTGCCACAGACGCGACAAGCCGGCTCAGACTGACTCAGGGGTCATTTTATTATCTGACTCACACAACCGACACGGAAGTATTCATCACCGCTGTTCGGAAGCGGTGGACATTGAGTGGAACGGTGAAATGGCTGAGGAGGATTCTAGTTGAGTGCTGCACTCCGGGCCCAGGCTTTATTCTGCTTTGATAGGGGAAATGTTGTTGAGGAGGACCGTGACTGCGGATCAACGTGATAGGCTTGAGAGTCTCCGTGGCCCAAAAATGCTACCACCACCCGACTTCCCCACGAACGATGTTGGAAGATCCCTGCTGATATCAGTGTTTTCACCGGCAAAGCCTCGATGTTCCGGTGTCATGTGATTCGGGTAACCGAGCACTCGCATTACCCCGCAGAGCTCCCCCGTACTACACTGTCATCTCCACCATGCTACGCTCCGCTGTTCGCTCGGTTTCATCATCCAACATTCGACCGTTGGCTTCATTAGGTGCCAGGTGTGCCTCCAGGGTGGAGACTGCACTAACTGGGGCAAGCTTATCCATTACCTCCGGGAGCTCGAGGGCTTTCTCAGTATCGGCTCGTTCCATGGAGGGTTCTACGCTAAATTCATTGGATACTTTTACGGAGGAGGAGGAGATGCTGAGGGAATCTGGTTCGTCCTGTCTAATCCATCGTCCGGCTCAGCTATGACACTCCCCATCCATAGTCAGACGCTTCGCTACAGACGTCGTGGCTCCCAAGGTCCGGGAAATGGACGAGAGGGAAAGTATGGACCCAGATATAATAAAGGGCCTCTTTGAGCAAGGTGTCAGTGACATTCCAACCCATATCTGCACATCTTACTTAGCTGCCTACAGCTCATGGGCATCGAGACTAGCGTAGAGCATGGCGGTGCCGAATCATCGTTTACGTCCGCCATAATTGCTATCGAGGAATTGGCCAAAGTAGACCCCTCCGTGTCCGTCATGTGCGACGTCCACAATACCCTCGTGAATACCATCCTGAGGAAGTACGGCACCAAGGAGCAGCAAGATAAATGGCTACCACCACTCTCAGAGTCCAAGGTACGTGTATTACGCGGGCACCATGTAAAATGCTCACTTAGCTAGGGCCTTTTTAGCTGGGTTCTTTCTGCTTGTCTGAACCTGCGTCTGGGTCAGACGCATTCTCGCTACAAACGCGTGCCGTCAAGGACGGCAGTCACTGGATCATCAACGGGTCCAAGATGTGGATCACCAATTCACATGAAGCCGAGATCTTCCTGATATTCGCAAACGTACGTAAGTCCTCGTGTTAACAACAATCCCGGAGCTCACAAACGATGCAGGTCGATCCGAGCAAGGGGTACAAGGGTATCACGTGCTTCATTGCAACGAAGGATATGGGTATTCAGATCGCAAAGAAAGAGGAGAAGCTTGGCATTAGAGCTTCTTCGACGTGTACCCTGAACTTTGACGACCTACGGATACCAGAAGAGAATATTATTGGTGGCGAAGGCAAGGGATACAAGGTTGGTCTCCCTCGGTAACCGTTCCACCATTACAGAGAGACTGAAACATCACAGATCGCAATCGAAATCCTGAATGAAGGTACGTTCAGCACGCAAACCCGCTGCATAATAGTGAAAGAACTGCGTTTTCATAGGGCGTATAGGCATCGCAGCACAAATGCTCGGCCTCGCTCAAGGGGCATTCGACAAAGCCGTGCCGTATACCTACACGCGCAAGCAATTCGGCCAACCGGTCGGGACGTTCCAGGGCATGGCTTTCCAGATTGCACAGGCTGCCGTTGAAATCGAGAGTGCCCGCCTGCTGACGTACAATGCTGCTAGACGGAAGGAGGAAGGGAAGAGCTTCACCAAAGAGGCTGCAATGGCCAAGTATTGGGCAAGTGTGATCGCACAACGGGTGTCCGGTCAAGCAATCGAATGGGCTGGAGGGGTAGGGTTCACGCGAGAGACCGGGATAGAGAAGTACTGGAGAGACTCTAAGATCGTAAGTCATCTGCAACTTATTTTGTCGTCCAGCGAAGCCTAAGTGGTGCTTAACACAGGGAGCTATATACGAGGGGACATCCAATATTCAGCTACAGACGATTGCCAGGTTCATTCAGAAGGAGTACTCGTAGTTCGTACTGGTGTCAACGGCAGTTACTCATCTCACTAGTTGCGCTTATGAATGAGAAGAAGCACGCCCTCAAACACTGCCCAACCAATGACAGAGCTGAGGATCTTGCGAGACATACGAAGAGAGGCACCATCGAAGAACCCAACGGCACCTCGTTGCTGAACGAGCAGTTTCATATGCAAACACTTCCAGGTAGCTGTTCCACCTTACCTGCCAGATTCTAGACGTTGTGGATATGAACCCTCGGTATCGCTCTTCCGAACGGACCTGCATCTTGGTCTAGAGGTGACGTTTAGCAAGGTGATATGGATTACACCCGTTTACGTACTTTGATGACGTCAAAAGGGTGAGTGGCCATCGTAGCAATGGCACCTGCGGACGCAGCGGAGAGGCCGTGTATGGTGGTAGGGTATACGTTAGGGGCTAGAAACGCTGTGACACGGTACGTGAGCATGCACGTCCAATGATGAACAGGAACGCTGCCAACTTACTGGCTTCGTTCTTAACAGCTTCATAAACGACGACGAACAACCCGGCATATGGGGCATCTCTCAAAGACGATGCTAAAACACCACGCATCGATTCGGAGGGACCCGAGCGCAACACCGAGACGAGTGAACCAGTTAGGCTCTTATACGAGTAGAGCTCGCTCTATACCAACGGGCATTTGACATTCATTGCAACATATATACCACATCAAGCAAGACAGACCTCGAAGCGTGCTTTCACCACTGAGAAAGGGTTGAGCAGGAGGCCAACAGCGACACGGGCGGTTGCCCCAGCTATCAGATTGCCCTTGCTTGAAAGTTTGGGGAGTACTGTTTTGACACCGTCTCTCATTTCACGCATGTCCTGCGCTGCGAAATAGGGTGACCTGGTCATGATTGCGCGGAGGTGAGTTAGGCTGGTCATGTATAACGCTACCCCTGGTACGTTCCTGACAAACGGGAGGTCAATATTCGATGGATGAAAAAGGAGATTGCAGAAAGAACTCGTCAAGGGTACTCACCGCATGAGCGTAGCCGTCGTTCCCCTCCAAAGTCCCTTCATTCCATCCTGTTTGACGATATCACGAGCGGTATTCCATATGACTGTGGTATTACTGAGAGACACACGACCCGCTTTAGCGAAACCTGAGACCATTCTTGCGCTGAAAACCGTGCAAATCGCTACTCACCGGGAGCGCAGATGTGCATGTGTCTCCTTGTTGTATCCGTGTTTTTAACAAATCGACTGGTTCTGGTGGTCAGTTGCGAGTGCTTGCCACCCCTACTTTCTAGGGATTAAAGCTCACGAGGCTGGAGTAATACTGCTCCTGCGAATCCTGAAAGTGCACCTGTAGAGTTTTGGTGAGAGGTGGCCACGAAGGATTGGAAGTTGTATGGGTACTACCTGAGAACAAATGCTTGCTGACCCCAGCATCTTTCATTAAGGACGGCAGTGCTAGGAGCTAGTACAGACTTGGAAGACTATTGGTTGAACTGCAAGTCGTCCTGCTGGGGCGTTGTCGTCGGTCTCCGTAGGTGTGATTCCACAGAAGTCTTACTGCAAAGCCAGCATAGCCTGACCAAACTAATTAGATGTGAGGTGGCAAGCGGTATTAGCACAGGAAAACCCGACCAGGCAAGCCTTAACATTCTCCGTTCGGGAGGCTCTTACCACCACCAGACTATTGATAGACGATCTAACTATTTACGAACACACCTCATTCAATGGATGGTCTACTTATGATTACCAGCAATGTTTGCGGACACCATTGCGTCTTTACATGGCCTAATTACGTTAGCCCACGGCACTGCCTAGACGGCTGAGCCTCGAGGTTCGTCCACAGCATGCAACGTGGATGCGGGGGCTTCAACTCTACAGCAACTCTTCCGTCAGTACAATCCTCCCTACGAGTCTTCAAAATTCAATTAACCCTCAGGCTAAGTGTAAGAGATCTTGTCGTAGCCGTTGACGACGTTCTAATGTGTATTAATCACCTAGTCCAATATGCGTTTAATTGATGTCGAAGTCTTCCTGGAAAGGGAGAGACAGATAAAGGAGGAGGGGAATGTCGACCGTGGTACCAAGCTTGTCCTGAAAGAGCTCGACGATACGGTTACCGATTACTCCATACTGTCGCATCGTTGGATCTACAATGATGAGGTGGACTACAAGGAGATGACGAAACTCGCGAAAATGGAGAATCGAGACGAGATCCGAGGGCGCAGCGGCTACCAGAAGATTATGAAGAGCTGCCAGCGAGCTAAGGACGATGGATTAGAATGGCTCTGGGTCGATACCTGCTGTATCGACAAGCGGAACAGCACAGAGCTGTCAGAAGCCCTGAACTCCATGTTTCGGTGGTACCAAAATTCGAAGAGGTGCTATGCTTACCTCCACGATGTTAATGATTTCCCTGTTACACCTGATCCTGAGAGGTTTGCAGCATCCGAAGGCTGGCCAGAGTGGTTCTCGCGAGGCTGGACGTTGCAGGAGTTGATAGCTCCGACGGACCTCCAGTTCTTTAACAAGGATTGGGAACTCATTGGAGAGAAAAGAAACCTCGCGTCCACGCTAGAGAAAATCACACGCGTCCCATCTCAAGTCCTTGCCGATGGTTTGACTTCATACTGTCCCAGTGTTGCCCAAGTCATGTCGTGGGCCGCTAACCGGAGGACAACTCGAGTCGAAGACCGAGCATACTCATTGGCGGGTTTGCTGGATGTCAACATGCCTATGTTGTATGGCGAAGGGAAGAGAGCATTTCTACGTCTTCAACAAGAGGTCCTCTGCAAGTCAACTGACCAAACTATCTTTGCTTGGAACCCGACAGAAGGAACTCCACAGACCTGTGGCGTACTAGCAGGAGATCCGAGTCATTTCCGCGACTGCCACGATATTATCCAGATGGAATCAAGGGAGCTCTGCTGGAGACTACCTGAACTGCGGTTTGTTGATGTCAAGAACAGCCTCACCAGAGGGATTTTGCCGATGTGGACTTCCGAAATGCAAGCCTTCCATTCATTCATCACTACCAATGTGGGAATCCAGGTGTGGTTTCCCACTAAGCGCTATCCTGGCTGCCCACTTGTTTTGCAAGTGGTGCTGGCATGCAGGAGAGAAGGTAGTTTATGGCCGATCACTATTAATGTGGTCCCCTGGAGGTCCAAATGCTACAGGTTTGTTGGCGAGGTCGGGTGGAACCCTTTACCAGGTTTTTACACGTACTCACAACTCGTTCTGACTCGCGAGCTCACGGGCGCTCCCACTGGCATTGTCATCGACGAGGTGGACGGCGTGGTCGCATTACTTAGGAGGAAATGTGCAGCTATGGCTGGCACCAAGGTGGATGGCCGGAATATACGACCTGTTGGTGTCACTGTTGCTGAAATTCATCACATCACGCGCCAAGTGCCAGAAATCTTTGTCGACATAATTGCCGTACTCCGTTTCCTCTGCCTCCTCCCCTGTATATGCATCTTCTATGCGATTATCGCGGGATGGACTAGTTGGCCTGCGTTTGCAGTGGCCTGGCTTGCTATCATCCTTTTTTGGATATTGTCAGAAGTGTCAACAATAATCCCATTTACTTGCCGTTGCACGGAAAGTGCTTCGCCTCCTGGAGAGTATGTCATCAGCTCAGATGCAGAAATTGTCTTATTGAGGGGGGAGGAACGTGCAGTCGCTTCAATCATTCGTGGCGAGACAATCCTTCCATTGCAGTCTCTGCGGTTTTCACGCCAACTTACATTGGCCGCGCATGTAGCCCTTATTTTTGGAGAGTTTTTGGCGGACCCTTCCACTGCAATGGTTACATTGCTGGAGCTCCAGGCTGTGGCTACGATGATCACGCATCTCGTACTGTTGGTTCGAGTGTGGGTCCCACTACGTAATTGGGCTGCAATTCAGGCTCTCCGCCAACCGAAGCTCACGAAGTACACGTTTGGTTCTCGCGGGAGCGGGGTGGTGTTTGCACTTCTTCTCTTGCGGACTGAGAAGGCAGAGGGGGTACTGCACGAGCTCTTGCCTGTGCCAAATTCCAAGGAGTGGAGGAAGTGGAAAACTGTCATCCTGGATCGTATCAGGCGTAGGGGAGATTTTGACTTTGACTCCTCCGAGTGGGATGACGGCACTTGGACCGATACGGAGAAAGAGGACCTGATCGGACTCTTCCAAGATGCCCGTGATGCCTATCGAGTCTTCAAAACGCACTTTGTGCAGTCAGTCTCCTAACACCCACCGGTTTGATGACTCACATCACGTCTATACCGACAAGCACAACTGTCAAATGTGTAAGTTTAACATCATGATGATATGGTTCTCGCTGACTTCGGGGATTCCCCTGCCGCTAGTATGTGAGGTCACCTTGATGCCTTCTATGAGAAAATGTCGTCCGAAGGCTAAGCAGCTTTCAATTGCATTGTCTTCCCGTCATGTTTTTATAGTCAAATCTTGCCATCTTTGCTGTGCTTTCCTCCCCGTGATACACATGCATTGTTGTGTCGGTCCCTTGTGCTAAGTAACCACATACATACTATATGCACCACACGAGTCTATTAGCAATATAGGGGCCATGCTAGATTGGGGTTTCGAGACACACAAGTTGATTTTCGACATCAACGATCCATGATCGCCCGCAGAGTTCTCCGAGAGCTCTTACAACGACCGCTGGGTCCTTACCATGACAAAGATGTCCTTAGCAAGGAGTGTCGGTTATCGGGACAATCTAAGCTAGTTCTCTACTCGTTTGTTCTTGAGCGTGAAGGGCGTGTTATAGGGTATGATACTTGCGATAAAAATTTTGGCCCTTCCTGGTTCTTCTCATGCATCCCGTTCTCCAGCCTTGACCAGTCAGAAACTCCCCTAGAGGGAAGGCGTGAAGATCATCGCAGGTTTCGTTTCCGCGGCACCCTCAAGATTGGCGATCCGGATTGGCTCTCTGACTGGGGTGTCAAGTTGGTGGAAGCAGAGCTTGATTTACGTTGGTCTGAACGGGCCATGCGAGAAGGGGAGAGACGAGGTCCACCACTAACACTCAAGGAACTTTTTGGGAACAAACTGCTCAAGTGCTCCGGTTCAGCGCTTCGTGACGGCGATGACGAGTGCGAACTCCTGTTGAGGATCCAAGGCGAAAGGGGGCTGCCTGCTGTCTTCATGAGAGGTGAGTGCCTCCACCCCACTTATGAGGTCCTATTCCTCGAGTCCGCATTGTCTTTTCACAGCTAGCCGGGTCAAGGACGAGCTTCTCTGGACATCGAAAGACCAGTGAGTATCCGAACGACCTCTCAAGTCCTTTACTTCATAGTTGCCGAGGCTTCGTCAGTACGAAGTGCACACCATGGACGTGGCCACCTATTCATTTTCCGAAAACTTCTTGTGGCGCTATCGCCTTTTGGATCTCATGGAAAAAATCGTGGAACGATATCCTTACGTTCCCATCGAAGCACGACATCCAGAATGGTTCGCGAGAAAATATATCCGGGATTTCGCTTACCCGGAGAAAGATAAACATCGGCGTATCATCTACGACTCTTCTGATTCTGACATCTCTGACACGGACGAACGGCGCGTTCGCACACCACGCCAGTTGCTTCACGTGCATAAGAGTGAGATTCTTGGCCTGTTTGCAGCACATGCCGAGTGGCTGCTCACTAGCGAAGCCGCTCGACGAAACAACGTTTTAGATCTTAAAGTGTGGCACATATTTTGGAAGCAGGTGAAGAAGGAGAGGAGAGAGGCTGCCAGAAATGGCGTGATATGGGGGTGGCCAGTTGGGCAGGAACCCCGGGCGGAGGATCCCATATCATCTACTTCTAGTGAGGAGGATGACGAAGATAATATCGTGGAACGTAACCCTGTGATTGGAAAGCCGACACCACTTGTCCAGCGTAAGCTGGAGATTGCGAGAAAAAAGAGATCGAACGGTAGGAGGAGGATAGAGAGTAGCGCTTCCGAGTCCGAGTCGGATGTGCAGGGACATGCGTATGCATCTGACTTCTCAGGGGACTCGGAGTCTTCTTGGGAACCAGACGAATTCCCTGCAGCTGATAAAGAGGTCCTCCGTTTGGTTCCCTGGCAACTCACTATTCCTCCAGATCCACCGGATGCAACTGGACGTTGGCAATGTCCGTTGCCAACTTGCCAGTACAAGATCGACCTGCGCCGTTTGACAGAGGAGAACAGGAGGGATGTAGATGACGCGATTATCCGTTACATCATGCGGAAAGAATGGCAGAACGTCTACATGGATGACACGGTTATTCGTGGATTTCTGCAGATGGTGAGGAACCACAATGATGGTCATTTCGCGGAAGTTGGCGTGAAAGTTGTTAGGGAAGGAAATCGGGTAGGCTTTCTTCCTGCCCTTGACTGTGTCACTCACACATGGATAGGAACGATTAGAACGAATCAGACCCCGCCAGGAAGGTGTGGAACCCCACCCCTTGCGAGGACGCCTTCCTCCCAAGGGCTCTCTGCGTGGGGAATCAACAGCAACCATGTTTCATGTGATCGAGTAGATGGTACTCTTTGCAACCGTACCGATACCTTTTAGAGGTACCTTGCACTCCATTGATTCACCATATACTTTGCGGATTGGATGCACTGCAATAAGTTACGTGTTGCGAATCAAGGTATAACAAGTAAATCTACTGCACTGATACATGGCACGTTGAGGTTTTCGTCACGCAAGTTTGCTACAATGCACCCTCAAACAACAGTTTCCGAGGCTTACTTATCGTGGGCGGAGGCAGATATAATGCTGGCCTACAAACATGGCAAATATAAGATCAGGGAGAGGAATGAAATACAAGGAGCAACCTACATTGACGTGCCGCAATTTGCAGCAGGATTACCCATGATGATACTCTCGGAAACCCCAGAAATGCTATCATTCTTCCCGAACGCTGCGGCGTCGAAGAGGTGGTCCGTTGTCTTCTCGAAAGATGCGAGCATCATAACGCTGTCCTTCATTTTCGCGACACCAAACCGAGTGATGCCCAGAACTTCGCCCTGTGAAGTGTGCATGCATGAGCGAACGAGCTATGAAATAACCTGGTAACTGTCGTACCTTGTAACTCATGACATCTCCTAAAAGCATGACATGCCGAGGATCGATACTCATGCCGTGACTGGACATCGTGAACTGAATTTCATTGATGATCGTTCTCCTGGCGGCTTCGATGCCAAGGACCTTTGCCGTCTCAATTACGTGGTTAGATGTCGTGTGTTCCCCAACGATTCCTGGATCTATTGTGACGGCGCAGCCGGTGTTGATCAACACGTTTACACACCTTCCGTGATCATGACTTTCTGCAAGCCATAGCCCTCCACAAGTAACTCTTTGTCACCCTTCTTCCCCTTCACGTCATCTTTTTCTTTGATGTTAATGATGGCGCGTTCAATGGATGGCACACCCTTTACGACGACGTCGGGCAGTAAACGCTTGAGTTCGCGCAGCCTGTAGTATTTGTCTAAGCCGTCAACGTATATGCGCAGTCGGTTCCGCCGGGGAATGATGGTGATCGACTACGAACAGAATGGTGAATTGTAGCAATTTACAGTGTCATGCTTTACAAACCTCTTGCTTGACCTTGAGTTTCTTTGCGTTTACGATTGCCCATTTGATGTCGTCCAAAGTAAGTTCGAGCTGTCCAGTGCAAAAACTGAATGTATGCGCATCAACTTTTAGAACCAATGACCGACCTGTAGTTTAGAGACAGCGTCCATATCGACAATGACACCGATATAAGTGTACTCTGGTGCCCACGCCTCCTCCAAAACTGCAGCGACCTGTAGGAAACCGGTGATTAGCAAATTGATGAAGATTCAAGTAACTCTTCGTACGTCACCGAGGTGAGTCTTTTCTAATCGACCTTTCACTATCCGAGCCGAAGGCTCACTGTCCGCGGTGACAAGCTTACAACTAATGATAGGCGTGCTGATGGCCTTGGCAGCGTTGATGATCTCTTTTATACGAGGCACACCCAAGGTGACGTTCATGGAAGCAACTCCGGCAAAGTGGAAAGTTTTGAGCGTCATCTGAGTACCCGGCTCGCCGATCGATTGGGCCCCGACGGCACCCACGGTGGAACCTGGGATAGGAGAGTCAGATGAGAAACACGCAAGCAAGATTGTACAGTAGAATACCTGGTTCGATCCTCGCCTTTACATATTTTACCCAACAGAGGTGCAAAAAGCACAGAAGCTGGGCTTCCGTGACCCTTCCCATGTTGCCGACGAGTTTCTTTTCAGGCACTGGGTAAAGAGATGAGTAAGTCATCCATACAGTTGGGCTTGAACATACCAGTTGCACCCATGGATAAGTCGGTATCCGAGTCCCATTCTTCGAAACGTTCAAGGGCTTCAAACATTCCGTGGGCCTTGCGCATCTTTGCCAGCCGATGTACAACGTTGTCTGTGATGAATCCGCGGATGGTTGCAATGTACGCAGCCGTGCATTCGCTGGTGAACTTCTTGGTGTTCAACCCACGATCAACCACCTCAAGAATTTCGAACGGCAAGAGCGGGCGACCTCCTCTGCCGCTAACAGACTACCAATTCCATTGCACTCTCAGACATCTAATAAATAGATGTGAAAAAAAAAAGAACACATACCAAAGCGTGCTTCCAGGACCTCTCAAACTCGACAGGTTGCGCATCACCTTCTAGGCAAGCAGGATCGAGCCCGTCGTCTCCATACCTGAATTGCACAACTCCGCCTGTAGAGTTACGAACGGACAAGTCGTACTGCGTTGTCAGGTCTTCTAATGCCTTCATCAGTCGGCGCTGCATGTAGCCGGTTTCTGCAGTCTTCACTGCCGTGTCGACCAAACCCTCACGCCCAGAAATAGCGTGGAACAGAAATTCAGTGGGGAGAAGACCCGTATAAAAACTGTTGCGGACGAAACCCTTCGAAGGAGGCTCCTTAGATTTCTTTGGGAAGTGAGGAAGCGATCTGTCTTGAAATCCATCTGGCACACGTTTTCCGGCTATAATTTGCTGACCGACACAAGCAACCATCTGGCAGACGTTAATGACGGAACCTTGAAGATATCGCGTCAGCCTCATGATTAATTGTTAACTGTGATGTTAACATATTACCTTTCGAACCACAAGTTGCCATGATGAGTGGTGCGTTGTGGCGGCTGAGTTCTATCATGCAGATTTTCCCGACCTCGTCTCGGACCTTTGAGAGCACGGAAGAAATGAGAGCTTCCAACGTTTGCTCCTGATTACATCCAGGTTTGTTTTCGAGAAGTCCCTTTTTGGCTTGTGCAATTAGGTTATCGCATTCCGCGTAAGCCTTCTCAACCATGATATCCTTTTTGGAGACCAGTATTGGTCCAGGTATAACGTCATTTATACCTAGTGAGAAACCAAAGTTCGCTGAGGAGGAATGTCAGTATTCAGCCATTTCTTGGATTGGCCAACTGAACTTACCTAACCATCGCGCACAAAGCTTCGCGACACGATTCATCGCGGCAGCGGCCTCATGTGGACCATAGTCGCGCATAATTATACCAAATATCGACTTTTTCTTGCCGCTACCGACGGTGGCTTTGTCCATGACGCCACACATGATTTCACTATTGACGATCACCAACCAACCATCGTTTGGCGAAAGATCTGGGAGTGGTTTCATTGCATAATGCTTTGCGTCTGGCTCGTCGACTCGATTGCACTTCGACTCGACGTTGACAAGGACTTTGGACTGCTTGTTCGGACGCATGAGCACATTGAAAACTTGTTTTCCTGTCCATAGTCGCACAGGCTTCCATATCGTCGGCGGCGGCAAATCTATTTGTAAATCTGCGTCCGCGAAGTAACAACATATTTGTGTAAATTGACGGCGGTCGAAGAACGTGTCCCTCTTGGAGAGTAGATATGATGCGGTAATGAAATCCTGGATGGCCGCGATGACAGGCTCACCATTGCGAGGCGTTACAAGATTGTTTTTGACACTCATAAGCTCTAGTGCTTCTGTGCGAGCTTCCTCGGTCTGTGGAACATCTACGCAAGAGAGTTTGAGACGACAAAGGGATGTTTTGCAGTGAGACTTACGAAGATTCATTTCATCTCCATCAAAGTCGGCATTATAAGGGCCACAAACGCATTCATTCAATCGGAAAGTCCGCCAAGGTCGCACTCGGGCTCGGTGACACATGATGGAAAGCTACAGCTTAATGAGTCTATTGGATAACGACTTGAGAGTGCACTGACCTTGTGCAAGCTGGGCTGGCGGTTGAATAGGACAACATCACCGTTGATAACGTGACGTTCTACAGTGTCCCCGATTCGCAGACCGTCAGCAATGGCGTTGCGATTACCGAACTTTAGGAACTTCTTGAAGCCACTACTCCCTGCAGTGACGTAGTTCGCACCGGGATGAATATCGCAACCATTGCGAACGGCCTGGCGTAAGCGCTCAATGTTATGAGGTGTTACCCGTTCCGGGTACGTTAGGATTTTAGCGACACGTTCCGGGACAGCAACTTCATCAATCCGAAGATTAGGGTCGGGAGATATGACAGTACGTCCAGAAAAGTCGACACGTTTCCCCGAAAGATTGCCGCGGAAACGGCCCTGCTTTCCCTTTAGACGCTGGACGAAACCTCTCATTGGTTTCTGGCCGGCTTGCGAAGGTACTCCGGGAAGTTCCGAGTTGACATACATGGCGACGGAGAGCTGGAGGAATTCCCAATGTTCCATGAACTGCGCTGTAGGAGCCCCTTTTAAAAGACCTTGTTTTATCAGAGCATTTGTGAAGACTATCTCTGTTAGCTTCACAGTGAGGTCGTCCTCATTTGAAGCTCCATCCTGGGCTACTGAAGGTCTAATGCAAACTGGAGGGACAGAGATATACTGCCAAATATATTCTTCTGGTCTCCCGAATTCAGGTCGCAGCCCTAGCAATTCGCAGTCCTGATTGTTAGCGGTGAGATTGAGCAGAATGGCAAACATGTGAAGGGGGCAACGCACTTCGTCTGATATTCGTCGGAAGAGATCAAGCACCTTCAAAGGATTTAGTTCCTCGTAGACCGCCCTCTTGAGGTACATTCCGAGCTCCTTTTGTGCCTCGACAGCGGGGGCAAAACTCCGCTTCCACTTTTCCATCTCATCTGCCGTTTTCTTCGCACGGAACTTGTCATGGATGATTTTCAATGCGCCCACTTTCTTGACGGCTCCGTTTGTTGCTGAGCAGTAAGGGCAATACACGACCTTTCTGGCCGCGGTATTTACTGCCTTGCAAAGCGCTTGGCGCTGAATATTTTCCAGGCCGGGACGGCGAAACCGTTTGAGAAAATCTCGTCGTTCGGGTCCATCCAATAGCACGCGTGCGCAAGTCTATCACAGAACTATGTCGGCGATATTTATCGGAATGGAGGAAATTCGTACCTTGCATATGGCTTGCAGAATGGAAATCGTGTGCTTGAAATATCCTATATGAAAAACGGGGACGACCAGTTTGATGTAGGCATAATGTCCGACGCAGTCTACAGACGACATGCCGCACGTTTCGCAGAAAGCATTCTTCTCCGATGTTCCCTGAGTAGACGGTGTCCTTCAACACTACAAGGAAAATAAAAAGACCGGGACTACGCACAAGTCGCCTATCCAAAACGCCATCCTTGACTGGTAGTCTGTCTATAGGGGTATATAAATCGCGATGGGTGACCTGGAACTCTGATAGTTGCACGGTGTCCTGTGCATTTAAGAGGCTAAACTGCAGCCGCTTGCTACAAGTCTGTCACTATGTGCGTAATTCATATGTAGCTACTTACTTACATGACCTTGGGCGCCTGTGTAGATACGGATTCCTTCATTGAGTGCCTTGGTTCGGTGTCATGGATGGAAAGGCGAAGTTATACCGAGTCCAATCTCGCGGCTATGACCACGTGACGATCTCCCAATTTAGAAACGATCGATCCTAAAGCAAGTCAGGGGTGATTCCATATCCGGGTTACTCCCATAACACGTGAAAGGTCCGCTTGAAGCCTTGAAGCGACCGGGAACGTTGATGAAGCCACCACACTCTTCATCTACACGGCCGTCGTAGCGCGATTCGATAACATGTCACCAACTCACCTGAAAGAATTCACCCTCGAGGAGGTCGCAGAGGTGAGCGGTGGGACGGCTTATCGATCTACTCGAGTTGTGTTTAGTGACTTGCGTACAGCACAACAAGGAAGGAGACCTGGTTCGTTACCGGTCTTCCTTTTTTTTCATGTCGAGCTTACCTCTAAGGTAGTGGGTTGTAATCGATTCCAAAGTTTATGATTTGTCCCGGTTCGCCAACCTTCACCCTGGAGGGCCAGATGTGTTACTTGCAAGCGGTGTGGGTACGTCGTAACTCCACTCACTCTCGTATCATCGCTTGACGACCTGTCAGCCGGGAAAGATGCTACCACAGCTTTCTTTGGTTTGCATCGTCACGAAGTTCTTCGTTCCCAGTATGCGCGCCTTCAAATCGGCTCCATCCGTGGCCAAGAGGAACACATCAAATCACCAGAACCAGGAGCCATCTCTCACGTTCCTTACGCTGAGCCTACCTGGCTTACCCCTGGCTTCCATAGCCCATACTACAGTGACAATCACAGACGCTTTCATCATGCGGTGCGTGCCTTCTTCATGAAGGAACTTTACCCGGAAGCCTTGCGTTGTGAAGAGAGCGGAAAACGTATATCCCAAGAAATGGTGGACAAGCTCAGGTGGGTTCGACTGCCATCTGCTTCGTGTCATCTTGGCCACGACACAACCCCGACAGTAAGTTGAACTTTTTGGCAATGCGGCTGGGTCCAGGAAAGTATCTCAAGGGTCTTACGCTCATGGGTGGGATCGTCAAACCTGAAGAATTTGACTATTTCCATGAGGTTTGTCTCATTATGTGAATCTGCCGCTGTCTCCGCCATTTTGACGAGGCTTCCATAGCTCATACTAAACACCGAACTTGCCCGTTTCGGAACTCGAGGATTTGTTGATGGCCTACTCAACGGTGGGGTCATTGCTCTACCCCCAATCTTCAACTACGGTACACCGGAACTTCAAATGCAGTACGTTCCAGACATACTCGCAGGCAAGAAGTATATCGCTCTGGCAATCACGGAGGCATTTGCAGGCAGTGATGTTGCAGGCGTGCAGACCACAGCAGCACGTGAGGGAAATGAATGGGTCATTACTGGAACAAAGAAGTTCGTGTAGTCTAGTACAGACTTCAGGGACCACACGATACTAACGAGTTATAGGTGGATCACAAACGGGACATTCGCGGATTATTTCACGACGCTTTGTCAGACAGACGTACGTGACCATTTTTATCTCCCCCTGTTACTGCGTGTCGATGACATCCTCCGAGGCAGTCTGGTCCGACAGTTATTCTGGTTCCCCGCTCTTCCACAGTGTCCACAAAGCCTGTCAAGACATCCTACTCTGCGACTGCTGGCACCGCCTACGTCACATTCTCTGGCGCGCGTGTACCCGTGTCACACACGCTTGGCGGAGTTGGACAAGGTCTGCGTGTCATTCTATCTAACTTCAATCACGAACGGTGGATGGTCGTTGGGACGAGCCTCGGTGCGCAGCGACTCGTCGTCGAGGAATGCCTGAAGTAGGTTCTCACGATCACTACCCTCTCATTATTACTAATTCCTCGCCACTAAATCCATCAGATGGACAGATCAGCGTATGGCGTTTGGGAAGCCACTCAATGCACAGCCAGTCATACGCGCGAGACTCGCACTCATGATCGAACGAGTCGAGGCATGTCAATCCTGGGTTGAAAATATAACCTACCAAATGAACCATGTGCGTCTCTGAGTCTTGCGTTACGGGCAATACTGAAAGCAGTATTTGTAAACCAGATGACGTACGCAGAGCAGTCGGACAAGTTGGCTGGGCCAATTGCCCTCCTAAAACAGTAAGTTGCGATCAGCACATGTCGGTATATCGTACCCAGCATATATGATAAGGTTCGTATCTCGTTCGGGTCGCGAGACCGCAGAAGATGCAACCCAAATCTTTGGTGGGCGGGGCATCACAGTAGGAGGGATGGGCAAAGTCATCGAAAATGTTCGTTATGCATCCTCTGTGATCCCACCCTCACTCATGTTCTTCCTTTTTTCATTTATTTATGGTGAATTCGCCAGTTCCACCGGACTTCACCATTCGATGCTATTCTTGCAGGGGCCGAAGATGTGTTGGGTGATCTTGGTGTCCGCCAGGCCGTCCGCAAGATGCCCAAGAACGCAAAACTGTAACTGGGTCAAGTACTGTTACATCCCTTTGTAAGAGGAAAGCGCCCATTGTGGAATTATACCTCTATCGTTCAAAGGTTGTAGTCTTTCGACTTTGGGGTTGGTCCAACTGTAGGTGTAAGGGGTGTAAATAGGTGTGAATGCTAATACTCGTCATTCTTTTTTAACGTCTCCCGCCCACGGTTTGTCGATCGCGGCCCCGCCCGGCCAATGCGAACTACATCATATCACGTGGTTGAACTGTATCAACGATGTTCGGCGTCCCGCGGATGCCAGAGAACGATGAAAAGTTAAAAGCATGTTGCAGACAACTTGATCCCGACATGAGGGACTTCAAGAAATCCTGCATACCCCGGCGACTCCTGGCTACTTCCTTTGCATTGTTCTGTCGTGTTTTGTGACCATTTCTTGGTTCTAATTTCTCTTGTTTTTCCGCACGTAGGTCGTCAGGAAGACAGCAAATTCCGGAATAATGTCCTTGATAACACCCACATTTGCCCAATTTTTGGCGCGAACTCGGAGGCGGCTGTTAGCAGTAATAATGGATAACAGGGCTACGGGTCACTACTGACCCTACAAGGAAGTGCAACTCACCTATTTGAAATCTCATATTGAATACGAACGTTAGTTGCCTCCCCGAGCGGCACTCCTTCCACATAAGAGGTGCAGGTGAGCCTTGCAACGTCATGGCTAAGTGGAAAACGTACCTTCATCTGATACCAAAAACGACATTTAGTCTAGGCTATGTCACCACTGTCCATGGTAATAACATACATCTCGGAGACTGTCTTATCAAATGACCATTGACAGGACACTGTCGGGAGCATGACGTTCGGCTCCACCCATGACAAACAGGTGAGATTGATGCCGGCGCGAATCTATTCATATCGCATTCGTGGACAGCTCTGATTAAACCAGCCCGTGGGTCTCTGTAGTTGCTACGTGTTAGAGACGTATGGCTCCACACTCTTTTGCTCAACTTTGGTGAAAGGAAATTACATACCACGATTATGCCCAGGACTTAAGATATAAAAGTATGGTGAAGTGTGAACCATCCTTAAAAATCCACTCGCGAATATGCAACTCTCGACAGCATTCGTTCTCCTTGCCCTTGCGGCGTACGCGCGTGGACAATGTGCAGCTTGCGCAAACACCGTGGACGGCCAGGCCTTTGTAAACTCGTGCACTCAGGGCACTATCTTCGCGACCTATTGCAAGTGAGTACCATTCACCCGACGGAGTTACCGAAGAGCTAAAGAGATTTTGGTCAGTTATGCCTGGACCAACAATTGTATTTATGTCGTGCGTTCATGATTGCCCTTAAGAGATGAGCGTGGCAACATCCAATAAATATGGACAGCCTGATCGCTACACCCTTTCCATTGGGATCGGTGATTGCCCAACCTATGTAGAAACAAGCTCAGATTGCACTCCATGTTGACGCCCCTGTGGAGTCGGGCGGTGAAGGAAGTTGAAGAGGATTATTCATCAATTCTTGGTGTTTCTACTGCTCAGGTGATATCCCCCTCCTGAACATTAGAGACCCGAGGACGTGCTGGCGCGGAGATGATTACAGGATAGACGAAGAGCTAGAAAGACATTATGTAATTTGATGTAGAATTGAGGCAGCTGCAAACATCCCCTATTCTTCGTCAGCATTCTGCGCTCGAACCCGCTGAAAATTCAAAAGCCTTCACGGTTAAGGGCGGAGCTTACCGCACACTGGCATAGGAATTTCCCCCTATTTCAAGTTCCTATCGGCCTCGCTGAGTGGTCTTGGTAAAGCAGCGTAACTCGGAGTCCCTACAGCTCCTACTACGTAGAGTAGCGAGCACTCGTAAGTGATTGCGGTCGAAAGTACAAGCCAGTACTGATGCACCTTGTAACGTCTTCTAATCTCGCCTCCTACGTTCACTGTACAAATGTTTTCATCAAATGGCCATCGATGCGACACTATGAGGAGCATTACATTCAGCCTCTCACCAGCGAGGTGGGATTGATGCCAATGCGAGCGTATTGATATCATCAAATTACATTCGTGAACAGCTCTGACTTAAACCTGCGGCCAATAGCCTTCCCCTTCCTCCTCCGCGCATTAGGGCCTTGGATGGAATATAAACGGTTAGTTCTATTTCTTTCCCCGCGCGTCGCCGCAGGCCACACATATTGGAAAGTAACCTGACGCCAACGTGTCACATCCACATTTCCTGCAGTCTTCTGTTCAGCTGGTCGGAAAGAAAACTAGAAACTGAAATAATGAATTGTCCCCGGAACTCGAGGTATAAATGCATAAAGAAATCTAATCCACTCGTAAGGATACAACTCATGAAAATGCTCTTGCTGGGTCACTGGTATTCAAGATATGTGAGGTCCCACACCAAATGAAGGTTCGGTTCCAAACATTTTAGTTATAACCCTTGGTTACCGCTTCAGCCTCGGAATCTCAGCAACGGAGTGTCGTCCCCGAGCATCCTAAAACATCCGGCCGTGGTTTGGGAATATCGATATCGGTGCCAGTACTTCGTTTTCAGGAGTCCATGCGACGATACCGCCACTACTGAAGGTTGAACATATCAATAGCATGACCCATCATCCTCTGAGCCTGACTGTTTCAAGAAAAACAGTTAAAATGTTCAGCAGATACAACACGAACCTGACTTGAGGGACTTTGAGAGCTCTACGTTTCCTGACGGCCACCGTCGCATTGTTTTGCCGTATCTTACGGCCGTCTTAAATTCTTGCGTTTCTCCGCAAGTAGGTCTTCCAGCACACAGCACATTCTAGCATACTATTTTGATAACAAGCACACTTGCCTAATGTCTGGTGAGCGAACCAAGAAGTTGCTGCTCACCGTAACGGGTACCGGAGTCACGGGCCAATATTGGTCACAGAAGGAAGCACAATTCACCTATTTGAAACTCTCATGCGGAATATGAAGCTTGGGTTCAGTCTCATGTCAGTAGTAAACGAGGGTCGGACTGCTCGGAATTTTCTCAGCAAGACAGCGTTAACTGGGTGTCCCTACAGCTTCTAGGGGCGAACTCCCATGTGATGCATTTGTAGTCAAGTGCAGGTGCAGGTGAGCCCTGCAATGTCGTTGCTAAGTGGAATACACCCATAGTGGTTAATGGTAGACAATTGATTTCATCCAAAAGCTCCAAGATGCCCAACGACAGCACACCATCAAGAGCATGACGTTTCAGCACCCGCCCCGAACCCACTAAAAAGGTGAGATCGCTGCTGGCGCGAATACATATAATCACCTGATGTTATATGTTGCGGTCTTGGCAGTCGGCGCCAACACACCTATCAGAGGACGGTCTGATGTTTTCCCCCCGCGCCGCTGCAGTTGCCACGTATTAGAAACAAAGCCAACGTGTCGGGGAGGAAACCACGTACTAGGAACGTGCCCCTGAACTTGGGTATAAAAGCAAGATGAAACGTGCAAATTCGTTACAATTTACAATCCATTCGCGAAGATGCAACTCATGAAGACATTCGCTCTCCTTGCTTTTGCTGCATACGCGCACGCAGGATGTGCAGGCTTGCCCGAGTACCGTGGACGGCGAGCCCCTTGAAAGCTCGTGTGTCTCGGACATTGGTTCCTATACCTATTGCAGGTAAGCACCCTGTTTTTTTTTTTTTTTTACTCAGCGGGTCCCTAAAAAGCTTTTGGTCAGTTATGAATGGAGCGACACTTGCGTTTACACCGTGCGTGCATGATTTTGCTCAAGAAACGAGCGTGACAACATCTGATAACGAGTCTGACAGTCCGATGGCTACGTGCTTACCCTTGAGAGCACCGGTAACTGCCCACATCATGTCGGAACAAGCACAGATTGCTCTGCGTGTTGACGGCCCTGTGAGGTCGGGGTGTCAAGAGGAAGTTGAAGAGGATTGCTTTTTGGTTCTTGGTGTTTCTGCCGCTCAGATAATATGTAGTAGAGGTCCGAGGACTACATAATGTGTCAGAAATTCGAGATTATATAGGACGCCTACTTTCCTTGATGGTCTAGGAGTTATCGAGAATAATATTCTCAGCTATCCAATGGGTACGAATATAGATATGCTGATTGCAAGTCAGCTAACGTGATGCGAGATGGGCCACCCTCACTTCTCGTGAAAAGCTAGATAGACTGCTAGTCTGAAGTAGAGTTTCCAGACGGTCGCATGTCCCTCAGATATCCCCTACTCTTTGTCGTCCAATAGCCACTGAATTTCCACCGGCTTTTATATCCGCCTTATTCTGAAGCTTCTATATGGTTATCTAGTGAGTCATGGGATCCCTTTAAGCACATTGCGGGGCATTGCCTTCGTAGAAATCAAATGAGGATTGAGTCGCAACCTTGATACATGCAAATCGCAAGCGTAACGTTGTGTCCGAACACCAACTCCGCTTGATACGAATCCATCGTAAGATATAGCAGTTTATCATTGATTCGGCCTGCGGTTCCTGATCTCTTACCATATAACGGTCTCTAGCGTACTACAATGCAATACGGAACAAAAGTCCTAGTCCAAGACGTTTCGGCGACGTTACAAACAATATTTACACCCATTCAAATTTCATGCTGGTTCGTGATCATCACCGATCATATCATTTGGAGAATAGCCCATATGAGCACCAGGGAAATGCCGCTGTAAGCGTGGCCCAGGGTGGTTCTGATTGCACTGTTCGTCGAGGATGTTGCACCCGTTGACGTAGCACCGGTTTCGGACGAGCCGGTGACACTAGCTACAGGCGGTACTGTGACTACTCCAGACCCAGTCGCAGAGGCCTCAGTTGTGGATGCTATGACACAGTTAGCAGAAGGGGCGTAATACAAGGTGATCGTGACTGACGGTAAAGCGTCGTATGAGATGATAGTGCTTCAGTGTATGAACTGTGCTTAGTGTGACCTTGAGACGTCCCGGTGGGATGAGGCAAAGCGCCCGCTTGAACACAAGACGATAACAGCTCTGCCCAGCGTTTAGATCATCAGCCACTAATGATGTGCATAAATTAGAAAGGGGACCCACGTTCAACTGCGGCTTCCGTGGCGCTAGTGGAATTGGAGCCGTCGATGACCTTGCTTACGCATCCGAGGCAGGTATGATACGATTTAATGAAAGTCGATGTACAGCATACGGATGTCGGACAGCCCTGTATGTATGCCTTGTTAGGATTGACGCAACAGGTGAGGCGACAACATTGCTTACCGACGTGTTAGTATTGTTCGATATGGGATCACAAACGGGCGTACACTGCGATGGGATCGTTGTCTGTCTCTTACTGACGGAGACACCGAACAAGGCTAGAATGGCGTCTGCGCTGTATGGTCCAGGGCCAATGGTCTGGGCACCGCTCGCGGCCACAAATGCTGCCAACACGAGTGAGACGAAGCGCATTGCAAGAGCTTTCTGCTGGTATCACTGAGAGGGTTCGAGAGGTAGAGAGAAGCCAGGCTCAAGAAGTCCCACTGTCGTGTTTCAATATATAGTGCGCGACATATATTTGCGCCCTGAGCTGAAATACTGCGCAAACGTGCAGGAAGAGCATGTCCGCCGTCGTGGTTCTAACCGAACACTAAGTGGAGTAGGGTGGTGCCGCCAGTGGAATTTGGGCGGACTGATGGGTCGAGTAAAAACAACTGCTGTGCATTCTAACGACATTCTTCGGTTCGTGAGTGCTGCGGGTGAGAGCTTCAGTGTCATCGGATGTGCAGCTGGTTTGGTTATGACCGTCATGACGCGGGATGGCTTTACCAAATGTGGAACGGACTCATACATTGATCGGGTGATATCACAGCTATTCGATCTAAGCGCGTAAGATATATACAATCGACAATCGGATGATCAGTACAATCGGCAATGTTCAACATTGTGCACTCGAGTAGAGGTAGAGGTCCTAGTGACTACATACACCTTGTTCGTTATCACAAGACAATTTCGTAACAGTTCTTTATCCTCGAAGTGATCAGTCATAACTGATGCAAATCCATGTCTGGGCACGCCTATCACAAAACTTGATGGACAGCCCAGATCAGAGCCAAGCCTAAGATCTCGCGGGCATGCACTTGAACTTCCCTAGTAGCGCCACCTGTTGAAGTAGGCTGCGCTCCAGAGGTAGCACTGGTTGTGGCATTGCCAGAAGCAGTGGTAGTAGCAGACGTAGGTGTGGATGCAGCTGCAGGCGCTGTGATAGTAGAAAAAGTAGGAAAACTCTTAGAAGATGTACTTGCCGCTATAAGAAGATCGTCAGCATGCGTAGATAGGCGACAAGTGGTTTTGCGTACCTTTAGCTGTTGTCTTACCTGATGAAGAGGCCGCATCAACGCCAGAGGTGGGAGCTGTTTGGCCTGGCAGTGCTGGTGGCGGCGAAAGCGAATAACCTGCTGTTTCACAAGCAGCCCAAAGTTCTATCGGATAACATCAGTGCTGTCTACGACGTAGCCCGTAAGAAGACACACGATTGAGAGCGGTTTGCTCGGGAGCGTAGTCGAAGGAAGGCACATTTGAGCCTATACAACTGAAGCAGTTATAGTATTCGGTAATAAATGTGTTGGTGCAACACTGAGACTGCGGGCAACCCTGGCGACGTTATCAGTACCGATGCCGTCTCAGTCGAGATAACTTTAAACGCTCACCGCGTTCCCTTCGTCCACAACGTTTTGACAGGTGGACGTGCAGGCAGCGGGGACATCGACAGGGCTCTGCCTTCTGTCGATAGCGACCAAGCCCCTTGCACCTCCCGCGGCAACCAACGCTACACAGGCAAGTAACAACGCAAATTGCATCGTAGAAGTAGGATGGAGGGTGCTGTATGAGGGGACCACACGAAAGAGCGAAAGAGCAGGAAGGAGTTGATTTTAAGGGAATTGACGGAGGGTGTACAGCAATTTGGAGCCGCCCAGGAAGCATGGCCTGTCGGACGTCAGCCCACTTGCTGCGCGTAGCGCATGTTTCCTGTTATTCGGCTTGATGAATTATGTCCCTGTAACGCCAAAGGCCTAGCATTAAATGACCCAAGACCAATCGATTGATAAGCCAGATGTATGTTGCTCTCGAGAGCGCCGAGGTGAAAATGTACCCCTGACATTTGTCTTGACCATCATGATCATGTTTTGATTTGGGTAGCATGGGCGCATCGAAGTTCGGACACAGTTCCTTTCCTTGAGAACATTCTCCACCCGGTGCTGCCGTTCTCTGCGTCGGTCATACATAGTAAACGTCTACGCCAGCGGCGACATTGACTGAACGAAAAGTGGACGAGTTTCATTTGGTTTGCAAGTCGTGTGATTTCGGATATGTCATCATCAAGCATTTTCTTCCAAGCTCACACCCAATCCTCATTGCATGACAAGTAGCCAGCCGTCTTTCTTTCCAACTTCTGCTTTGGTGTGCAGCTCTCTCACAGTCGTACACGTATAAAAAAACTAACTTTGCCTTCAGGACCATGCAGCAGCAGGACTGGGTGCTGGCATTGTCGCAGTGCTTTGCATGCAGCCCCTGGACTTGCTCAAGGTGAAGTTTCAAGTCTCAACTGAGAACCCTCGAGGTGGTGCCGGGAGGCAAATATGGAATTCTTTGAAAGAAATTAAAGTACAGCAAGGATGGAGAGGTCTATATCGTGGTCTGGGGCCGAACGTTGCGGGTAATGCCTCCAGCTGGGGTCTCTACTTCCTCTTGTAAGTACTTTTTATATATGTATACACGATTGTTGGCAATCCGGATGCTGACCTTCATTGGCTGTACGAAGCTATGACATGCTGAAAAAACGCGCCGCCGGGGATGACCCCAACTTTCGCATGTCTGCTGGATCGTACCTGCTCTGTTCGGCACAAGCAAGTCCGCGGTCACATTTCTTTACCGGGGCTCGACACCCGGGTGTTGAGATATGCTAATGGTGATTTGTTCAGGCGCCGTAACTGCTATATTGACCAATCCAATATGGGTCGTCAAAGTTCGCATGTTTACCTCTCGTCCCGATTCTCCGAATTCCTACAGGGGTCTATGGCGTAAGTGTACTGAGGAAACTTGTGGATAAGTGACATCCTCACATCGCATCAGACGGCTTGTCGAGTGTATGGCGCACAGAGGGCATGACTGGTCTTTGGAAGGGCACCTCGCTTGCCCTTGTCGGGGTCAGCAATGGGGCCGTCCAGTTTATGGCATATGAAGAGATGAAACGGTGGGGTTTCGAACGAAAACGAAGGCAATTCATGAAAGCCGGAAGGACTATGACTCCGGAGGACGACAAGCTCGTACGTCATGGCCCTTCCACCCCTTTTCTATTGCTGACGGAATCCGCAGTCCAACACCGCCTATACCGTCATGTCAGGTGCAAGCAAGCTTTTTGCTCTTGGGATAACATATCCGTACCAAGTTATCCGGTCGCGAATACAAGTGAGTCTTACGCAACGCAAGTGGTTGTGTTGTTTACGAACTACTTTGCTTAGAACAACGCTACGCAGCACTTATACCCAGATATCCTTACTACCGTCAAGCGGACCTGGAAAGGGGAAAGTGTCAGGGGCTTTTACAGGGGCTTGGGCACTAACCTTGTTCGCGTCCTTCCTGGAACGTGTGTTACGTTCGTTATCTACGAGAACTTGGCTTGGCTGCTCCGCACAACTGCTGCGCGACGGCAAGCCCTTGCCGGTACTCCAGGTTTTACATCATAGTTTCAATTTATTGGTCTGTTGACGGTAGCATACCCCCGTTTACACTGCAATTTGACATGCGTTACTATAGTTTATTAAGATACTACGTCGACAATGTATATACATAGAATGAAAATCGCCCAACTCAATAGCAACGCATCTATAAGAAAAGAATCGTTAGAAACTGTGTTCAAAGTGTGAACCATGATCGGGAAGGAAGAGGATTTCCAATCGGTCAAAAAAACCATATCCACATGTAGCTTCATCGCACAGAACATCTGCTCCCCCGTCCGTTCACGAGTCCCATCAGGACGGGACTAGCGGAACGAAGGAGAGACTGAGGGTGTACAGCCCCCCACGCTCAAAAAGACCACCTCGTTTCATCCTACCGATAAAGAAATCCGATCAATGAAAGAAAGATAGCCCACCTCAAAAAATCAAGGAAGTCGATCCTTTGGATCTACAAAACTTGTCTGCGAGAGAACTATCAGTAAAAACATTCTATACGAGAAACACATAAGAATAGCCGGTCAAATAACTATAACCCACACACGTCATGGCGTAGAACGCCTACTCCAGCACCCTTATATGCAAGCATCCTCAAAACAAGTCTACAAGCTGGATGATGGAGAGGCTGGACGATTAAGTCCCTACGCTCGTGTAAAGAGTGATAAAGGTTTCATCATTCCGGAGATGGCGAAGAAAAACAGTCGATAGAGAAAAAAGGCTCACCTCGTTTGAGATTTGGATGAAGTTCAAAAAAAAAACCCCGTCCAAAAGTATGCTCGTTATTTGTGCTTGTAGTCCAATAGCCTGCGTTTCTAACAAGTACAAACAACCGCTTCCTAAATCGTCCACTGTGGTCGCCTCAATAGATACGTTTTAACCAATACCCAAATGTAAGTCGTTATCGTGTATCCCGCTAAAGAAGCCACTGAAGCAGTCACAGAGAACTCCTATGCGATCAATCGCAAATGTCTTGACGCGCGTACGCCGTCGACTGTTACCACCATACCCTGAGTTCACTCGCGGGTTCTTTGCTTCGACCCTACACCCACTCAACCGCTCGTATGCCACGTCTTCGAAGCTTCTTGATAATCGAAAACCAACGAATGACAAGATTCCCTATGCACTCGTCCGCGTCGTCGATCCCGAGACCGACAAACTGTCCCCGACCAAGCAGTCTCTCCGAACCCTTCTTTCATCACTCGATCTCAAAAAATGGATCGTGGAGCTCGTAGCTGAAAAACCAGAGCCAATCGTCCGTATTCTTGACCGAAAGGAAGCATTCCAAAAGTACAAGGAACAACGCAAAGCAACGAAGAAGGGTACAAAGTCTGGAGAGGCAGCTAAAGAAATTCAGCTTACATGGGCCACGGCATCGGGTGACGTGTCGCACAAGCTGGCAAAAGCACGGTCGTATTTGGAGAAGGGATGCAAAGTGGATATCGTATTCGCGTCGAAGAAGGGTCAGCCCTTACCTAAACCGAAGGAGATGCAAGTACGCCTACAAGACATTGCATCGGAATTGACGGATGTTTCGAAGGAGTGGAAGGTGCGCGAGGTTAGCTCGACGATGAGGGTTATATCGTTCCAGGGAACAGGCGGTTCAGGATGATGCAGATGATTGTCTATGTCCATCTAGTTCAATTATACACTATTGCGGAGTATTACTTTTCTTCCTTTTTTTATTCGCGCCCGCCGACGAAGATGCCGCTCCCGCAATCTCCGCCTCCAAACCCTCGCATCCCGGCTCAGCACTTTAGTCCAAGTGTCACGCGACACTGGAAGCCCCCGAGTCTTGAGCGTCGGTAAAGCATGTGGACGGAATGGATGCCTGTGCAGCTTGGGGAACCCATATGGTTGCTGGTGGCGCAACGGTCGTCCCGGCCGGTCCAAAGAAGTGTATAACCAAGTATCCACGAACCATCGCCTAAACCCGATAGGCACTGCATAGCCCGCGTTCAGCATTTCATGCACCACTCGACGGAGGAAAGGATTCCACTTCCGCGGCGGAATGCCAAAACGTGAATAGCGAACCATGGCACGTCGATTTAGATGTCGCCAGTGGGTTAGGCTCGAACACTGTGAACGTCTGGCCATGGCTGTCTGTCTCCCAAACATGTCCAGAGCGGCATTGAAGAAGCGTTCGTCGGGTTGCAAATGGTGAACGGGTGGATCACAATCGGGATCGAACTTGGCGAGGGAATTGTATATGTCCAGTGCGCCACGCCACATCGATCGGTAGTGTATAACACCCAATCGCAACGCCCTCAACCGACGCGAAAGTCGCATATCAGTGACGCGGGTGCGGTATGCCACATATTGGGCCCACCCCTTCCTTATCCTGGCCGCCGAAGACGGATTCCAATTCGATTCTCCGGGATTTCCAGGGCGCGAACCGATGCCCTTCTTTGCCTCTTTTCCGTACACCTGGAGCATAATGGTGTACGCATGCACAGGCATACACCATCCCTCGACGACGCGACCATTTCCGTCCCCGCTCGCCTCCAGCCAACTCGCCATCTCGGCCCGTTTCGCAAGAAGCCATACCCGCTCTGCAAGTCCGGTCCTCCCAGCCTTACATAAGGCATTGAGCACAGTCGTGAAGAACCAAGGACCAAGGGATACTGCACGATCAAGACGCTCTTGGCGAGATCGTTCGGCGATACAAGCACGGAGCTCTGGGGTAATCTTATCCCATGCTGGGTGGTCGACAATGGACATCTCAGGAAGAATATACCACAATAGGTCAACTACCGCATGAGGACGCCCAGTTGAGGTAAGGTGGGAAATATAACTTGCCAAGGTAACACCGTCCGCAGTAAGGGGACGAGGCTGGGTAATACGAAGGACCTTGGATAGTGGGATAGGGTTGGGATCTAGCCTGACTGCGCTGGGTGGCGCGTCCGAACGCTCGATAAGATTCCCTGATGACTGCGGCGACTCCTGGGGCTGAGGTAACACCATGATGCCATGATGGATTGTTTACTTTCGTCATGCGCAGCTCTTCCAATGTACATGATACCAAGTCATTCCGCCTCAAGAGGGATCCAGACCGCAAGAAGATGTTGTATGTTGTAATGTCTGGCTTTAAACCAGGAGAACGCGTGAATTCCATATGCTGCAAGAGTTCGCGAGCCTTTTTGATGGACATGCGATAGCGGAGAGCGTAGTGGATGAGGGTGTTGTAGGTTTCGCGAGAAAGCTGCGGCATGACAGGCGGTCCTGGATGATCTCCGGTGCCTCCTTGTTCGGTTAACCAGTATTTAGTCTTGATAGGAGGTCGTTTGACAAGGCGCAGCAAAACACCATGGAAATATTTGTACGCATTTCTCGGTTCCAATCGGCTGTCCTGCACGACCCAAACATCGTCGTAGTCCCTTGGACATGAGTAGAGAACTCTCAGTAACGTCGAAATGTCCGAATACGGCAACGACCGAGTGTCAACAAGACTGGCCAGATATGCCAATGCTTGATACGCCTCCACTCGCTGACTTTCTTCCACCCCAACAGGATCCGCTGAGATTTCATCGTTACAGCGCACCACGATAGACTTCATCACTCGCATCGGCGGAATGCGAGAAACGCCAGCCAACGCTCGAGCAACGCCTGCCCGCGACTCTTGCGAAACGGTTCCATGGGAGGCTTCCTCTTGCGTTACTTTTGCTTTGAGAGCTTGCGCCCTTTGCCACCTCAGCTCAAAGTCTTTCACGATTAGCGCGAAGAGAATGGCTCCAAGCAAGATTTCTCCGTTCAAGAGGCATATGGAGGCAAAGCGTTCAAGAAGACGGTCAGAATTCCGCTGGCCATTCTCTCTTGCTTTCAGAAGTAGCATCAATGCAAAACGAGCACCATCATTCTTGATCATCTCAGGGTTGACAATCAAGTCACCGTCTCCGATGACGTCCATCTGACGCCACATAATTTTTCCGCCTTCTCGAAGAACATCAAACGTAGTCGGAGGTTCTCGGATGAGTGCTGTTGCAAGCGCTTCAAGTGTCGCATCACGAATTCTGACTCCATCAGCCAAAAGTCGGTCCGCGGTAGTTTTTGCCTTTAATACATTGCCGTAGCGGAGGTAGTGGTGTATGAGACAGTGGGATGCGAGTCTGGGAGAGATAGGCCGCTCGAACCGGATAGGGATGAATTCGAAGCTTCCGAGTACCGGTAATTCCAGACTGATGGTCTCGGGAGCTCCTGGTAAGTTGGAATAGATGAGAGAGTGGACGATATACTCTGCATCTGGGAGAGCATTATCCCGGCATGCGATCCGGACGGCCTGGGCGGCGGCAAGGGCACATTGGTTAGGAGAAAGATGGGTCTTGATCAGTTGTGAGGAAGGAGGACGGAGTATGAATTGTCTAGGTCGTGGAGGTGGTTGAGGTATAGTCGTGGTAGAGATGCCAGGAAAACGAAATGGTGGGGTTTCGTGCGGAGGAGGTTCTAAAGGGCCGGGTGCATCGTCCGGCAGTTGAAGGCGTTCGTGGAGGTCGATCAGGTGGTCGAAGTAGTCACCATCTGTAGGTTCCTCGCCACTCGAATACTTGGGCTTGGTGTCGGGTCGGGGAAATAGACGCATACCTGAATTGAAGAGAGATCGCCGAAAAGAAAGAAATGTAGATGGAGTTGAAATAGCAACAGGTGGTGAGAGATATTTTCGAACCAAAAGACTCTCTGGGCGAGTCGAATAGGCCAAGCGATGGCTGGCCCTGCTACAGATGCTACGAGCTGCTCTTAGTGAGGCCCATTGCATGTGTGTCGCATGCCTTCATCCGAACGTCAGTGCACTGCGTGTCCAACCACGGAAGTACTCACCAACTTGCCAAATAGCTGACGATACCCGTATAGTCCTTAGGTCTGTCTGTCGTCTTATATCCCTCCCACAGCTCACAAGACGAACTTGAAAGCTTGCCAGTGACAGTCGGCCAACGGGTGCTGTTGGAGTGGCTACTAGTGTAACAAAAATGGCAACCCACTTCGCTCACGTGACTATCACAGATTTCACGGCATCGGGCAAGTTCACGCAAGCGACAGCAGCAGTGAACGAAACGATTTGACATTTGGTTAACGAGTACTGGATTTACAATGAACTACGACAGACCTTACCGCGGTGGAGGCGGTCGACGAAGATATAGAGACAGAGGTGAGGAGTCACCATTTGCCCTCAAACAACCCCGGAGTCCGGTTGAACTCAAGTCACAGAGGATTATGACACCCATGACCGCCGTCGAGAGTACGAATCACCCGAACAGATATTGAAAAATAGTATCATAAAGCTCGGCGAAGTTGTGAGTTCGTGCGGCATTGGTACCGAGCAGGCGGCACTCACTTCGTCTCTAGGACCCTATCCAAGAGGTACCCAGACTGGCTAAACAGCTACACGAAGATGCTACATCCATGTTACCGGCCATTTCTGAGGGAATTCGCATCGCGTGAGCCTCTACCAACTACTCTAGCATAGTTTTTTACTCAGGGACTCTTCAGCGTCACCGAACAACCGTATAAAATACCGTATTATGCGGCGCTTCTTCGACTCCTACACGGCCCTAGTTCATTAGGCACAGATACCTCCGCTGGGCAACCCTCAGCACCTCTTGGAAAGCTAGTTCTGGAGGATTTCTGGAAAGGTTTCCAGGGTTACCTTGACAAGCTCTCCTGGAGAGACGTACGGCTCTGCGTATGTTTGGCACGTCACAAATATCTCTCTCTCCGCTGACGTCTACAAGATACACTTCTTTGCTCACTTGACCGTTGCACAAGTTATTTCCACTGAGTCCATGGCTGCCCTCCTGCAGTCTTTCGCTGCAGTTCTGGATGAGTTTGGTGTATCGTACGGGCGGGGAAAACATGCCGCGCTTTGTGCTGCCGAGGGGTTAATGATTGTAAGATTTTGTTCTTGCCTCCTGACCAATCCTCAACTATTCAACCTCAGGCAGGTGCTGTAATACAGAAGAGCCTGTCATCCAATACAGCGGAAATCATTGCTGCTATCCACGGCTTCAACGAATCTATGGCATCTTCCAAGAACTTAGTTCAACCACTGGCGTCCCTTACTTCCGGTTCTGCTACGGTTGATTACGCAGACGAGGTAAGTCCAGTTCGGGAATAGCTGCTATCCATACTCATGTTGCACCGCACTAGCTCCTTGACAGCGTGATTGCAGTATTGAAGGCTCTAGAAGCATCAGAGTTCGCTGATCCTCCAGCAAGCTTCCCACAACCTTACCTTGAATATGATGATCTAGATCCTGTTGCTTCTCCGCCCTTTGAGCTCCCTTCTATCTTGGTGCCACCCGAAGTTATCGAGCTAGATGGACTTCCCTCCGACGGTGGTGAAGATGCCCAGGTTAAAAGGGATGAATGGCCCGAATATTGGTTCCGTTTGTTCGACAATAGTGTATGCGTTTAATGGGAGACATTTCGATGATGACTGACGATATATATAGGTAACACCAGATCCGAATACGATTTCTGGGTTCTTGATCCGGTCAAACTTCCGGGATATGATTGACATTTTCGAGGTTAACCGAAAGGAATGCGCCAGACTTCTTCTCGAGTACCCTAAGTGGTGCGTGCCAGGCACCTTCAAACCTCGGGCTGGTGGACCTCTTATCGAGGACGATCCAAGTGCAAACAACTGGCAACTGGAAAGTGCCGTAATCGAGGTGGGTATTCTTTCTTCCGTCCACCGTTAGTTTCGTAGAGTCTCATATGTGGATGTCGTTAGGCATCCCTTGGTTTCCTGTTCCTTCTGCCTGAACCAGGCCAGAAACCTGTCTACTTCATCGCACTAATTACCGAACTTTGCAAGCTGTCACCTTCGACTGTAGGTCCAGCAGTAGGCAAATCCATACGTAAGCTCTACAGCTGCCTCGCCGATGGATTGGACGTGGAAGTTGCGCGGAGATTTGTGGAGTGGTTTTCGGTGCACATGAGCAACTTTGGCTTCCAATGGGTGTGGAAGGAATGGTAGTGTTGGTCGCTGTGATGATTACAACCTGATACTGAACTCACTCACCAGGATCCCGGACCTTGTGCTTCCGGAGAATCACCCCAAGCGCACGTTCGTACGGCGTGCTGTGGAGTCGGAGATGCGCCTATCTTACCATGAACGTATTCTCAAAGCGCTTCCTGAAGCTATGCAAGACGATCCAAATGTCATCTCTAGTCAACAACCGGGACCTGACCCAGAATATGAAGAGCCCTGTTCGTTTTATTCGTTCAGTCAACTGCTGATAAGATCTGACGCCTTCCTCGTCAATAGTACATCCCTACCACGAGGCTTATCAATCCATCTTAAGCCTTCTGCGCGGTCGTTCACGGGCGGATGAAGTCATCGCCCAGGTCGACACTCTTAAGACGACCCTGGATACATCCCATACTGACATGCATATCGATTCAATCATACGATCGTTGGCCATCCAATCTCTTCTGTCCATCGGATCCCGCTCCTTTTCTCATTTTCTGAACGCTATTGAACGTTATCTTCCCCTGTTGCGGGGGCTGGCTACGCCGACTGACTTTGAAGCCAAACGCGACATCCTTGCTGCTACTGCAGCATTTTGGAAGAGGAATAAGCACATGATTGGGATCGTGTTCGACAAGCTCATGCAATACCAGATCGTAGACCCTACAGATATTGTAGCGTGGATCTTCAATATGGTTTCCGGCCACGGTATAACGGGTCCCGTGTATGTCCAGGCTTTCGAGTGGGAGCTACTGAAGGGGGCGTTGGATAAAGCGAATGGGAGGGTAACAATAGCCCGGAAAAAAGTATTGGCGCTGAGGAAGGAGCAAGACGACAGTATTGCTCGTGCCAAAGCGAGTGGTGGAGCGGATGTTGGTAACATGGAGGTTGACGGAGAAGTGAAGCCCCTTAAGCAAGGTTCGACAGTTATTACACGTCGTTTGATTGCGTCACTAACTGACTTGATGCTTTCAGACGAATCTGCAACCGAGAACCCCCAATTAACAATTGCCCTCAAGGCATTTACGAGCCTTACTCGTGAACAGAGGAGCGTTCTTGCAAAAACCCTGGAGGGCTTCGTTTCATGCCTTTCTCCTGTCCCGGGCGACGCTTACCAGAACATGCATTCGAAAACTGTCATTGACGAGCATTCGTGGGAGAGGCGTGCATCGTGGACTAACGACGAATGGATGACTTGGGAAACCTGGGGATGGTACCGACACTTCTGCCGACTGGTAAGTCACTCACATGTCGTTTTTTGTCCTTGTTCACTTTTACATATCCATTAGTATTCGCCGTATCTCCGCAATTACTCGACGACGCTGAGCACCGTGGCCTTTGCCAAGATCGAGGGCTTCACCACCCCAACTGCTCAGTCGATCAAGAAAACATGGGACATTGCAACCGGCCAAGAGGCATAGTCAGTCACTTTTTTATTCGTATATGCGTGTACGTTGCGCTACACTGTGTTGGTAATGTAAGCGTACTTCCTCTCATAAGTAGTCTCATCGATATGTAGTGAAGTGGTGCTTCTATAGCTTTCCTCTCCGATGCTCTAAACTGCCGTGACAGTTTTAAGGCTCAGTCTTCCTTGTCCTTTACATGCTTTGATCGACTTCCAGTAGAGTATCCGATAGTCCCAAGGAATACCAGTGCTGCTCCGGCCCACATCGCCGCGTTTGCCTGCCTACCATACACAGCGACGCTTAGCAAGAGCGACACGGCCTTGCGTACCGCCAAAATAAGTGTCACGGTCAGTGAAGTGACGCGACCCGTAAGTCTGTTCACGCCCATGACACAAAGTAGTTGCGTGATCGTGTTCAGGAAGAGGTAAATGAATATGGAGGGTATCGTTAATGCGTATGTCGGTATGTAATGCTGCATCCCGGAAGGTATCGTGCACGATGAGACTGGAGCGCTGACGTTCATACGGGAAAGTTCCCCGACGATATTATCCTTGGAGAAGAAGAACAAGGGAAGGGCTAGGGTGTGGAGGAAAAACATGTTCTCCTGCCAGGACTGGGAGGACGTCAGGATCGGAGGCGGCTTGCGACTCCGTCGGCGTAATATAACGTGCAAATACCCAGTCTTGCACGAGGCCAAGAAAGCCGGACAAGAGGAGTGCGAGGCTCAGAATGGCTATGCCCTGAGCATAGAGAGAAACCTCCGCTGTTTGGGTAGTGGTGCCCTTATTCTGGGGTTTTGAAGCCGACAGCGTGGTTAGCACGATGCCGACTGTGACTACAAGGACAGACATGACCTGTCTGAACGTGTACCTGCGGAACACGTCAGGTTAAGTAACTAATACCGCTTCGACGATGGCCGACGGACACGCACCGTTTCTTCGCAAGCAGCCGTCCTAGGACCATATTAACAATCATCCCACCACTGCGAAAGATGATATGGACCGTCCATAGGTATATGGTATGCAAACGCGGCATTGTTTAACGTGGACAGCACGAAAAAGAGTGCTACTTGAATCAAGTAAGGCAGAAGGGGAACTCTTCGTTTCTTTAGACGAGGTAGCCATGTTGTGCGGGCGGGGGTCGAAGGTGTCTTGTGACTACTCGGATCCCCTATTCGCCGCCTGGAGAGTTTCCGGGCGAGTGAATGTAAGTTGGCTAGGTAACCCGTAGAGAAAGACTATGAGAAACTGAAAGAATGTAACGAGGACTCCGGAGTGCGGATAGGTGGAGGTGACGTGCTCCATAGTGATCGCATTGCTGGTCGAGCAGCGTGAGTTAAGGCCCCACACGAACGTGTTCTCGGCGAGACCCTACCTGCAGCAACCTCCGAATATCAAGGTGAGCGTCGTCACCCAATCGGCCAGGGAAAGCATCCTACTACGGTCTTGAGGGAGGAGAGCTTGTCGAAAACTCCCCTCAGCGTGCGATTTTGTTCACGAGTGCACACGCCAGCAACGCTGACCGTTCCGGGCTAGATCTGGCACCAATACAGACCTAGTACTCCTGACGTTTTGGGCGTGGGCAGCCATGACCCTCTGCACGTCAACACAGAGTCGTAGTCCAACATGTTGACTCGAGTCCTCGACCTCAGTGACTCAGAATACCATGCACAGACGCATCTTTCACCTGCAGCATTGGGGTGAGGAAGACAGTCCTACGTCGTGCTTGTGGACGGTTCATGATATGTATGATCACCAGCTAATCATCGATCATCGATATCAGCCTCCAGTAAGTAAACTGTGCACAAACGAGTGTGGGTACGTATATCGGATGGCACCAAATGCACTAATCGACATCCACAACGTTGCGATGAGTACAGCATGATCGATGATCGACGGTGCACAAGGCGAATCAAGCTTCATTGCAGTTAGGCACTGGACTCACTCAAGAGGATATATTTCTAGAAGCTATCCACTCCTGGGCCCTCTTCATCATTGGGCGTTAGTCAGGGTCTTTGCTCGTCAGTTTGGAAGCCACGCTGAGGAGGAAATCGCGATCATGAGATGGTTTGCAGGTTGAACTCAAGGTCTCCAAGGTTCGTCCGCAGCTCCATAGGCCAGCCCCCATTAGTTTGTACCCACCGCCGCGCTCGACTTCTGGTACGATGTACCCGTCGGTGCCGGGCAGACCATTGCATACACAGTTCAAAGCCTACCTCTACCACGAGGGCTGGATGCAGATGCTACCGGGTAGCTCTTAATTCGTCGAACGGCAAGTCAAATGTATCGGTGACTTTGATGGGTTTCCAGTTTTCTAGGTGCTCTCCTTTTTCTGTCTCTAATACCGGGGATTCAATCCATAAACGTAGAGTTCTGGAATGGCAACAGTGGGCAACGTGCCACGGTATATTGGATTCCGCAATAGCCTTCGTAAGATCCGCATGACGGTATCGTGAGCCATAGAGGACACCCTGAAGGTTTTTCTGGAAATAAACCAGGATCTCCCTTCTTGCATTAGCTGCATATGAAGGTGGTGTAAGTCTTTGATGTTGTCGTGCAGAACTGAACGCGCACGACCGTTAACAATGACAACCAAAAGCCTCTGACAACGCTTTTAGCCAGTCCCTCTTCGCCATCCAGCCTCTACTTTCCGAGTTCTTCCGTGTAATCTGCACCTGATTGGACGAGGAGAGGGCAGAAGTAGAGATCTTTCCCATCAACATTCCTGATGAAAATGAGTTCGTGCTTCACGGCTTCCGTAAGGTCGTGCACTGTCCGCAGTCCTCGAAACCTCGACTGCATCAGTAACGTCGTCACCCGTGAACCTAGCAGGTTAGAGCGATGATTTCTGTGTTGTGGCAGCGGTCAAGGTGGGTTGTCTGGGGAAACACGCCAACGGTGAATCACGAGTCTGGACAATGGCGGTCCCAAACGAAGACCAGGTTTCTAGTTGTCACCGCCCGTGATGAGTGAACCCAATGTGATGCATGGTTCCGATTTCCAAGAATATTTGCTAGTTGGGCACTGACGAGTGCGGGAGGTCAAAAAGGGGTTGATTTCCGTCTCGTGACCTTTCGGACGCGTCGCGTTGAAAGTGTTGTTTACGCCCCACGTTATCATATAAAGCCCCTGTGGTACAACGATGTCTGTTCATTTCATTCGTTTCCCAACCTTCCTTTCACTTCAATCTTGCCCAGCCCGGGCTTTCCACACTCCTTTCACGGAATGTCTGTCAATCGTTTTCACCCGGCGTCACTCGTTCCACGGTCACTTCATAACCCCAAACTCATCAACTTGATGCGACAAAAGGTCAACATGGACATGATCAACTATATCGCCTTGCGAGCATCCCAGGTAGTCAGAGTCGAGGATGAACCCCGCCGACCCATCCTTGCCAACTCCACCGAATACCCCGGTTGGGTCTACCCTCCCACAGAAGCATGTCCAGGACGCCGGCTCTCCGAGTACTTCTTCGCTCCCGACCCTTCAAAACTTCATCGTTCGCTTGGTGGCGAAATCGAACGTGCAAGTCCCAACGCTCCTGGCTACACTCATTTATCTCGAGCGTCTCCGACTCAAGTTGCCATCCATGGCCAAAGGTACTGTATCATCGTAACCAATCAATGCATGGCTCGAATCCCTCTCAATAGGTATCCCTTGCACCCGACATCGAGTATTCCTCGCAGCTCTCATCGTAGCTTCCAAGTACCTCAACGACTCCTCGCCTAAAAACAAACACTGGGCAGCATACGCCGCGATTTTTGATTTGGCGGAGGTAAACCTCATGGAAAAACAGCTCCTCTTCTTGCTTGATTACGATCTTGATTTCGACGAAGAAGAGGCATGCAAGCACTTCGCACCCTTCATGGATAAGATGCCGGGGATTCTGCCCACTCCTGGACAGAAAGAAACAAGGGCCGCTGCTATCCAAGCTGTGTCAAGGGCCGGGAAAGCAAGGGCAAAGGCACGATCGACCTCTCAATCCCCGGCATCGACTCACGACGTTCCCAATTCACCACCGTACTCTGTGGCATCGGCCGTCCGCTGCGTTGCTGAGGATTCAATTAGTAATCATAGGAACGTATTGCCTATCTCCGGAACTCCCGCCTCAGACCACACCTCATCGTCCATTTCGAGCAGCAGTACGAGAAGTTCCATAACGGATTCGGAGATAAGCACTCTCGTCGACTGGCAATAGCACGTCGTCCGTCTCTATTCAGTACTGTTGGGAGTGAAAGGGACGATAAGCGGGACGAATCCAAGGAGAGAGGCGCCCTCCGAAGGCTTCCCAGACATCCCACGTCGTGAATGTAAGAACGTACCCAGCTCTTCGGTGGAATCCGTAATGGCTTCGCAAGGGTGGAGATGGTTCACCTCCCGCCGATTGCGAAAATGTCTGGCTCACAGTTCCAGGAAGCGTGCTCGTTTAGGCCAAGCTACACGTTTGAATATAGGACTCATGCCCGTAGTGGAACGTCTAATCCGCTACGGACGGTTGACCTCGATAGTCGGCGGCGACTGCGAATACCAGAGAAAGTGCCAGTACATCGTCATCTTACCAGTGTCCGCACTCACGCTCGGAACGCCGTGGAGAAGTGTCGAGTTGTCCAAGACGAAAAACCATGGAGAATTCCCGCTTCCTGCAGCGCCCAGTGCGAAACGTTCCCCGGGCGTCCCTACATCTGCAAGAATAGTCGATATAACCAACCAACCCCACGCCAGTTATCGTGGTGACCTTCGTCGACGCCTTGTACACTAAAGTTCTGCATCATTCAGGGCGGCAAGCGGTCAACAATTTCCCTGCATAATGTCGATGTGTAATACCCTTGACGTTAGGTTACCTCAAGTTTCGAAGTCCCTCTCAAGTGTAATCGTTGTGCAATTAAATCCCATCAACTTCTGTCAACTTTCTCGTCACGCACTATTAGATTTGTGGATCTTACCGTCACTGTACAACCCGTCATTCACGCCCTACCACATACCACCTACGTCACATACATTGCATGATGCATCCAACCCGATACCAATGATATGTATTTTCACGGACGAAAGAAACCTAATTTGGAAAGTCCTCGTGTTCCAAAAATCTTCCTGCAGACCACAGTTAATAACCAGCTGCGAATGTCACGGTCCATTCTGAGATAACTATAAAAGCTTGACATATGACGCTGGGAAAAGTCCTTCTCGACCTTGGCCATCAATCCTCCCGGTCCACCTTAACATGGGATGAAATGTCAATCTACCTAATGGCATTGTAGTAGAAAGATCTCGACACTCACCAGTCCCCGGAAGATCTCTCCGTGACCAGTATCCGAGAACCTGCCTCAACTGTCAGATCACCAGGGTCCTAATTGAAGTTCATCAATAAACGTCTTAAAGCTACCAGATGTGGGCCAGGGCCACTCAGTTTCAGCGGACACGGAAACCCGTACTTACCTCGCTGCTATAGTCATATAGGGCCTCCACCCATTCCCCCTGCTGCTCTGGCTCCGGTTCCGGTTCGGGCTCGGCTTGATGTATTGCAGGTACCCGACGGCCTGGAGGCGCAGGTGGGATTGGCGACGATGGCTTGTCGTCGGTTTCTGACGTTGAAGGAGCACGCCGAACAGGAGGTGGTCCAAATGTACTTTTCGGAGGTGAGAACGCAGGTGGGAGAGCTGCTACGGGGGTTTGGTTCGATCTCTTAAACGCGGAAAACACGCTGTTCTATGCGCGTAAGTTTGGACCAAAATAGCGATCAGTCATGGCAAAGAATAGTTGTATGGTACGCTGCAGAGAGAGGCACCGACATACCTTTTTGGACACGAGTTTGTCAACCTCGGAACCTGGAAGAGCGGTGCGGTCCTGCGAAGAGGAGCTGGTACTCGTAGCGCTAGTACTGGGAATTCGCCGAGGTAAGACGGGTGGTGGCGCCCTCGTTGGGGTGGTGCCCATCCCTCCTCCCGTCGTGTTTCCGGTATTGCCACCCGAAAATGCGAGCGCAGCGGCAGCGACACGTCCTACTGCATGAGCAGCCTCAGGATTCGAAGCCTGATGAATGGCATGTCAACTATTCCATCCAGCGCGCGATCAGATATATTAGTACACTCACCGCAGCTGACGCAGACGACATGAGCGCATTATTCCCTGCCAACCTTCCGCCGGGTATGGTCCTAACTCCCGGTGTCGACGCGCTGCCACGACCACCATTATTATTGTCGTCTCCTGTCGCAGTAGAAAGAGCGCGCTGCACAGCCGACGTAGCTGTTGCAGGCGAAATCCCCAGTCCAATTCCTGATCCCACACCACCGTTTCCAAAGAGTTCGGGGCGTGACTGGAAGTATCTATAAGGCATGATAATAAGATTAGCGATCTAATGCGAAACTGGACAGGTATCGATCATATGGAGTTTAACACCTAGGCGGAGCATCTTGAGGCTACCGCTTGAAGAGGTTCCCAACTCAGAAACGGAGGAATACGTGCTCGCGACTTACTCGTCCAGTAATCCAAAGAACGCCTCCTTCTCTTGTGTGGATAGCCTAGTGAACACCATCTAAGCCCTCCTAGCTCGGAAAAAGTATCGTAGCTGACAAGCTGGGGTACTACAAGGGTGGTGGCACGGGATGTAATGGTAAATGTTCAGAAAATTCCTTTGGGACTGAATCCGTGATCGTCCCTTGGTCCTTGCAGGTCGTGCTCAAGGAGTTTTACCCCATCAGCCGATTCATCAAGCAAAGCTGTACTGCAGCGGACCGACGGTGCCCCCGGCCAGTCTGTTACATAAACGCGTAGTAGTCAGTCAGTCAATTCCGTTCCGCTTGACCGCTGCCACAACAAGAAACCACCGAATCAACCCCTTTTCGACCCGCACCGACTCGCTCACCATATTACTAGTACTTGTTGCCCCGCTTGTAGCGTTCTTGGAAGTGAGGACTATGCAAGCTGACCGCGTTGCATCATACTAGGTTTACGTATCACGCGCGGCGACAAGTACATAACCGCTTCTTGTTTGGGACCGCCGTTATCCACACTCGTGACATTTCTCCAGACAACCCCCTTAACCGCTGCCACGACATGGAAACCCTCACCCCTGATCTGCTGCGTTTGCGGTCAAGACTTTACGAATACGCTGAAGGTCGAGATTCCGAGTACTGTGGAGGTGTATGATTTTAAGGAAGCCGTGAAGGGCGAAGCACCAAACACACTCAGGAATGTTGATGCAAAGGATCTCGTACCCTACCGCTTCTTCCTCCGATCAGGTGCAGATCACCGCGACCAACTCAGTAAGTGAAGACTATGGCACTAACAAAGAGCCGTGGAGCACGGAACAAAAGTTGTCCAAAGTGTTGATCGAAGCCCAGGGTGGAAGATGGTTTATCGTTGTCAACGATCGTGCGTTCAGTTCTGCATGGTGACTTATCAGAGACACACACCATTGTCATACGCAGTTAATGCAAAACAAGAGTTACTGGTTTATCTCCTGGCAACACTTTCAAAGTATCCGCAGTGGCACACGACACTGTCACGGAAATTTTGGAAAGCCTATTGCGGGATCGTTTATGTTCCCGCGATTCCTATTTCAGAGCTCAAAGCTCATCACACAGTCGAATCGTCGTTTGACGAACCAAGAGGTTCTCCGCGCGCGCGTCTTGCCCTCTTGGTAGTGAGTACGTTTGATCCGTGTTTACAAAGGGCTGCCCTGGCGATCTAATGAATTCTATCCCAGAGCAGGACGAATTCGACGAAAACTTTCGGTATTGCTATGAGGATAAGTACGAGGATGAGCTTCAATAGGGTATTTTTGGTGTGTTTGATATTAAGAAACACCTGCGAAAGGCGAAATATAGGATTAATTGCTGCGTTTCTGGAATTGGTTCATTGCTTCGTATTCAGTGCCTCTGTTGACACATTACTACAGCACGAGAATTTCGTGGTGGTCAGACGCAAAACTGACGGCCGCATTGGCTATATCAGATTCGCTGAAACTGAACGGCAACTAGAGGTTGAAATTCTTAAATTCATCGATGTTATCCGGTCTCCAATGAACACCGTCCTTTCTGGAGTTGAGTTCCGGCCGGTGCATGGCAAAACCCTCGTCTCTATGCGTGCCGTTAGTGACGAGTTCAAGTGTCTCGAGAAGCCTCTCTGGTCCGCTGCCAGCCAACTTGTCGAGGGGGGCGCATTTGTGCACATACACCTCGCTGCACACATGGATTTCGAATATCGTCATTCCTTTCGAGGTGGTCGTCTCTCCATCATCAACTTTAACGCATCCATCCGCTTGAAGAGTACAAGAGTCGGCACCAAAGGGTACATCACACCAGGGTCGAACGCGGTGATTCGTACAAGCCAACTCAAACCGACGTGTAGAGTTGTGAGAGACCTTGTGTTCAATTTGCAACCCATCCCCCGATCACGATTTTCTCCTCAGTATGGCTTCCAAACTAGTGAGTGAAGATTCTGAGCAACTCTCAACGGTGAACAAGGTTCAGGAGTGGATGATTTCCAGAGACATATTCTCAGGGAGTCTGGTAATTTGACTGTGATGAAGCTCGTAATAATCTCAATAGCACAGATCCCAGATCCCCTCATTTGTGCCGATCATGCTTATGTATACCTTGCCTAGATGTCGATTCTTCATATTTTAGCCGTTAAAGAATAACAATGACGCTGATCATCAGTCCTCAGGCACTCAATGCCTGTGTGATGCAGGTGAACAAGGTTAGGGGTGTTCCAATATATATCAGGCTTGAGTCAAGCAATACCTCGGCTCCAAGGGTCCACCCATAAATATCTATTTATAAGTACAGAAGGCACAACACCTTCAATGAAGGGCAAGATGGATGCAGTGCAGGTTCCAATCCACAAGGGGAAGGGAAAAAAAACTAGTAACGACGTGTGACGGGAACAAGTGCAGATCTTACTTATGTACATATGTGCATGCATGAGGGATGATGATGATGATCGTCACCATCATAAAATCGTTACCCAAAACAGCGTGCACCGGTGAAGGAGTCACAGCCCATATCAACGTGTACACAAGTATATAATTACTTATTAACTCGTGAAAGAGAAGCGAAAAACCGGCGCACCGTATGTAGTTTGAACAGTGAAGGGACACACATTGCACACGAGGAAAAACGAAGTGAAAGGGAACAAAAACAGGGGGATGTGCGGGGTGGAGGTGGAGATGTGGGTAGGGCACTTGAGGAAGAAGGGGAAAGAGGACACATGTCATGTCCATATGTGAGAAATCATCATGAGAGGATAGCAGCTATCAGAATTGCGGGGCAAAACGGAAAACCTTGATACAGAGGACTTCCAAACAAAAGAAAAAACAATTCCAAGCACATATATATATAACGTAGATGCGCACGCACAATGCCCGCCATGAAGATACACCGGGAAAAAGGAGGGCAGGAGAGTGGGAGGAGGGGGCAACGATCATTGACCGTTGACGTAGGGATTAAAAATGTCGTACTCCCCACTGCCAGTGAAGTCTGGTCCGATCGGACTCATGTTTTGTGTAGCGGATGTCGGAGGTGCGGATCCACCACCACCAGATTGAGGCACAGGTGTACCTCCACGACCCATCTGTGAACGCGTCGGATCCGGGGGACGCTGACCACCACCGCCCATCGTCGACTGCCCGTGTCCATAACCATACCCTCCAATGCCCGCCATACCACCACCGTGTTGCCAACTCTGACTCGACGGCGAAGGACTTCCACCAAAGAAGCCTCCACCGATGCCGTTCGGCGAATTCATAGAACCACCCATGGCATACCCGTTCACTTGGCCTACTGCAGCCATCCCCATCTGCGTCTGTGCACCCTGCGACCAAGCTACACTCTGATTAAACGCAGACTGTGTATGCTGCTGTTGTTGCAGCATGGTATGATAGTCGTTCGATGTCTGCTGATGCGAAAGCCTCGATGGTGCTCGCGGCGTCATGGGCGAGTGAACCCCATCCGAAGGAGATCTCGTGCTTCTTGCTATACCCGGGATTGTCGAGTTCGACCTCAGCGTGGGGAATGTATCGTTGGTTGGCCCCATTGGCGAGGCTCCACCTGCACCTGTGGCACCAGGCGGCTGTGATGGTTGCGGTTGCTGCTGTTGCGGCGACGCACCGAGTTGACCCATCATCCTCGGGTTCATCCCGTATGTTCCATACTGCTGTAAGCCCATCATACTCGCTGCGCTCACACCACCACTACTCATGTTAAGGTTGCCATTCATATTCCGCATTTGCTGTTGCTGCTGCTGTTGCTGTTGCATCAACATCAGTTGCCGTTGCTGGTTGATATTGACGTTGCCCATATTCCCCGGCATCTGCTGCGAAAAGTTGGATCCTCCAGCTACACCAGCCATACGCGGATCTATCCCCGTTCCTCCTCCGCTGCTATGGGGCTGACCAAATTGGAACGCTCCATTCTGCGACGATTGTTGCGAGGACATTTGTTGCGGTTGCGGCATCACTGGAGCTTGTTGACGTAGGGGCGACACAGGGCTTGGTCCACCACCATTTCCGCTTCCTCTAGTCATTGTGCCGTTGGGGAGTCCACCTGCCATGCCCGCGTTTGACGGCATCCCACCCAATTGAGGATTGCGCTGCGCTGCTGCTGCTGCTGCTTGTTGGTTTCTTTGGGCCACCATTTGCTACACAGAAGAATGCAATGACGATCGTCGTGAGTTCCTTAGAATACGAAGAAATGGAAACCAACATACCTGAAAGGCCTGCAGCTTCTGCAATTGCTGCGGCAAGGGAAACGCAGAGAAGTTCGGCACATGCTGCATAATGTACACCATGAGTGGATGATTGGGATTCTGTAATATTTGCATCAAGTTGTTGGATTTGTGCTTGCTGCGAAGGACCGGGCTGTTGGGGTTGGTTCGGCGGTGCGCCGGCTCCTCCTCCTACACCACTCCCACCTTGCGGTGCTTGTACAGGCGTCGGAGGAGACATGTGTCGCGAAGGTGCTGCTGCTCCCCCCTGTGTTTGCTGCATTTGTTGCATGTGTTGCATCTGTGCGGCTTGCTGATGCTGCTGTCGGATCTGCTGCTCCCGCTGCCTGCATTTGGTGCGCCTGCAATCTTCGCAAGTTCGCGACCGTAGTAGGATCTAGAGTGCCAAAGGAGGAGAGGTTCGGTGGTGCTCCAGGAGCTGAGCTTGGTATTGTCACTGTCCCCGTACCACCCTGCATACCCGATATCCCGGCGGTACCTATTCCAGGCATCCCAGCCGGTGGTGGATGGGGCATTCCCGCATTCGATGACTGCTGATACGGTCGGACTCTGTGGTATACTAGGCGTCCCAGGCGCCGCCACACCGCCGACACCCGTTGAACCAGAGAACGTATCCGGCGGGCTTGCCCGCAGACCCGCCGAACCAGTAGCACCCATACCTGAAGCGAGATATGCACCTGGATTCATACCCAAACTTTGGTGTCCGGAAGGACTCTGACCTGAACCGGGACCTGGACCATGGCCAGGACCAGATGCCGGTATAGAGGGCATACTGGCGGCACCTGATATCATCGGATTTGGGGAGACTGATGAAGGTGACGCAGAGGAGGCATGCATTTTACCGTCGCCTACATCTCTCCTTTTACTTGTAGATAGGTCTGGGACATCATCGGGCCTATTCCGCTTGAGGTGCATGGGTCCATTCGAGGGTGACATAGTGTGTGGAGTTTGGTTGGAGTGCGGATGTGAAGAGGGAACATTGACGTTAGCGTTGTGCATTTTCCGACGAGCGATTTCTTTTGAGAAGAGCTCTGGCATATCAGAGTAGAGACGCTGTAGTCGAGCGGGGGAGAACTCGACAGCTGTTGGAGGAGTCATGATGGGTAGAGCGACGCTTGGATGCTGCAGATGGAAGGGGGCGAGAAGGGATCAGGGGAAGGGTTCCAGATAGACAAGGATATCTACCTACGTGATGCCGTTGATCTGCAGCTGCGGCTAACCAAGTGAGGTTCGACTGCAGACGTTGGGAGTACCTGAAGAAAAGTGAAGAGAAGGACGAGCTGGTTTGGGGGACAACGCACTGTTGGAAACGAAGGTCTGCTATTGGCACACCACGAGCCTGAAATTCTAGGCAAACCCTGCAAGACGGATAAAGTAAAAAGAAGAAAGAAAGATCGAGTAAGAGGGAACGTACTGGAAAAGCTCTGCGTTGAGTTCCAAGATCCTGATGACCTTTGCGTTGTTAGATGCATGAGCCATATTTGGAGGTGGCATGTTATGGGGTGCGTGCATCATGGAGGAAGTCATGAATTCACTTGACGGCGCGGGGGAGTGAGATGAGGCGGCAAACTTTTCAGCCAACCGCAAATCTGACGCATTTTGAAACGCGGATGGTGTCGATGGCGGCTGGTGTCGCACTGGGGAGCTGCCTATTGACCGAGAAGATGAGGAAGACGAGATGCCGTTCACGTGTGTGCCGAATGGTGCGTCGCCCTTGACCTTGGTGTCACGCTTGATGTCGTCTCTGAGCGAGGAGCCGGAGTTGAACTGCGGAGAGTGTCGTTGGTTGTTTTCGTCGTCATCCTTCTTTTCGGAGTCGTCGTCGAGTTCCGCTGCAGGAGAGAGCTCTGTGAGGGGAGTAAGAGTGCCTTCTCTCGGTACGTCGAGTTCGCCCTTGTCCAGGGAGGGCGGCTCTACTTTAGGCTGAACAGGTTGCTGAGGGAGGTCCTTTGAGTCGTGATTTGGGGAGGCAGAGTCGGGGGCGGGGGAGAGGGGTGAGCTCTTGTCTTCGTGGACGACGTCATGGGTGGGCCGTTGTTGGGGGGAGGACGGTTTGTCCTTGGCGACGGCGAAGTCGAGGAGGGCATCGGCCGAGCGAATGCTGTCATGGAGGGCGGCATAGTCAGTGTGAGAGTCATTACGGTCGTGGATGGCCTCTGGCCAGCGGAAGGAGTGGGTGGGCGCCGTCGTTGACGACGAATGGTGATCGCCGGGGGAGGAGATTAGATTTGAGTTTTGGTTTGGGTCGAGGTCGGCAGGATTCCGATCGAGGTGGATCATGTGCGCGCGGAGTAAGTAGCAGGAGGCTAATATGGACGTGTTAGTTATTATGGCGGGGGAAGACGTCGGAACGCTGGGCGTGCGTCGTAGCTGTGTCGCAGAGTGGAAGCTTTAGCCGAGCAACCAGCTGCAGCCTGTCACGGTGCACAAAAAGACGGTCCCGCTGCGATGGACGGGATGGGGTCCGGCTGGGGCTGGTGGTAGTCGGTAATACCAGCAGTAGTAATATAGTGCGCTGTAGTTGCGTCCCAGTCAAAATCGGCACTTGTGGGATATCAAAAAACGTTTTGTCCGCGTCAACGACGACTCAAACGCACACACCCGTGTGACTTTTCCGTGTCCCTGCAATTCCAATTCAATTAGTGCGGAGTGCCAATTCTCTCGGCGTCAACTCCACTGGCGACGGCGACGGCGACAGCGACGACGACAAGTAAACCACCCAGGACGAGGACGAACAGCTGGAAGCAGGCTGGTCTGTTTCCCCCGTGATTTTACCGCTTCTCTGTCTTCCACATCGTCATCACCCAACCAGAACACCCGCCCCCATCTATATCCGCAGGACAGGGATAACAACCGCTACGAGGCCTGCGTGTCGTCGCAAAGAAAGGGGAGAAAAGAGACGGAGCAGAGGGGCCCATATTCCGTAAGGTACATAGTTTTTGTCCGTACATCGTAGCAGCTATTTATCTGGTTCTGTGACGCTTGTCCTCCGATCCCAACCCGATCCCGGAACACCCACTAGGGCAGGGCCAGATCTCCTCGCGAATGTATTATTTCTGTCGATCCATGTGTTTTCTAGTGTATCCATTCCCCCCTGATAATACGACCGTGTGATACGTACTTATCTCCCTGCACTTGAATATATTCCTTAAACACACCCATCCCGTACGCCCACCGCACCATTCCCAATTCATACTCGATTTTCCATTCCCCGTCGTTTCCGCGACTAAGGTTCGCAGAGCCCATCGTCATTTCTCTGACGTAAGTCCAAACCCAAAGCGGGAGTTTTCCGAGTATTTTGTGGCGCCGCTTCAATTTCCTCGGGCAGACGCACGATACCATTGACCACCCAACGCCAGCCAACGACACGGCAAGATACACAAGAACGTGAGTATATCGCTCTGATCGTGGTACCATGGAGGACGAGGGCGTAGTCTTGATCGTGTTGGGAGAAATCAGTTCGCGAAATGGTCGGTTTGGGCGACGGATGGGTCGGACTTGGTCCAGATGCATACACTTGGGGGATTCCGTCTTCACATCTTTCTATGCCCTCCAGCTCGTCTCTCGTCTATCCCACTCACATCTTCCTCGCAGATAAACAATGGGTCGGGTCATTAGGGCACAGAGGCGTTCGCATGCCATCGTACGTCCACTCCATATCTGTGCACTTATACTTCCTCCTGAACTCATTCATTCTCTTCACGCGTCCAGTTCAAGGCACACACTCACCACAACAAGGCGCCTGCCAAGCTCCGCCCTCTGGACTACGCAGAACGCAACGGCTACATTCGCGGTATCGTGAAAGAAATCATCCATGACCCCGGACGGTATGCGCCTTCCTTTTATCCCATTTAAAGCGCCATCTTTATTCAATCTACTTTTCCTATCAACATGATAGCGGTGCACCCCTCGCTCGCGTCGTTTTCCGTGACCCCTACCGTTACAAGCTCCGCACCGAGACCTTCGTTGCCACCGAGGGCCTCCACACCGGTGCCTTCGTCTACTGCGGCAAAAAAGCCGCCTTGGCGGTCGGAAACGTTCTTCCCGTCAACCAATGCCCGGAAGGTACCATCGTGTGCAACGTAGAAGAGAAAGTCGGCGACCGCGGTGCCCTTGCTCGCACGTCGGGTAACTACGCAACCGTCATCGGTCACTCCCCAGAGGACAACAAGACCCGGATACGGCTCCCCTCTGGCGCAAAGAAGACGGTTTCAGGGAGTGCACGTGCAACAGTGGGTATTGTTGCGGGTGGAGGCAGGATCGACAAGCCATTGCTTAAGGCTGGTCGGGCATACTACAAATACAAGGCTAAGCGCAACAGGTGCTTAACTTTCCTTTGTCTATATATCGCGTGGCTTCAATTCTGACTTGTACCTTGCAGCTGGCCTCGTACTCGTGGTGTTGCTATGAACCCCGTCGACCATCCCCACGGTGGTGGTAACCACCAACACATCGGCAAAGCCTCCACCATCGCACGCTCCGCCGTTCCTGGACAAAAGGTTGGTCTCATTGCTGCCCGCCGGACAGGTCTCCTGCGTGGTACGGTCAAAGTCAAGGAGGTTTAAAGCAACTGGGCCGCGCTTCCATATTTTACCTTCTGTGCATGCACGCGTGTTCCTTTCTATACAGCCGATGCCATCCTCTGCCAAAACGATGTATGCGCTATCGCATATGCATATATGCCTTTTATGCAGGTGTGCTATTTGAGGGATTCAGTCGCGCTGATACTACGAGCGCGGTTAATTAACGTGCCGCATGGCTGCGCTTGCCTTCGTAAGTTCAGAAACTCCGTTGGCCAGGAGGGATCTGCCGTGCATGACACGAAAAGAGGCCCCTGGATGACCTGGTACACGCTTCGTTGCGCAGGCAGCAGCAACTCATCTCAGAACTACCTGTCTTGGTAGCCGGGCTGCTGAAGGGAACTCACATGTGTATTTAGGCGTATCATTGCGGCCCCCTATTGAGGCCGGGCGGAGCTTTCTTTCTAACCTCGGTGTATTCGCTCCCACCGCTTATACACCCGACCCGGACCTGCATGGTGCGAGGCTTTATACATTGTATTATTAGCAAAGAAGAAGCTGTATAACAGGCGTAAGCGCACGGCATCCACTGAAGCCTGTATATTTTATTATTAGGAGAGAAGATGGATGAGAGCCCACAACTCCACGAGGCCGCGGACGAGGTGCTGTCGTGGATTGTCGGTATACCCTCGGCGGCATTCGCGAAGAACTAGGGTTGATGAAGGATCTCTCGCCCCACGTTATCAAGTACTGACCATAAAAGTGTGTGCTTCGAGGCCCTACTGGTCACAAAAAGTGTATTGAGCAAGAGAAGTGTCCTCAAGACCCTAAATGCATTGATCGGCTCACCCTGGAGGATAAGGCACTCTGTTCCAGACCTTTATAATTCCAAGTGGAGACACGGCGACTTTGCACTAGGCGCGTCGATTCTTCGTTACAGAATATGGTACGAGGATGGCGAAAGTGACCCCACCCTGCGCCTTGGTAAACCGTAACAGGTCATGTCCTAGTAGATAGGTGTGCTACACTCGTTTTGGGCCATCCCAGGCCCCTCCCAACACTCGCGATGACGACGCTGTATCAGTCGACAAATATAGTTGACAGGGCCCTGACAGCGAGGGAACGACAGGATTGTGGCCCAGATGTATCTTTGTATGTGTACATGTATGGCAATGTCGCGCAGCAGCTGTGACAGGATGGTCGACGGCCAAGTTCATTCCGTTCGTTGCGCAGTTACATATATCTGGGCTCCTGAATGTCACCTTGGAAAGAGAAGTTAGGCACTTGCTACAACCACTCAGTGCTTGCACGTGGGCAGCGGAGACACCGTTCAAGGATGGAAAAGTAAATATGCCATCTGTAGCCAAGTGCAAGATAATGATGATGAATGAAGGACGGCGTGCCTAAGCCGTCCATGAGAATGGCAAAAACAGCTCGATGTCATGTCAGGCGACGTCAGGTGGGAGTCGGATTAGTCCAGTGTACTTTGCACGTGCAACCTCGGGTGTTTCGAAAGCCTCACCCAAGGTTGTTCCGAGAGTAAACGTTTGATCTGAGTGGGTCCCCCTAACGCATTAATTAAGTATGCATACATCGGGCGTGTACTCTGGATTTGAACAAGGCTTCGGACAATTGCGGAGGCGTTGGCGTCTTGCTACATGTATCAGTGTCTTCATTGGACTACAACTATGATGAGATCCATTTAATGACACGTACTGCCACATATAGACCAGTGTTAGAATAGATGAGACGCGGCATGATCCGTAGACGATGTTGATAAGACCATGAAAAACTGCTGGTCAAGGAAACAGGAAGCGGGGACAGCGGGGTATCTGTCCACTTACATGTATAAAAGCCTGTGTGGAGGTGAGGGACAAGCCCGCGTATAAATTAATTCCGTCCGGTGATAATGAAAGACCGCGACGAACGGGAGAAGCCAGGTTCAACAAGGTTTGTGAATGCCCAATGGGAAAAAACGAACCACGCCATCGTATCGAGATCTAGAGCGTTTATGTACATAGCACACACACGGGGTGGACGCTGGAGTCTTTTGGACGAGCCAATCCCAAGATGCACGCGTTCGGGCAGTGTGTTGAGCCTCGGATTCAGGCGCTGATGATGATGGCAAGTTGGCCCTGAGCCGAAGACAACGAACGTTGTCAAAGCGATGTCTTCCGTTGTCAGAATTCTCCACTGGATTGCCACCTCACCTATATAACCCCGAACTGGTGTCCAATCTTTGTTTTCGTCCTGTCCCCCCCCCCGTCTTTTCGGCCGTTGACACATCGCGTGAATCCACTTTTCCCACGATCACGTTTTTTGGTCTGTCCGATTGTCAAGTGGTTGGGTGCCTCAGCTGGCGTGTGCAGGGCCATATCGAAAATCATGCTCGCCCTCGTCCATCCTCTGCCGTCCCCAGCAGACCACAGAAAAGTCGACAGATCACTAGAAATTAACATCTCTAGTCTGTCTTCAATCCCAATCTCATCCAGAACAACCAAAACTGCTAGCCGAAAACCGCCAATACAACAACATCGCCATCACTATCAAGAGTCTTCATCTGCCCAAAAGACCGCTTCAGGTTCTTCCACTGTGGCCTGTAACTCGCACCCAGCTCGGCCAAATGCCGTGCAGCCACCATACTCGACTAATCAGCAGCCTACATACGCTGCCACAAAGAAAGCCCCTTGCGATAAACAACCTGTGCATGCTCCACACCATCCTGTCACCCAGCAAGCGCCACCACCTACCACACAACCCGTCGACATCCATTCATACGTTCAGACTGATCTTCTTAAACTCCTTGCTTCCTTGCTCACCCAAATCGCATCTACTAACGATGCACTGGCATCAACGGACCCCGCAGATACGCTCTCCACATTCTCACACCCCACTCCTCCGGAAGATTCCACTCGTGCCTCAATATGGCGCTCACTCACCTCCGCATCGCATGCAGCGCTCGCCAACCCTGCTTCCGCACTTACCTTCCACGCCCGCAACATCCCCACGATCACCCTCGAGGCCTACCTTCTCCGCATCCTCCGATACTGTCCGACGACGAACGAGGTGTTCCTCGCTCTATTAGTATACTTCGATAGGATGTCCCGGTTGGCCCAAGAGACAACTGGTAGAACATTCGTGATCGACTCGTACAACGTGCATAGGCTTGTTATCGCAGGGGTCACCGTCGCCAGTAAATTCTTTAGCGACGTATTTTACACCAATTCCAGATATGCCAAGGTCTGTTTACTTCGGGCACTTCCGTCTTTCCGTGGGTCATGAGCGCGCTTATGAATATATTTTTCTCCGTATGCAGGTTGGGGGTCTTCCTCAGGCAGAGCTTAACCAACTCGAACTCCAATTTCTCCTCCTCAACGACTTCCGTCTTGTCATATCCCCAGAAGAGATGCAGAAGTATGCAGAACAACTTATTCTTTTCTCCCATTCCCAACAACAACAACCTCCGCCTCCTGTTCCGTCATCCTCATCGTCATCATCAGCGACCCCCCACCCTCGCATATCCCCACGCTTGCATTCATCCACGTATTCCTCTTCTGGGCCGGCACGCGCAATGGGGGCCATAGACGCTTATGGAGGTACTGTAGCGCCCGACCGAACGCCCAGCATGCGTCCCGCACATGCTCCATCTGTACATGGTTACGCTCCTTCCAGTTCCCATCACCATTACCCAACGAACAGCTCTAGGGACGATGATGCCAGCAGCATCGTAAGCACTGATACCGAGACAACGGAGACAGAGGGCGGAGATACAACGGACGATGAGCCGACAATTAGACCACCGAATTCTGCGAGTTCATGCTGTGGCGATGCTCTCGAGGATCAGGGTGAGGGGGAGTTTCAACCAGAAGGTGTCCGGGAAGGCGAGTGTAATGGAAGCCGAGGCGAAGGGAAAGACGGATCGGTGGAAAGATTGGCTGATAAGGGTATAGGCCGTCGTGCGGACGTAGAGGGCGATGGTGACAGAGGGGATGCCACACCCGAGCTAAGAGCGCAAAGAAGGGTTCGCGAAATTAGCGAGGATATTGGGATGGGAAGCCCCTAGGCTGGGTTAATTGGTTCTCCCCATGCCACAAGCATGCAAAGGATCTCCAGGATAATTGCTGCCATCTTGTCCGGCATGGTTTGCACGCTGCTTTTGCAAGCCTTCCTTTTTTTTAATTGCCTCAATGCACGTCCTCACAATACAGGTCTGTCTTCTTATCGGACTGCACATACCGCAAGTACAGCACGCGATACACTTCTACCATGCCTTAAATAAGTACATTAACAGCTGACCGAACGTACGATAGCGTTTTTCTACTTCTTTTGTAAATACCGGTACCTATTACGACTTCTATCTCCGTTTGTTCATGAATAGAAAGATAGCAAAATAAATGTAACAGCTCCCTTCTCTCAATTGGGCATGTATGGATTAACCGGAGGATGTATGTGAATGATCAACGCTAAAACACAGGGTATAAAGGAACAAGGGTTTAGAATGTTTGGCTATAGGCTTTTCATGAGTTAGGCAACTGGGTAACCACCACCGAACGTAACCAGATCACTGATCAGCTTCTTGCGGTCCACGAGATCCCATGCATGACCATTTGCCAGGCACGATACCCATGGCTATGTTCCAGATATTTTCTCTGGTCACACCAGCACACACCCCGAAAAAATGTGGTCGTGATGTGGTATGCAATTTGAAAAGGAAAAGACAAACGATAGTAGTTGAATCCTATACAATGTTCTTGCTAGACTGCCTACAGCTCATCCCGCTTCCCGTCCTCCACAGGAAGACACAATGCAGGTGTCGTTCCCGTTATCTGATACTCACATTTCTCAGGTTCAGACACGGTAAGCAACACGTTCTCCGTGCCACATGTGAGGATGAGCTGCCGTTGGTGTCGTCATTAGCATATGTATACACACTGAAGCCAAGCGGACGCACCTCAAGACTTCGTTGTGGTCCATTCCAGCATTTGGCACCTTGTGTATATCGCTGTCTGGTATAATACTCCGGCGTACCGGGTTCCGCGAGTTTGTTCCACGATGTAAATTTACTGTATGAACGACAATCATGAGTAATTGTGCATGACACACCCAAGAAGAGGCTCACCCGAGGCTGAAGGATGAGCCACCCTTATTTGGCTTTTGTCTCGCCTCGTCGAAGAGGCAGACCTCGTACGTGTACCTTTCAGACGACATATACATGTTAGTTATTCCAAGAAATGTAAAAGAATGGAGGCAACGCACTCTCCAAGATCTTTCTCCAAACAAAGTCCGTCAAGCTTCTTCCATTCTCCTTCCGTACCAAAACCTTCAGGATTGAAGAGGTCAGAGAGATCCTCATGCGCAGTCTGGAGTTCTTCTTGGGTGAGCTTAAGACTGTGTTCTGCATCGGAAAGGGCTCGGCGTGCCCGGTTGGCCTCTGTTAGACATAGGGCTAAGCGGGCGGCAGAGTGGTAAAGGAGAAATCTTACCTGAGGAAGTGTCCGAGCTGCCCGCCTTGATGCCCAACAATTCTAGCCACGACAACAATTTTTCCCGGAATGCCAGATAGGACGGGACCAACGAGTCTGGGAGATACGCTGTCACGTCCAATACTACAACCCATCTTATCAGTTCTTGGCGTCAAAAAGATGCACGACTCACGGATTGACTGGGAAGAGGGCTCGTCCACTACCTTCTCATGCTCCAGGAGCAAAGAGACATGATCAATATTCAACAACTTATTCAACTCCCTCTCGATTCTTTCCGCGCTCCACAACCCGTCTTCTTCGTCTTCTTTCTTAGCCTCCTTAGGACTCTGAGGCGTATCAGTGGCTTCGGAACCTTCATCCTCGCCCTTCCGTACGTTATTGATGTGTGGCAGCCCTGCGAGAGTTTCCCACCCGCGTACGGCTTCGAGAACTGCCATGTCTTGGTAGTTGGGATTATACCCAGTTCGAAGTGCGTCGAGGATGTCTCCAAGTGCTTTCTCGCGCTCGAGGTGCTGTTTGTACTCATGCTGAAGGGACTTGAGCGCAGTGTAATGAGTGAGAAGGGACTGATAGAGTGCTAAGGAGAAAAATAAGTTTAGCATCTACAAGCACGAGAAGGATTACGGAGATGTACATACGCGACTGCTTCTTTCGCTCTAGTTCTTTGGCGGAAAGCGATTCGGCACGTTTCGCGATACCTGGAAGTGAAAAATTTAACCAATTAAGATAGAGAGGGAGGCAAGGATCCGCACCTCTCAATCTCTCGACCTCCTTTTCCCGCGTTGCAATCTCCTGCTCGAGGTCCGCCAGTCCACCCTCCAAGCGCTTCTTTTCCTTGTGTGCAAAGGCAATATAGGATGCGCGGATTTTCGAGCCCTACAACACGGATCAATACCAAGGTGCTGGAAGCGTGAACAACGCTGCAACGCACCGTCTTGCGCAACTTCCGTTCTGCCTCCATCTCTTTCCTATATTCCTCCCCTACGTCCTTGCACTTGTCTGGACATACGCCTGGTGCCTCGTCGGAGCCGTCACAACACTCGGGTTCACAGAGTCCATCATTCACCCTCGAGCTCGGTATCGTTGAGCCGATATGGCCCACGTTCTTGCAGAAAAACACGCCGTTCGGACATGCGCTCGTACCTGAAAAAATGATCCAAACCCATGTCCTGCGTCAGTCTATCGTACATTAAACTCTAGGTCTGCAGCGCGGGGTTGCCCGGGCATGCATGCGCTGGAGACATGACAACACACCTGGTTCGTCGCTCCCATCAGGGCAATCACAATAATCATCGTTCACAGCATTCCACGAGATCTGCTTCGAGTCATCTAAACATGTCCACGTCTGTCCCGCTCCCGAAGTAGAGGTCGTCGGCACGTATTTCGCGACGTGGCTTGGTGGGACGCCATGTGTCTTGCCAACTGCCGAGAGCACAGGAAGCGGTAAGGCCGCTAGGAGAAACCAGGGATACATTTGATACGGTATTCCCTGCTAATGCATCCAGTTCGTGAGTTGATATACCTCCGCTCGCCAAGAAGTACTGAAACCAACACAGCCAACAAATCAAGCCCAAACAGGCAACAACATTACCTCCTTGTCCATCACGGCCAAGATCAGCGTGTTTCGTCTCAATCTGCGACAAGATTTATTGTCTTTGGGTGAGTACTGTCGCTCTACCCATACAAAAACTAACATTGTCCCAGCCTTCCTCTGAGAAAAGGGTGCGTGAGGGGACCTATGAACGACTGGGAATTTACTGTTCTACATTCAGAAAGACGAGTTACGAGGCACCTTTTGCCTGATATCGTGGCTTCCGTGGGTTGAGCAAACTATGTAAATCGTTCGCACCCACCGACGCGTCAGCCTTCCGTCGACTGATCAAAAATCTTGTAGCTAATCTTCGAAGTGTTGTCGCATCGTGATATATACCCACTATTTGTTCAAGTCGGCTGGAGTGGTGATAAAGTAGGCTAAAGTGAGTAGGAGGCATTATTGAACGCTGAGGAATGGTCCACTGAGTCAGCTGTGCAATGGACAGCATGCACCTCATTGACGTGAATGCCGTCCTCAGCATCGAAGAGGGTACTGAGGAACTCGACCCTAATCTTGAAATTTTAAAATGTTTCCATGGTGAAGAACTGCAGAGACTGGAGTATGCTATTCTGTCCCACTGCTGGAGCACCAGAGCTAGTGACGAAGTCACGTTTGAGCAACTACTCAGTCTTACGCGTATGACACGTGAACGGATCAGGGACCTTCCTGGTTATCGGAAGATTGTTGCGAGCTGCAGGCGGGCTCGCGACCACGACCAACTAAACTGGCTATGGGTCGACACCTGTTGCATTGAGCAACGTGAGAGGGAAGAAGCAATCAACTCTATGTATCGGTGGTATGGGCACTCGAAGAAGTGTTATGCATACCTACATGATGTCATCGAAAACACACTTCCCGCCAAGGCCGAGGGCAAGAAGCCCCGGTGGTTTTTGCGAGGATGGACGCTACAGGAACTGATAGCTCCGAGGGCCGTTCTGTTTTTTAACGGAGGCTGGGAGCTTATTGGCGACAAGAAGTCCTTGGCACCCACTTTGAAACATATCACCCGGATACCAGAATATGTCCTGGCCTATGGCCTACCCTCACCGCAGCAAACGGATCGTCCAAGTGTAGCTCAAATCTTCTCATGGGCTGCTGACCGTGAAACGAAGAGGAACGAGGACTGGGCATACTCACTTATGGGCTTATTTGAAGTGGAGATATTCAAGTCGTATGGGACGAGAAATGCTTTTCAGCGCTTGCAGGAGGCCATCATCAAGAAGTACAATGACCATTCTATCTTTGCTTGGTTTGAGATGAAACGGCCTGGCAGTGTCCTGGCAGACAATCCGAGTTACTTTTGGGGGAGCTCTGATATAGTCAACTGCTCCATAACTGGACCATTGCCACGGGTACAACAGGGGATCATTAGGACACGCTTATCTGTCTCCCGTTGTCGCAGCTCCTCATTCTATTATGAGGCACAGTTGGCATGCCGTCGTTCTGGCGATTTACAGCGTCCTGTTACCATTCTCATCGCGTCCTTGGATGACAGGTACTACAGGGTTTTTGGAGACTTCACCCCTACCAGTAAAGCTGAGGACCGGGAACTTGATCTCTCTTGCCGGTCCATCGATGGCCGCTCCTTTACGTTTCAGATTCCTCGGACAGTAGAGTTGGGCGACCAGCAACTGTGTTGCAACCACCCCGATGATTCTCTTGAATTACCCCGTGGTTATAAAGTTATTCACTATGCTGGTCAGAGTCAGACCTGTGGTTTCAAAGTCATTCTTGGTCACTGTCTTGGCCTTGATTCAGTACACATATTGACCGGCAGACCTTCCAGTGAAGATATTCCGGATCCAGACACCTTACTGCACCATACCAATCGGATCAATGAGCTGCGGATACAAATCGCAGAGGGTGGAGAACGGACTGGATTTGCACTTGCCAACCATGTTCACATCCCTGGCACTGCCCAAGCTGTGGAACTGCTCTACACAAAAAGATCATATTTTGTTTCTCTCCAGCTTCATCTTGTGGTGTGTCCTGGCTGCTGTACACCTGTATGGCACAGGCAGTTGAAAGAGGATGGTGATGAGGGTGATCTTAGGGTAGGGAAATGCTTCAAGAAAATAATTAGGTCATATGATCCACATGTATGTGCTTCTCTTTGGCTCAGACAGGATATAACTAGGAGTCTCACACTTTTCTCCAGCCTCAAAGTGATTGCATTAGGACTTGTATGGGGTGCTGTACTGGTCAAGTGTTTGAACCCAAGGTTAGTGATGTGGTGTCACTGGAATGTGAGAAGGATGGAGTCTCTGTAGGTCCATCCTTTGCTCTCCAGTGATTCCCCATTAAAGAACATACATTCTGCCTAGCTTACTTCAGTCATTTCATTACTTGAGTGCCAGTTGAGGGCAGTTCATGATCAAATGTAAGGGTTATAGAGTTTCAAGGTTTAGTTTGGTCACTCATGCTTCCTGAGTGTCTTAGTCCTGCACAAAGTCAAGATTTGCTTAAAAATGAAATTGCAGAGCTTCAAAAATCTTTGGATTCTGCTAAGAGCAATCATGAAAAATGAGCACTGGTGGAGGATATTGTTGGCCGTGTGAATAAGGAGCAGTTGTGCAGTAACATGATTCAACTAATACCTGTTTTGATAGATTTTGCTCTTATGTTGGCATGTAATTGATGCAAAGATTGCCAAAGTGAGTCAACATGCCCCACTTTTGATGGTCAACTCAAACAACAGCCTAGGAATTGAAGGCCAAGGTAGAGCATGATGGCCAAGCCACAAAAATCAGTCAGATGTGTGTATGTGGATCCCTTGATGGGACTATCAGAGTATTCTTCTACTACTTTGCAGGCCTCCTACATTTTTAGAAAAACTTTCATGGAAGATGTTATTACTAAGGTTGATGTAACTCGTGATGGCCAATGCCCACTAAACCAGTAAGTTTCTCTATTCACTTACATGCAAATATTCATGCAGAGCACAAATCCATTTGTTACCAGAGTAATGGATGGATGCAAAAGATCACATTCTAAAGCATCAACTGTTGGTTGATTACCATGATGGTAATCATGGATAATGGTGTGGCTGCCTTCCAGAACAGCTCAAAGATACCAAAAATCACTTACTGTGAATGTATATCCTTGTACCACTGGTAACCAATGTAGTGAGGTTTGCAAGCAAGTTCAGCACTGACATTCCAACTTTCTCAACTTTATTTTCATGAGCAGTGTCTAATATGTCCCAATTGCATATACATACAATAAAGGCCAAAAGGGTCAGCCAACATGTAGGGGTCACTGCTGGTGGGTGGGTGATGCAGACTGAGAAGATAGGGGTTGCACTCAAGGTGGCTGATGATGGCTGATGAAATTTGGGCCTGGCCAACCAATGGAAGTTGGAACTGACTGAAGCACTACAAGTCAAAGTGTGGGTCACTGGCAAAAGCCAAGCAAAACCAACACAAAAGACAAAAGAGCAAGTGGTGCTGTGCTCTGCAGAACCTAGATGGCAGAAGATCTGAAATAGGTTTTTTTGGCAGGGCAAATACACCCAAGGATGAGTGCAGAGGGTTGGGGGTGTTCCTCCATCAGGAAATTAACCAAATACTATCCATGCTATTTATGGAACTTTCTGTCTAGTTTGACTACTATGGCTACTTCTGGCCACACCCAATATAAACTAAGTTTAGGATAGTAGTAGGGAGTCTCTATCCATTTATATAGTACCTGTGTCATGTCCATGTGTTCATCCCAAGTCCCCCTTCACTCCACATACTACTCCACTCAGTCATTCACTCACTCCACACCTACCCCACCTGCCCTCTACCCTTTGTGATTCTACTGACTCACATCAACCAGTCTATCACTTGGGAAACTGCTGTGCTATGTGCCAGGACACTTCATGAATTGCGGTCCCACCACCCAAGTAATATATTTCCCTTCACAGTATATGCTTCCCTTTTTTCTGGATTTTATGTATTGTACCAACTTTTTGCTTTTAGTTGCTTGATCACTGGCTCCTGGGATCATCATTGGCAGTGTTACCCTTACCTTACATTTTAGTCACTGTACATGGCATCCCAGTCCTCTGAGCACTACTGTCTGTCTTTGTCTTTAGTATATAGGTTGTTACTCAGTGTTGTATATACCTCAGTTTGAACATCAACTGAGATACCTCTCCAGCCTTCCCCTTAACCTTTCTGTCAAGCTCATACAAGGGTGTCATAGAACAGCATGCTAATGAAGAGAAGGTCTCCCATCACTTTTGGTAGTGGTCAGTCAATGTCACTCAGGTGCACCACCATTATATTGCACACCAGTTGCAATAGTATATCATTAGTATGTGTCAGTATCAGCCAGTATAAATCTGTCTTGACCCCTATCCCTATTCAACCAAGAGGAACCAGTCTTACCAAAAACCTAGCTAATAGCTGCTCACTTATATGTATGTGCCCACTGCCCATAACTACCTGTACTCACAGAATCATAACAGTTCACTCATAATTAGGCACCATTCACCCTGCAAATGTGAAGTCCAAGTTTTTGACTTCAGCTTCAGTTAAGAGGGTCATGTGATGTGAACTATCATGTGCATCCACCTGAGGTATGCAACCATTGTCACCCAGTTACTGTGATCATCAAATGTCTGGCTCATCTGTGGGATCAACCTGCTCATTGCACTCACATGGCCTTACAATCAATCCTCTAGACCTGCAGAACCCCCTGCCTCCCCCCAGGACTCACAAGAAAGCTGCAGTATGGACAACAGAGGAGGAAGGTGCATTACTGGATTTCTTGGCCTCTCATCTTTCACAGGCTGGCAATGGGAACTTTAAGAAGGCTATGTGGAATGCCACAGCAGCCCACATGGCTCATAATTATCCACCAGGTCCAGATAACAGTGATAAGACGGCTGAATCATGTGAGTGGAAGTTCATGGCAGTAAGTCATTGTATCATTCTTTTTTTTTGCCTTGCTAACAATTATCCAGCTTAAAAAATCCTACTATGCCATTGCCAATCTTAAATTGGTGGCCTCTGGCTTTGCTTGTGATGATGAGCATGGTGTGATGATCTCACTGGACAAAGCCAATCTTTGGGATCAGTATGTAAAGGTAATGTAGTTTTTTTCTTGTCAGATCATCCACTAATATCTAGTCAGGCACACAAAGATGTGAAGCCATTTTTCAATTCTGGGTTCCCCCACTTCACCAGCATAGAGCTCCTTCTCCCCCCACATGGCCAAGGTCAGTTTATCTACTGGCCACATGCCACTACCACACCTTCTTCAACCATGACCTCTGCCTTCAATACTCCTGCCTCTACTGCACCCCCCACTGCTTCAACTATTCCTACCCCCCCCTCCCTCCCTCTCCCTCCTTGACATGATGCATGCTCTCAATGCTCACCATTATGAGGACATGCAGTCTGTGGATCCAAACTTCATCCCTCCTTCCACACCATCAAGTTTTTTGTTGCATGCATCAGCCAGGTCATCATCACCATCATCAGCCATCACCAGCATCAGTCATGGAAAAAGGAAAGCTGAGTCCATTGTGATGTCCAAAGGTGGATCAAAGTGCTCTCAGCCCCTGTCAGCCAAAGCATGTGCTGAAGAAGATTGCAGTTCATTCATTGCCACCATCACCTCCAGGCTTGATAACTTCATGCACATGATCACTGCCCCATTGCCCCCACCACCCATTACCAATCCCCTTGTCAACACTGCCATGGACTACATCAACAACATGCCACAGCTCTTGACAGACAATTGGATCAACATCAGTGACTACTTCCTCAGCATGACCCAAGATGAAGTGAATATTTTCCTCAAGCATCAGGAGCCAGTGAAGCAGATTTGGGTGCAGCATCAACTGATGAAGTACTGGGATGGGCAGAGATAGGTGTTTTTTTTTTTTTTACAATATACAAATGTACCCCCCCCTTTATACAAATATGTACATAATAAAATGTACATGACTATGACTAGCTTCCTTTTGACAATGGAAGTTATTTTTCTACATGAGTGTGAAACAATTGTAAGAACATATGTTTGTACACCATGAAATCTGAATGTTCAGGCTCAGAGAAGGCCCCTAATTGTAAGCTGGTGCTGATAGTCAATCCACATCTCCTCTGCAATGTTGTCATGCCTATTATCAGCCCTTCTCCTCCCTGCAGCATCTGCTGGTCCATCACCAAGGCTTCCAATACCATCATCCTGTTACGCCCGCGTCAGGGGTCTTCCCTTTTTCGACTCTTCGCGGTCACGTGCGTCACGTGCCTTGTCGCGACTCTCATCGCCGTCGTCGTATTGGGAGTACGGATGCTCCAGGGACGCCTCAGATCACCCGCTGTCCAGGTATTTCCAATGCCTGTCGAGACTCATCAATCGTGATCCGTCCGTGACATTCGCCGCTCTCGTTTATCCCTTTATATTCCTATGATTCACTCTGACTCGTTTCTATTTCATTCTGACTCGTTTTTGATTGTACTATAGATCCGGTGTCAGGCTCCTTGCTGCGCTCTGATCGCACAGCCGGTATAGCTTTCGTTTCCTAACTACCCCCATCATTGACACCGTATGACTCTTATTTATTTCAGTGATTAGTTCGTTTACTGCTGCGGATACGCGTCGCGACGCGTCTGTCGCGACTGGTAAGGTACTTGTACTTAGGGGTATATAAACCCACGTACTTTACCATGTATCCTCAGTTTTTCGATAGCTTGCAACTGAGCTAATTACTTGGCTTCAATCCCTACCTTCTCTCTGCGCGAACAACCTTAGGGACTTGCCAGCAGACAAGGTCTTCGTCGGATTTTCGCCATAACTCAGCCATAGGGGTTACGATACGTTCGGCCCGTAGACTCCAACCTCGCGCGCTTCGTGCCTATTCCATTTGAAGAAGTCACCACGCTCGGGCATAACACATCCTCTCCTATGTCTATGGCAAGTTCAGGGTCAAAGAACTCTTCTGGATCATAGCACTGTATGAAATTGTGGAGGGCACAGAGAGCAGCAGATACTTGAGTTTGGGTGTGGATGCTATATTCAGGGGGAATTTGAAGAATCCTCCATCTGCATTTTATAACACCAAATATCCATTCAATGGCATTTCTAAGTCCAGCATGGCAAAGGTTGAATAACTCCTCTCAGTTTTGAGGTCTATAAAATAGAAGTTACAGGTACACTGAGCAGGATGGAATAGCAACTTACCTCAATCCAGCCTGGTGCCATTCTTTCAGATGGTAACAAACACCTCAATAGGGAACCAGAAGTGCATCACAGGTCCCAAACCCTGCATCTGCAAGAAGGTACTTCCAAGGTGGCATGTGCAAGTCATTCCTGTGTGCATCATGCCACATGGTTGCATCTGCAGTTGACCCATCAAAGCCAGTGAGGGCATATGTAAAGAAGTCAGAATCACAGATGAAGAGACAGTTTTGAGATAGGTAGCCCTTCCAGTTCCTCATGTAAGGCTGGTCCTCAGCAGCAGTGAATGCTTGAATATGAGTGCCATCAACTGCACCAATACAATCCTGGAAAAATTGGAAGCATGGGTCACTAGTAATCATAGTTGATATGGGAGTGTTGTTGGTGGGGAATTGCACTTGGGATGCATAGAATTGTCCCCTAGAAAAGAAAGCCAACATTGCTTTGAAATATCTAAAAAATTGTGAGAAAAATATCAGACAGTCCAATAAACTCCCTACCTAGTGATGGTCCCTGGTGAGTGTTGGAACCTCTCAGCAACATGCCAGGATGACAACCCAGTGACATAGGTGTAGAGGAATATCCCAAGTTGTTCCTCCACAGAAATTCCATTGCAAGAAGGCACAAAACCATGATGGGTGAGCACCTGCATCAGGTGATCAAAAACCCCATGGCTGATGCCAAGGCAAGTCCATATCCTGTCTGGATGACCATTCAGGAGCTCTAGCATCCACCCCTCACCAGTCAGGATTGAGGTATGGTAGGGGATTGGTTCTGAGTCAGAATGAAAAAGGAGGCCATAGAGGCATAGCACCTGGATCATCACTGCTACTACAAGTGCAGCAAGATGGCAACAACAATGGTGCTGGAGCTGCTGTGCTTCAAGATCCATAGCAGAGTTGTTTGATCTGTTATCACAATGTTATCTATTGAACTACAAGTAGTGTTGTTGTCTTATATAATCATCACATGACTACATTACTGAAGCAGAAGCCCAAAACTTGGACTTTGCACTTGCACAGGTGTGCACAGCTTATATAATCATCATGTGACTACATTGCTGAAGTCAAAGTCAAAAACTTCAACTTCAACTTTGGAGGGTGAACAGTGCCTTAGTCTTCTTCACACAATCTTTTACCATTTCCAAAGGTAGCACTGACCTACATGTTCCCATCTGTACCTAATCCTTCACTGTTAATTGTAAGGTTTAACAACCATGTAGCTGAGACAATGCCCTGAAAATGTTATAACTCAAAGGACAGTGATTCAACATTCCATTGGTATGAAGTTTTAAGACATTACAAAAATTATAGATCTGATGCCCCATGAGAGTATTTAGGCTGCTCACATTCCATTACAGACAAGGTATAATTTCTGAAACCCTGGCCTTGCAGATGAGAGGATAAAGTTCTCCAATGTTCTGCCATACACTCCCTCATCCTGGGATGATGCCCTAACCAAATTGAGGGTAATGAGCTCTCCATTGCTGGATTCATGGCAACATGCCAGCTTGACTTGGATATACTGCTGAGAGTCAGCACAATGTGTCACAGGCAGCCATATCTCCACCCCTTTCCCTGTCAGCTCAAACCATCTGTGACTTTTGATTCGAGCTTCTGCTTCTGGACACTCCTTGGTGAATGCATGGGGAGGGCTTAGCCTGATTACATCTGCACTGTCCCGAAAATCATCTGGGCTTTCTGCCAGGATACTCCCATGTCTTCCTTCCCCAGACCATACAAAGATAGAGTGATCATTGTAATCCCCAATGATGGCCTCCTGCAAGCAGTGGAATGCATGTCCCCCTTCCCCATACTGAGTTTGCATATGCACTCTAAACAAGCCCAGAAGTGCATATGCCCTGTCTTCTTCCTTCCTCCCATTCTGATCAGCTGCCCATGACAAAATTTGGGCAACACTTGGATGATCTGGATGTTGTTGAGATGGTAGTCCATTGACAAAGTATGTCCTCTGGAACCCATGTGATTGTAGTCAACACAGTCAAAAGGTTTCTCTTGTCACCAATGAGCTGCCAATGCTGATTGAAGAATGAGACTTTGTTGGGGGCCAGCAAATCTGACAGTGTCCAGCTACAGGAGAACCACTGTGGCCAGCCACCAGATGCAGAGAACTTCTGGTAATTCCCTTTCAGTAGGAAAAGTGGACCCATCAACATCATCCAGGTATACATAACATTGCTCTGAGTTTGCCTGCCAATGGTACCTTGAGTTCACAGACTCAGAGAACTCTGAGATGTCATCCTCATTAATGCAGGTAGAGTCAGTCCATAGCCATTCCAGCCCATCAGCACAAGCTTTTTCACAGGCCTTGACAATTTTCTGATAGCCCCTATGATGGATATCAAATATCCCCAGTGTGAGATCTCTTGAATCTCCGAACTGGACTTCTGCCTCTGCCACACACCAACAATGTGACAGCATGGCATATTGGACATGACAGATCTCCATGTCATAAAATTCTCCAAAGACCTCAGTGACAGCTTTTTCCCCATGATGGCCAACTTGGAGACCAAGGAAGACATCTACATTGATCAACTGTATCTTGCCTGCTTTGAGTATTTGAATGTGCTGTAAAATGAGGAAAACAACTGGTACTCACCACAAAGCAAAGACTCCTGATCAGTCAATACTTTCAGTTCATTTACATCACATGCTATCTAAATTGGAGTAGCATAAGGAACCAATGTACCACCACTGACCAAGATTGGCAATAGGAAGTCACATACCTGACTGGCAGAACTTGGACCAAAGTCATGGAGTACCACAGACCTCTGCATTGACTTAAGAGGATTGCTGCATGATCTGTAGCCATTAGTTTATAACAAATAATTTTGCCATGAAGAGAAATTTTATTACCTTGGCAATTGTTTTGACAATGTGAGATATGGTAGGCCATGACAAGGGTTCAAATCTCCAGCATGACAAACATAAATTCCACCACTCATCAGTTAGACGTGACAATGTGTCTTCATCAGTGGGGCGATCTGGTGTCTGACCCATACAAATGCTATTCATGATTCTCATATGGGAAGAAATCCTGTGGAATGGAACTGTGCAGGTGAACAACTCCTATATGTGTCCATTCAAACTCAATGCACGCCAGTCAGTAATAAGCATACCAGAACAGTCATCCCAAATGACCACACATCCGTCTCAGCTGATGGTGGGTTGTCCATAAACAGTTCAGAGCAGCCCACCTTGTCATGAATCCTTGTTGAAAGTTTTCTGACATAGGGTCAGCCAGGAGTGGTCCACAATCATCAGATATCAGCACATTGTCCTATGATGCATTGCTGTCATACAGAGTATTTTGATGGTGGTGAGGTCTACTTACACCCTTCAGATCTCCATGGAATATGGAACTCGGCATATAGTTGTGTAGGTAATGTAGTCCCTGTGCGATCCCTAAAATCTAGGCAGCATGCAGACGAGAATCACACCAAACACCTTGAACTTACCAGAGGACGAGGATCAACAGTTGTATCTTGTACATAATTGTGGGCATTTCCGTTCTGCATCCATGGGGAAATAATCGACACCGTGGAGTCAAACTCAGTGGTGATGCCAAGCAATGGGAGGATGTTTTCATGAGCGAGCCTAGACCACATGATGAGATGTTGGAAAATCCGCTGCTCATGACTTAGAACATGTGAATATGATAATCCAGTATCGATCTTGCCTTGATATTAGATTCATTGCCATCGGGACGCCCCCGTAAAGTCTTTACAGCGACACTCCTATCCTCTGGCATCAAAACGCCGACATATACCACAAAATATCCTCCATGACACTTTGGGAGCATGTCTCTCTTCACCTTTCCATCAAGATTAATCTGGTAGTGTGACGCCAGTGAAGCATATTCTTTCAGAATATCCCGTTCCAAACCTCCACAGCCTCCACTCGGATTCGCTATGCTGTCCATTGATGTACCAGTTTCGTCAGCTGGGGAGTAAAGCCAAGTCAACGATGAGGAGCCAACGAAGCGAGCGCAAGCTGTATTATATAAACAATCGGAGACAAAAGGTCTCGGAGTTTGCCGTCGTATCAGCAGAGCACGAGACAAGGTAACCCTTCCTCACATCGACGACGACGAGGCACTCAGACTATGGTAAGTTACTCCATTTCTTGCCTTGTAGGACTCTTTTTGCGACAGTGCCAGCTGCTGGCATAAATTCGGATGTGCTCGCTTGCCGCACCACACGGATGTCCTGAACGCGCTTCAGATGACCCAAACCAGTTGCTAACGCGCAGTGCCCCAGGCTAAAGCAAAAGCGCCAGCACCGTCATCGGGCGGAAAAGCCGCCAAGAAGAAGAAGTGGTCCAAGGGCAAAGTCAAGGACAAGGCCCAGCACTCCATCGTGCTCGACAAACCAACATACGACCGCATCATGAAGGAGGTTCCCACCTTCCGCTTCATCAGCCAGAGCATCCTCATTGAGCGACTCAAGGTCAACGGTAGTTTGGCCCGCGTGGCTATCAGACATTTGGAGAAGGAAGGCACGATCAAGAGGATCGTGCACCACTCCAGTCAACTCGTTTACAGTGAGTGTTCACTGCTATATTTAGTGCAGCAGTGGCTGACCAGTCGTATGCTTTGATAGCACGGGTGACGACTGCATCAGACTAATTCACCAGCTCCTTTTTCCATTTCCACTATGCTAGCTCATACGGCCATGTAATCCATTGTATTACATACAAAATTATACTTGTGACTGGCATTCTTCGGACATTCGTGTATCGTGCCTGTGAATTTCTTCCATCCTAGCAAGTCTGCAAATGAGACTAACGGAGAATGGCTTGACCAGCTCCTGACGTCATATGTCCAGTGACAATACAGTCAATTCATTGCCTGCTGTTACTGTACACCTCTGATTGAGACCCTACATTTCCCCGCACTCTGAATTGGAGATTGTTTAGAGGGACATCTCCCAAATATTTCGTTCGATGCAGTTCTCACCTACGATCTTCACAGCCAGTTTGGGTCTGTTGTTTGGTCCCGTGGGCACATTCTCAATTTTACGAAGGGTCAACATTCCATCAACAACCCTGCCAAAAACAACATGCTTCCCATCCAAAAAATCACATTTAGCAGTCGTGATAAAGAACTAGAATGGGGTCTCAAGTCAGGACTCAGGATGTCTCACAAAACGTGGATGCGCACCTGGCAACCGTTGGAGTTAGGGCCCGAGTTTGCCTACGATAGTTGTTAGTTGTTAAGAAATGAGCATGATAGCACGAAGGCACCATCGATAACAGCCCTGGTCCCATGTGTTTCTCCTGGAAATTCTCATCCTGAAAGTAACTAGCATGAAGTCATCGCCAGCGTCAAAGGCATGCGACTCACGGGGAAATTCTTCCCGTATATTGAAAACGCGCCAGTTCCATCGCCATTTATGAAATCACCACCTGCCGCGATAAATACTCGCCTACTACGCCATCAAGAAAATTAGATAGCACACCTTGGCACATAAAGTTGGGAACGCTATGCATATAGTCAGTCGGTCAGCAAAATTTTTCCCCAGCACGGAACGAGCAACGTACACTCTGGTCGCGAAACCAGGTCAGTTTATACACAGACCATAGGTATTAGAACTGACCTGTGGAACGTGGCGTTTTTGTACCCCATTGGCCGAGCGTCCTTCCTACCGATTGCTTGACATTTCAGAAACGTTGTTCACGTGGAATGCAATGTGAATATAAGTCACCTGTACTCTCCAGTACAGAGTTGCCTGAAATTTTCTGCTGTTCTGATGGATGGTGATGCACGACGTATGCAGCGGGTGCTGAATGGGACGTACTTTGGAACAATATCGCTAAAGAGCTCCATTTTGATGCGCCCCGCGGGCGTTTCTCCGATGTGGACATCCATGAACACGACTGGTCGAGTTGTCGATGACATCGTTGCAGGGAGTAACTGAAGTCGGACTACAGATTGGATAACAAGACCCTATTTGTTCTAGGCTTGACAGTGAGTACTTGGGAATGTGGAGCACCGATGCCGTACAGACTAGTGGCTTTCTATGCCTGATCTGTCCTTCCGGTTCCTCCCCCCGGATCTACGCTAACTACCACCATCGTCCATGAGTGCAGAGACGGACTTTTACATTGGCGTCGACGTCGGCACGGGCTCTGCGCGTGCTTGCCTTGTCACATCCAAGGGCTCCATCAGAGCTTCCGACACCCAGGACACCATCACTTGGCGAGATCCCCACGATCATCGTATCTTCGAGCAATCGACGACCGATATCTGGTCGAAAATCTGTATTGCCGTCAAGAAAGTTCTTGAAGACTCCAAGGTTGACCCCGCTGCTGTCAAAGGCATCGGGTTTGACGCGACATGCTCGCTAGCAGTCGCAGATTTTCAGGGTAACCCCGTCACAGTGACCAGGGGGGACGACATTGGCAAAGTCGGGACAAGAAACATCATACTATGGGCAGACCACAGAGCCGAGGAAGAGGCAGAACTCATCAACTCCACCAAGTCAATCGTCCTCAACTACGTTGGTGGAACCATGAGTGTATGTCCCTCATTCCCCGTTACTGTCCACACATGTTTCTACATGGCGCATACAGCTCGAGATGGAAGTTCCAAAGACGCTCTGGCTCAAAAAGCACATGGATCCTGCCCTATTCTCTCGCTGTCAGTTCTTCGATCTTCCGGACTACTTCACGTACAAATGTACCGACAACAACACGCGTTCGTTCTGCTCCACGACGTGCAAGTGCTCCTTCGTCCCCGATAAGGGATGGCAGGAAGATTTCTTCACGAGTATTGGGCTCGAGGAGTTGGTCGACGGAGGTGAATGGAGACAGATCGGGGGGGCAAAAGGAAGGATACAGGCTGCAGGAACGCCAGTCGGCAAGGGGCTCACGCGCAAGGCTGCTGACGAGTTGGGCCTCAAAGAAGGCACTGCCGTCGGGAGCGGTCTCATCGATGCGTAAGGCTTGTTCGATAACATCTCTACGAAGTGTGTCTTGTTCATGAATGGCGTTTATAGCTATGCGGGCTGGATGGGTACTGTCGGTGCAAGATACATGGAGGACGGCAAGCTGTCCGGCTTCCCCTCTCTCGACGAGTCCCGTCATCGTCTTGCTGCCGTAGCCGGAACAAGTACATGTCACATCGTCCAGGTGAGGTGACTTGGCTTGTTCCTTCGCTTGCCTGTATCTCATGCTTCGTAGAGCAAAGATGGGATATTCGTGAAGGGGGTTTGGGGTCCTTACAAGGCAAGGAATTTTGCTTTCCGAATATATGCGCTGTTCTGATAGTGTTCACAAGGATGCGGCCTTCCCTAACTGGTGGATGAACGAAGGCGGACAGTCTTCAACGGGACAGTTGATCGATTTTATCATCACCACTCATGCTGCATACCCCGAGCTCAAGGAACGTGCGAAACAAGAGAATAAGAATATTCATCAAGGTATGTTCTAATTATTTACAGGGAGAACGCAATTAATCCTCCGGCCCGCTTAGTGCTGCTTGATATTCTCAAGAAACTCTCTGCAGATAACCAAGTCGATAGTTTCACCGCACTGATGAAGGATGTACATTTCTATCCCGACTTCCATGGTATGCCAGCAGCCTATCTTTCTGCGGATAAAATTTGTATACGTGGTTTCGTGCAGGCAACAGGTCACCTATTGCAGACCCTCGAATGCGCGGAGCGATCGTCGGCCTCGAACTCGTACGTTCCATTTTACAGATGACCATTACCCACCTTGAAGGGGAGGCGTTTCTAGGACGCATCCATCAACGATCTTGCTCGTAAATACTATCTCACGCTGGAAGCTATCTCCCTTCAAACGAGACACATTGTTTCCTCCCTCAACGCTGCTGGGCATGACGTCACTTCTATCTACATGTCTGGCGGTCAAGCAAAGAATGCTACCATGATGCAACTTTTTGCAGACACATGTGGTATCCCCGTTGTACTGCCGATGAACGGTGGGGAGGCTGTAGTTCTAGGCGCTGCGATGTTGGCAAGAATAGCGAGTGATGGTATTATACAGGCGGAAGACATGTGGCGGGTAATGGTGAGTCTGAAGAATTGTCATTGTCACGGTTATTGGTAACCTGTCCTTGCAGGTTGAGATGACACCACCAGGAACATTAGTCGCACCTTCCGCTTCCCCCAAAGCTAAGAAGATCCTTGACGCCAAGTATAAAATTTTCTTGGAAATGATCGACATTCAAAAGAGGTGGAGAAGCGAGTTAGAGGAAGTCACTAGATGAGAGGTGTGAATGCGGTGCAGATAGATAGAAATACTTCTTTAGACTACTTGAGAATAGTAGGGTGACAATTGACGTGAGAGTTCCTTGCAATAACGGCACATATTTAGTACACCTCCTCGCCCTCTACCGTGATGATTTTCATTCTCCAGTCCTCGCGATCGAGTTCTCCCTCTTCATCTGCCCACTCGAGGTCCACATCCCCAGGCGTGACATCATTCAAGGGAGCCATAGAAGTGTTGTCCTCGATTCCCCCTACGATGTCTACGTCTTCATCTTCTTGCAACTTCTTGCGCAGCGCTAACTCAGCCTCATCCTCCTACGAGTTCCGCTCAGCAAACATTATTTTCGGCATTGACCGCACCAAGTAGCTCACCAAATCGAACTCGCTCTCTCCCTCCTCATACCAAACATTTTCGTCAGCTTCTTCGAACCCACCAGCGAACGCGCCCCACCGCTCCGGCGAAGGACAATGCCAGATTAAAATGTTGCCATCTTTAGTGGTTGAAGCGAGGCGTGGTCCGTGTGGGTGCCACTTTTGAGGGGCATCAATGGAAAAGTCAGCTTTCCTGCCAGTGTAGCAAAACGAGGAGTAAGGGAAACATACATGCACGTCCAAGAGTGGCTCTCTGCCACCATCCAGGGCACTTGCGAATTGCCCGTCGTTCGAGATGTCCCAGATATAAATTTTGTGTGCCGCCGGATCCGCCGCACCTGTTCAGATGTCAGTTAGCTACTACCCCAGGCGTGCCTGCTGTCTTGCAAGCTAGTATGTATCAACATCGCCGAGGGGTCGCACGATTATATGGGCCCCAACTTGCAAGAAGACTCACCTCCAGCCAACCACTCCCCATCAGGACTATACGACATCGCATGCCATGCCACTTTCGAAATCGGGTCGTTGAACCGGTGCGTGGGCTCCAGCTCCGTCTCCACTATCTGGTATTTACTTGATCCGTACGTCGTATTCGGCTCTGGAGGTGGAGGGTAAGTAGGGAGCGTGAATTGGCGGATGGTCCTGTCTGACGAGTTGGTGGCAAGCCTCCTACGAAAGCAGCCGGCTAAGTCACAGGAAGAGCTGTCGGACAAATTCAACTCACTCACCTCCCACCATTCGCAAAGACCAGTCCCTTGATGACTCCCGCGCCGACTATGCGATGTCTAGCTACTAACTTTGTCAACGAGAAGGCGGAGTCAGCCATTTGTGCTGTGCACGTAAGGTGGGAAGCACTGGGTCACCATGCCGCTGTCGCGGCTACGACCCTAGTGAAAGACTTACCGACTTTGTGCGAGTGTTGTAAACCTCAATCGTACCAGCTGAAGTACCAACGAAGACATGCCGACCGGTCGGGTCAAACCGAGCTGTTGTCATTATCGTTCTGCACCAAGGCGTGCAATTGCGAACGCGGTAAGTCGACATGATTAGTGAAATGATTGGACGGGCCCGATGATATGGGTTTCCCATTCAAAGGCAGAGAGTATACTGAATGAACGAGTATATACCAGCACATTATTTTTCCGTTGACGTACCGTTTCTCATCACCATCGTCCTCTTCGCCCAGCTCGAACCTACCGCGATGAGAGCTGCGTAGATCGACTATGTAAGGTTCGCCGGTACTCAGTAAAGCAAGAATGATGCGACTATAACAACTCGGTACTGGCTGCCAGCTTTAGCTACGCGTAGTCACGCACCTATTTCGTGGATGAAAGCTCGCTGCGATGACGGGCGCGTCGAATCGAATGGTAGTATGCCTTTGAGGGGGATCACAGGGTGACGCCAGGTCCCATATTATAATATTCCAGTCTTTTGACGCTGTGAGCACATATCGCGAGTTGCGCGACCAACTGTGCGTATCGAGTATGTTTGAGCAAGGAAACGCGCAAGATAACTTTGAGACGAGCGTACTCGACAGCTGTGATGCCCTTGACATGTCCTTCGCACCACCTTACAGTAGCTCGTGTGTCGAGGTCCCATATGACTCCCGAACCATCGGGGCGGCCAGCGGCCAGGAGTTTCCCTGACGGATCGAAGCGGGCAAAGGACGCGCCTGAGACCAGAGACGTTTGGATGGTTGTTGGATGGGTGATGGTGAACGGGTCTGTACGAGCGTATCAGATAGAAATCTCACAGTCAGCTTCCAACGCAGGGCAGCGTACTGAAGAGGGTTGCGTTCATGATTGTTTGTGGTCAAGCTTATGTCGCCGAATTCGAGTGTTAACAAAGACTTATGGCTACAACCCTCGACGATCTGCTCGATGCGTTGGTCGTGCCCCCAGCGTTTGCGCGATATGACAGGATAACAGACACGGCTACTTTATCTGACGTGCGGGCATGGAAGTCGAGATTACTGCCAACACTTTCCCAACTGGACGTCTCGTCGTCATCGTTATCGACAGCTGAACGGGCAAAACTTGTAAGAGTTCTCGCCCCACTCACCGCCACCGCGCCATGGACCTCTTCGAAATCTCGTACCCTTGCAGCCAGTAAGGAGCCCGTTTCGTTCTACTAATCAGTGGTCGCTAACCCCTCCAAACAGCACTCCTCGCAACAATTTCCCCCACTCCCACACTCGTCACATACACGCTTTCGAGCGTGGTCAAACCCCTCTTTGCTGCGACGCCCCACCCTCGTCTTCATCTCGCAACAGCACGTGTCCTTGCTCGCCCAGCCGATACACAGGATACATACCACCATCAGCCATGGAAAGATTGTCCCGGCCTGGAGGAGGTCCTCAGGTGGTGTATCTTAAACACGCAGGTATGAATGACACTTCCCCTCCCGAAGTACTCCTCACTTTGGTGGATTCTAGTCGCCGACTTACGAGCAAATATGGCCTCTTATTCTGCCCCCCACCATGACCTTCCTTGACGATTATGAAGTTCCCTACAAAGTGCTTGGCGTACGCCTTATCTCCGATATGTTAACCTGCGTACCTTCAGAACTACTCCTACGGACCGGCGTAGATGCACTACTTTTCAACGTGCGTTATGTGTCGTTTGTTCTGTCGCGTTTCATCTCAACCCTTTTTTTGCTCGTTGCATACGATAATTCGGATCTACCCAGTCTCTTACGAGTGCCCTGAATCACCTCCGTGACCAGAGCACTCCCGAGTTGATTCGAACGGTAGTCCCGACAACACTACAGCTTATTGACCTTACTACGCCTTCGCCGTTTCCTAACCCATCTCCTTTCCCACTCTCCACGGATGGTACAAAGGGCGCCAGCTCAACGGATTTGAGCCTTTCACTTTCTCCATCCTTACAGAAGTCCCTTACTACAAGGTTTAATCGTCTGTCCACCCTACTCTCCTCATCGATTCTGGGGACAGTCATTCTGTACACACCGACAGTTGTCCCATCGGAACCGGCTCCTACTCTGGATCCGTTTTCGGACCCTGAGCACGTGGCATCGGACTCTGGGTCGGAGCCTTTCACAATTCGGCCTGTACAGGAAGCAAAGCCAAGTACCCATGTTCCACATCCTACTTTGGTGGCAGCTTCCCATGTCCTGCCTCCCGTTATATCTGCTCTCGGTGTAGGGGCTGCGAGGTTTTTGAAAGGCATCGTGCCAGTGGTCGTTGGCTGGCTCGCGCTGCCTATCTCTACCCCAGGATCTTCACACTCAACTATTATCCCAACACCTGTCGACCCTTCAGAAGGGGAGAAAAAAACTGGCCAAGCACAAGTGAACATCAATGAACCGCTCGCCTTGCATCTTGCAGCCCTGCACGTTGTGAACGTTCTGATTGATACATGTCCATCACGAATCGCTCGGTGGTCGACAACCATTACTGATGGTCTGGCTCGGTGTTGGGTTGGTTGTGTAGATGCCGTGTCTACTGACACTGCACCACCTCGGCTGGAGGTACTCCGCGGACGCCTGCAGGAGGTTGCAGTGGAATTGGCAACTGCGTGTCCACGTGTAGTCAGGGTAAGTAACCAATCTGAATATCGCCCTCTGATCTTCCTTCCTTACAGCACTTGTCAGAATGAATTCACACAGCTCCTTGAAGTTGATCAGACGCTGTTTGACGGACTAGTAGGAAGTATATACACAGCTCAGTGTGATGATCCCACACTTGGAGTTGTGGCCATGAATAATTCCGGCAATGCCACCTCGGAAATAGTCTCATGAAGCAGACACCAACTATGGGGGATTATGGTGGCTGATGATGATGATTCTACAGGTACAGCAGCCGTGGGTTACATATACGTGCCATGGGAACGGCTTGAGTCTCTAGGCCTTCTGAAGTTCTGGTTTAATGTATTTGCATAGTAAGTGTACTCCAAGACTCGAGGTAACAAAAATAGATGTATTTCTCGATAGATGCTCCCTAGCTAAATAGTGGGATGAGAAAGGGAAAGGCCCACAGGGTGGCTGCAAAGACTGAGAGTGAGAGCACAAGTGATTTCAAGCTCTACATTAAGGGTGCTCAAGGAAGTAGTAGTGAGTGAAATTGAGGGATGAGGGCAATGGGATGAAGAATGGTGAGAAGCAAGAAGGAACAAAGAGTGGGAGAATGGAAAACTATGTGTATATGTTGGTATGACCAATCAGAGAGTAACTTGAGTCAGGTTCTGAGGTGAGCCCTCTGTCATGCAGTTCTGAGGGGATGGATCAGTTTGACAAGTCATCTGTTGGCACCATCAGATAAGGAAATTGATGATCGGCATTGTGGCAACAAAGGGGAAGGCTCCAATTAGCATTGGGAAATTATAAGTAGCCTGAACTCAAATGGATATCAGCATGTTTAGGTGTAGGGAGTTACTCCCTCACATTGTATACATTTGGTTACCACAGGTTCAGCCAAACCAGTAGTTCAGACATTTTTGTGACTGACACTGCAAACATTTCACCATTTTTCATGACAGAACATGTTGAAAAAGATTGAAAGAAGAGGATACAATGTTATTGTAACACTTCCACACAAGAAATTTAAAGTCAATGTTTTATTTTCTCTGCATGGCCTACTTGCAAACATTAATTGATGGTGAATTACCATTAATTCATGTTCATTGGCAGAGAAGGCAAATATTTTTGGATTTTGTCTGTGGAAACATCTGTAATAACATGGTATCTTTTCCTTCAATTTTTTTTTTCAATATGCCATATTTTTTACATTATATCAGTGTATATAAGTAAACGAAAGCCCTTCAAGCTTCAACTGTTACTGAAGTCAATGAAGAAATGATATGCATTTACACATATGCCCCAACATCACACTGACACTATGCATGCAACAGCTAGAGATTGAATACTGAGCAGTGAGCACACCTTACATGTGATGAAACCTAAATGGAGTGTTGTAAGCTGATACTACTATCCCTAGATAAGGAACAATGACAGAGAGCAGAGACAAGGAGGAGCTTTTGGGGGGCAGGGGTCCTTTGGGCTTGTGGACCCAGATGGACTGGCTTGAGGGGCTGCTTGGGGAGGTTGGGCAGTTCTTAGATATTACTAAATGGGGTGAGGGTCAAGGGTATGATATCATAGTGATGTCACTATGAGACCAGTGGAGTGGACCAGTCTGGAAGCATACATGCAGAGTCCTCATGGGTGGTGTGTATACTAGCAGTCTAGAATCTGTCACATGGTCTTGATAAGATAAAGATTAGATATGATCAAAAAGGGGCAAATGTACATATTATAACATCACAAATCTATGATAAGTAGTAGGATTTCAGATCAAGCCATATTGAGGTTTCAAATTCAACTCTGGTTGCTGGTGTCTGAATATGATTGTGTAACTTGTGTGATAGTCATGATGCCCAAATGAGGTCTGCCTGAACCTGAGGTGATCAAGTACAGTATTACTGAACATGGCAAGTGATTCTCACACATACCAAAACAGTAGAGACAAACAAAACAAACAAAACCACTCCTCTAATTAATAGAATTGATGACAAGAGAAGATGTTCAAATTAGGAAACATTTTCAAACAGTTATATTTAGTTGTAAAGTTTGGCATTATTTGTGCATATACATCTGCAAACAAGTTGTCACAGGTTAGATTTAAGTCAGCAAATTCATGCTGCTTTCCTTTTTGTTCCCATTCCAACACACCCACTACCTCACACAACAGGTAATGTAAATGTAAATATTTGACATCTGCATTATTGGTCTAATGCATCAGTTGCCAGCTCTTGCCTTTGACTTGGCTCAGTTTTCACTGATCCACTTGTAGATTGTGGCAGTGAAACTTGTCATTTCCACTGCATCCTATCAAGAGCAATAAACCCATGGGCACAGAGATATTGTCACCTTGCATGAATGATGCAACACTTTCACATGAACTGACATGGCTTCAATGTATGTGCATCCTTGAAAGTAACACTTCTGTAACAATTCACAATGCTCTTGCAGCACTTCCTGAGATACCAAGACAGCCATATGGACATGACAACCCAAATGCCATGCACTCTTCCACTTCTCCATTGACTTTGGATAGGCTGGCAACACCTCCCTTAGGCAATCCTTTACATAACACCAAAACACAAAGGACCCCAGTTGACCTTCCAGAATGGACCATCCTCAGCCAACCCATGGCAAATGATGGCCATGTGGCTCCGGCTGAAACGCGCTTCCGGAGTCCACAGTGCGTGGGGCCTCGCACAGCCACTCATCAAGTTGCTAACGGCGGGGAGGTTGATGAACGTACTCAAGCTGCCTCGCCGTCTTCCAATAGGACCTCAGGAAGCAGCTCAAAGTTACCCCAAAAACCCTTGTTTGATGGAGTATTGATCTCGTCACGCCCTCCGAAATCCACGGCGTCGCGCTCTGCAGGTTCAACTGCTAAGCGGTCTCTCACTCCAGCAACTTCTTTCTCGCTGCTCGACGCGCTGCAACGAACATTTGACGCGAACAATAATCACCTTACGCCATCCCAAAGTGAAGATGATGCTTCGAGCGCGCCTCAAACGGATCAGGAAGCTGCAACCGATGATGGGAAGGTGATACTACGGCATCGACTTTCTCCGTTGAAACGTCGATCCTCGCGTCGCCAGATTGCCCAGAGTGACAAGTCGGAGGATGCGGCGGAGGTCAAGACAGCGTTTCGGGACGGCCTCGTCAAGAAACGTGTTGGAAGCATTCCCTATGATTCAATGCCCGGAGTGATCGATGCCGCGCTCGGGACAACTTGCGCACCCATCTGGCTAGGGAAAGAGGACGAGTTCGAAGACGATGGCGAAGCCGAGGAAATGCCTGGGGAGGTTTGGAATGGAACGAGAGACTTGTCGGTGGAGTCTGATGGCTGGAGCTGCGGCATTATTGGCGACCACCCCCTCACGGTGTTATTCGTACGACCGCCACTGTCAGCCTCGTCCACTGCTACATTAGGTCTTCCGCACAGGAAGCTCGAGAAGACAGGCTTCATTACACCCCATGTATCGATGCACGATCGGTTCCAGCAGAAGCTTCATTCTCTCTTCGGGGACAATGTGACGGTGCGGACCGATAGAGGCGCAAGACCGCGCGAGGTTCGTGGTATTTGAAACTTTACATTCAAGGCTGACACCCTTCCCTTTCTCATCTTTCACGATCTTCCAGAATTTCTTTGATTATATTTACCAACCTGCCAACGCGCATCACGATGATACCCTGAGTCATCCCATCGCGCCCGAAGCGAACGGAGATGGTGATAATTCGCCCATTGACAATACCCCGCCTGCGCCCGTGGACAGTGTCCAAGCCAGTACTCCAGTTGCGCCTATGCAGGAACGCACAGCTACGGCTGACAGTGTTCCGACTGCCTTTTCATCGACGTCGCGAAGATCTCTCAAGCGGCAAGCTTCTCAGGAGGTGGACACCGATGCCCACACTTCCGTCATTCCCCGTAACGATGATTCCGGCGACGCAGCAACTGCTCCCGCGGAGGTGACGCACCAACCACTTGCAAACAAAAAGCGACGCCTCGACTTCAATGAAGACCAACTTCAGAGTTGGACTTCCAAGCTTCAGCGCCTCATCAAGGGGAAAATCCGGTTCACTGAAGAGGTGTGTGTAACTACGTGACTGGTTTAGTGACTGACACGAATCATGGCATTAACAACAGGCTCTCAAGCAATTGAGTGACTTGCTCGCGCAGATAGATTCGGTCAAAATGGAACTGGACATGAATATACCCATTGTACGTATTTCTCACTTGGCAGCACTAGTACCGCGCCAGGTTCTGAACTGCTTGCGGTAGGTAAATTCGCTCCAGCAGAGCATCCGCAAGCTTTCCCAACTTCAGGATATTCCGTTTGGGGATCCCTATAAATTGAGAATAAAGGCACATCTTATCGCAACTGCTTGGTCACGCGCGTGACTCTTGCATGTTGTGATACTAACCAAATTTCAGCCCTGATGGAACTTTCATATTATAATACTTTTTTCGATACATATGATAAATTTTATCGAATTCAGATGTTCTGTCCGGTCGCGGAATATTACGTTGTTTCTTAGCTCTGATCGTCCGTCCAGTGTCCCGAAGATCTTACGAGAAGCCCTCGCAATGAAATCACTTCTTTTTGAGCTCACTTCCCCACGCAAAAAGAGCTAAAGATTGCTCCAAGGACGTCTTCCGTGCTCACATCAACCCCGGACACGGAACCAATGGCCCGAGCCGCGTACCGCAGCGACTCGGCAGCGATGTCGATCTGAGAGAGAGCTTCCCCACCCAGTACAGAACGTTAATTATTGTCTATGGGTAACATCGACGCGCACTCACGAAACCCCTGAAACTCCTCCAAAAACTTCACCGCTGACTCAAGGTAATCTCTATGCCTGGCTTGCGTGATGAGTGGTGCATCCTCCGCAGGACTATTGATTCAGAGTACCTGCATTTGGCAGGATCAAACCCCGGTAAATAGGGCAAAAAGGAAAGGAACCTACGCAACGCGTTCTTTCAGTACATATGCCAGCCCATCTAGAAACTCCTTCGTCCCTTCGCCGGTGTGTAGACTCACAGTCCACATGCGCCGGGTGTTTGCTTCCTTCTGCTGCGCAGAAACTGGCAATGCACGCGTCAATGCATCCCGAACTTCACGCTCCAACAATTCTCCCGACAAACCCGCGACCTCTCGAGTCAGGTCCGCTTTGTTAAACAGGAAGGTCGTGTGCGGCTTCAAGTGATGCAGTACATCAGTGGGGAGGGTGAGTGTGATTCTGCTGGTACTCTGATTAGAATATGGCACGACAGAGATAACTTCCTCGAGCGACAAAACGCATATTGATACGTCGGAACCCTCTACGCTGATCAGAAGCATCTCAGGAACCATTACATTACGGAGCAATTATGACAACGACTCACACGCCTCCGGCCCTCTCCACTCCAATCTTCTCTACAGCATCGTCGGTTAGCTTTCGAATTCCCGCAGTATCATTCAGCACAACCGGCAACCCTCCAATATCGAGCGTGAGTGTGAGGACATCCCGAGTCGTTCCAGGGATGGGGGACGTGATAGCAACGTCCCTCTCCGCTAAGAGAGATTCGACGGTTAGCAACAGAGTACTATCGGTTTGTAGGTCATATGAGAGGAGGGATGGACGAACGAACCTAGGAAATTAAACAAACTGCTCTTTCCCGCATTTGGGGGACCAAAGATAGCGAGTTTAATCCCCGACCTCAATATCTCACCTTTCCTGTTGTCCCTTAGATGTAAATTAATGGTATCGATAATCTCTTGAGCACGAGTGTGCGCTGTTCCATGAACAATCGTCGTTCAGCTCACTAAACCCAGCTTGACACAAGGGCAAAATGAAGGAATGATAGCATACCGTTCTCAAGCATGTCCTCTTGGCCTAGCTCATCGACGTCCTCGCCGAAATCGATAAATCCTTCGACATACATCAGACAGTCGAGTATTTTGGCTCTCAGCGACTCAAACTTCGCCTTCTGTATACCCTACCAACATAACACCTGTCAGCCACCGCCAAGATAGAACAATGCACAACAAGCACAGACGAGGAAGAAGTGTTGTGACAGATACCTACCCCTACCCCACCAACAGCAATCCTCCTTTGCGCCTCGGTCTCAGCTTCGATTAAATCTCTCAGACCCTCCACTTGTGTCAAGTCCATTCTACCGCCTTCAAATGCGCGCCGAGTGAATTCGCCCGGTTCTGCAGGCCGGCAAAAACGGAGCTTCGAAAGCGCTGTGAGGATAGCTGTGAGCACTGCTCGCCCTGAATGCACTTGGAGCTCGAGGGTGTCTTCAGTCGTGAATGACTTCGGCCCTGCGGTAATGTCGTAGAGTGAGAATCTATGCGGTAGAACTAGACAGAGGTCGAGCACCTACCCTCAAAAAATAGAACGATCCCGTCATCCAACTTCCCTCCGGTCTCTGGATCCACGATTTCCCGGTATTCTGCTAGCCATGGAGTCGGCATCTCCTCCTCTCCCATCGTGGAACGAGCGGAGGCGCGAACGCTGCGCGTAACAGCCCTGTGCACACGTATTGCGTCGGGTCCGGAGATGCGCACGACGGCTACACCGCCCTTCCCGGGCGGAGTCGAGAGCGCGTAAATTGTCCTTCTCTGTGCATCCGAGAGTACTTGCGTCCGTCTGAGTGTCGGGTCTGACAAGTGATCTCGCTCTCGGATGGTACCACCACTTGGAGGAGGTCGACCGAAATGAGCACGGCGGTGCACCCAAGAATGATTCCAAAGCCCTGATAGCGTGTGCTGTCGGACATTACTAGCGGTGTTGATAATGGCGTTCCTTGTCCCCGCTCGACCAACCCATTGCCGCAACATAAAACGGCCTCCCTCGTGTCTTGCCTCGAAGTTGCTTCCGTCGCATTTTACATAATCACACCTTCCAGCTTGGAGAACGATGTCGACACTGAGTGCTCCCCGCACAGTGAGTCTGAAAGAGTTGGTCCCAGAGAATGTTATAATCTTGTGAGCCAATCACAAACACCCACTGCTTATGCTCACTTTTCACTAACAGAGTGGTGGGACCCACGGGCTCCGGGAAAAGCTCCGTAAGCTTTCGAGGCTCACGATGCTTCTCCCTTACACTAATGAACCGTGGACATGTTTTAAATAGTTTGTCAGTCAGGCAAGCGGCATCCAAGACGACATCGTAGGCCACGACTTGGTCTCGAAGACGTCCGAAATTCTGGCAGTCAAGTATACGGACGAGGAGAGCGGTCTGGATATCGTCTTGGTCGATACACCGGGACTCAGCAACACCCTGAAAGATGATTCCGAGGTTCTCCGCATGTTTACTGAGTGGTCCCGCAAGCTGTAAGCTTCCTAAATATATCCTACGTATATTCCGTTCTCATCTTCGTTATCAGGAAGAAAAGAGACCTCGTTATCTCCGGGATACTCTACTTCCATAGGATATCGGACAATCGGATACCCGCAAATCCACTGAGGGCCCTATGCGTTTTTGGGGAGCCATGTGGAGGCCTTGGCGCAGCCCTGTCCAAGACCATTTTGACCATCACAATGTGGAACGACGTGGGCGATGAGATAGGCGAAAAAAGGCTGGTAGAGCTCAAATCCACGTTCTGGAAGGTGGTGTTGAAATATATGAACGACGTAGAATCAGCCAGAGAGCTTATCCGTGAAGTCATACGGAGTCGTGGAGGACAACACCAGGGAGCAATGCCAAAGCAGGACATGGCTCTGACTGTTCAAGAACGCTCTCGTCAGGACCTACTCAAGAATTTGGAAACACTTACGGAGAGGCAACTGGCCATACTTCGTAATATCGATGAGGAGAGCAGAAACACATCCGACCCAAATGCCCTTGCCGCACGGGGCGAATTGGAACGTGAGTACGAGAAACTGCGATTGCAGATGGACGAGGCTTGGCGCCAACTCTGTCAGACGAACAAATGGTCCTCCCCACCCAAAACATCAACAAAACGACGCTTTTTTCCAAGATGATGAGTCTTTCCATATCCCCATTTCTCCCTCTTGACGATATAGACCAAGACTACATCACCCGTTTTGTACCTGACTCCTCACTGACGTACAGCTACACTCAAGGGACTTTTGTAAAGTACTACAGCAAATACCACCCTGTCTTCTTTATCTTTTGACAAGCGAACACTGCTCGAGTACCTAGCTATCTCCGTGATAATGTTTCACGAAGCACCCCCGACGTCGGAGACCAAACCATGGTTGCAGAAAGTGGAATCCCCCGAATCCGAGGCTTGCGAGTCAGGAACGGGACAGAGATATGGAACAATATACCACCTTTAAATCCCACGATAAAGCGTGCTTGAGGCATAATTTTACACATGGAAACTATCCAGTGGGTTTCCCTTCTTGCAAGGATCCACCAAGTTCGTGGTGACGAACGCAGCTGGAATCTGACAGAACTTGTTTGGAGTTGGAGCCAAGTATTGCCACGGACAGCGGTGTCGATAAGCCTTTTACCGCAGGAAGCACCACGGTTGGCTTGAAACCTCCGAGGCAGCTGCCCAAACATCCCCGCCAAGAGGCCACGGAGGACACCTAGTTTGGAGCCCACAGCAACAGCCGTCTTGGGCAGGACAGGAGGGGGATCTAGGATAGCCCGATGAGGAATCCTTTCACTTACAAGCAGACACCAAGGTACGGTGCAACGAAACCAAAGTGAGTTCGGTGTCCTTATCAGAGATGCGGCGCCTGACATAATCGCACGAAGATGGCTAATTGAGGGCAATCGTGGTGCCAATTGTGAGACTGGTAATAGTGTGGCTCAGTTGACCCGTCTTGTATGGCGATATGGTGCTGCATTGAGCTACCGTCGGCGCCATACACTTTGATCTATGCCTCGGACAGCCTGTGCACCCAAAAACGGCGGGTTACGAGACTACTGTATTGCAGAAGTGATGATAATTTGGTTTACGCCTATTAGTCATTTACGCAGGTACATTGTTCTCAATCATCATGGATCATGGCATTATGTCCGACCTACCTGATCTGTACTAGCTTGTGGATGCCAGCAACATACCGGAGTGATGCAAGATTCCAACGGAGGGCGAACGTGTGTATCGATCTCGAAAAAGCTATGCCGTCCGAAGTTCTACACAGAACATTTCCACCTGTCGATGCGAGTGATACTTTTATATGTAGTATCTTTTGGGAGCTGTATGGCGTGTTGGTAGTTCGTCGTCCTCACCCTCTCTCTGTCGTCCTCGTCATCTAATAACTCATCGGTGATTGAGACCTGCCAGTACTTGCGATGATGGTGACCCCAGAGGCACATTTCCCACGCCTGATCGAGATCTTTCCAAGCTGTATGTTGTCAGTTCCCTTGCAAGGCGCCTCCAGCAGGTATCTCTTGATCGAACTCGACTCTCTCCCAGCTCGCCAACCCTGCCGAATACGACTGCCGACACATCGTTTCTGAGAAATCTCTTACCGTGCCAGATCGCGTGCATCTTTCTAATTTTTGAGAGTCAATAATCCCAGACCAGAGAACAGTCCTTAGCCTCTCTCCGCCATGGGTCAAACACGTTCGTATCGCCCCTCTTTCTCCATTTTTCGTCGTCTTTACACATAGTTCTTCCCCGACCCCCTTTCCCCCGATGTAGCGTCGCAATTTATGGAGGACATGCAAAAGCGGTCCAACTGTACGTCTCTCTTCTCAGGCTTGGTTTCTTTTCCGCGGGGCCATCGTATCGTCCAGGACTACTGGTATCGCTCTTTCCCTTCGCCACCCGTGCTGGTGTGCGGAGTGAAATAAAGAGCATGGCTGATTAAAAGATAAGAGGCCCTCGACGGAATTCGTCGAGGTCTCAGACGCGACGGACGATGACCGATGAATCGTGCAGAAACGACTCGTACTGACGCCTGCGTATGGCCAGTTACGTCCGCTGAACTAGAGAGACTCAAAAAGCGGTTCATGAAGCTCGACAGGTAGGTCCCCCCCTTCCAATCGGTCCTCTCGTTCCAAACGCTACTATTCGCCTCGGACCTCGGGACTTTGCGAAGATGTTGACGATATTTTCCAGCGATGGTTCAGGTTCGATAGATAGAGAAGAGTTTCTTCAGATACCTCAAATAGCGTCCAACCCGCTTGCCTCCCGGATGATTGCCATATTCGACGAGGAGTGCGTGTGCTCTCATACACTAATTTCTTTGGGCTGAGTCTTCCATCGCCTATGCGTTGTGGCCATGCGGTGCATTTGCCGTAAATCGACATTCGAAAACAACGTAATTGGCGTGCCTTGCATCTACGCAGTGGTGGTGGCACCGTTGATTTCCAGGAATTTGTTGGTGGTCTCAGTGCATTTAGTAGCCGCGGTGGCCGAGAAGAGAAGCTACGCTGTATGTCACAAACTTCTTTACACTTCTTTCTGTTTCCCATTCCATTTCTTCTTTCTATCCGTTCCGTGCTAATCCCTTTTTAATCGTAGTTGCCTTTAAGGTATACGATGTTGACCGGGACGGGTTTATCTCGAATGGGGAACTGTTCCTCGTGTTGAAGATGATGGTCGGCAACAATCTTAAGGTGTGTGTTGTCTATCTTACATCAAAACCGCGGGCTATTATGGACGCGATTGCGATCGGGCTGGTGTCTTACGCATGGGTTTGCAATGACAGGACCAGCAGCTCCAACAAATCGTGGATAAGACTATCATGGAGGGTGATCACGATCAGGACGGCAAACTCAGTTTTGAAGAGTTTGCCCAGATGGTGTCGAATACGGTGTGTGCTGCTGTCGTCCGTGGACGTGCAGGTAGTAGTCTGAACGTTCGAGTAATAGGACATCGTAAAACAAATGACACTCGAGGATCTCTTCTAACGTGCCCTTGCCAAAGTGGACTGGCTAGGATGACGAGTGGACGAAACATGACGCAGATGTGGCATATTCATGCACACATCCATTCCCCGTACAATCCGATGTTACCCCGGCGGTGTGGTGTATAACCACATATTTTTCCCCCGATGATCACCCACGCCTTGAGCAGCATTAGCACAGGTTGTAATAATCCCCGGTTTTATGTATGTAGAACACTAGGTTAGCATCTGCACCTTTTTTTTTTTCGTTTTTCCTCGGAGGCCTTCCGATGTGTATTGCAGTGGGAACCGGTGGCGCCATCGGAGAGTGAACCTGTAGGTCGACCCTGAGCCATTCAAGGGCCAAGCCATATTATTCTTTTCTCCATGCCTTCGTCGTGTTTCTCTGCCAGTCTACTGTTTGGATGCTGTACTGATGTTTCACGGAACAGCCAGTCGCACGGGTGTATTAGAAGTGTCCTCCGTAGATACGCTAGTAGTTTGTCAGGGCTGGGTGGTGGCGGTTTCACGGGCCGATGGAAGAAGGCACATGTTTACCTCATTGGCCGGGGGTGGAGTTATATAATACATTTCGTATTTGGAGTTGCCCCACACTAGCAGACACGCAGAACAACCCCCTCAGACTACTCCACTCCTAGTCTCACCAGACACGATGAGCATCTCCGTCGACGACCTCGTCGCTTCACTCTCTTCCCATCACATCGGCCAGGAAGCTCTCGAACTCGCTGCCCTTCAGGTATCTTTCCAGTCTGACCCCCTGAATATTCTTATCTCTCGTCTCATTCACACATGCAGGCACAGCTCGCACAGTCACTCCTTGCTCACCAGTTCTCCTCCTCCTCTCCTCACTTCCAGCACCCACACCTCTCCGGCCCTCACCCATGCACTAACATCGCCAGACGAGACCCCGGCCATGTCCAGCACTGCACCACCCCCACATCCCGCACCCCCTCTTCCTCGGCCTTCATATGGCCGCTCCCCGTACAGGAACTTGCTTCCCATTCGCGTAGATCGAGTATCTCCTCGATAAAAATGCAACAGTGCCATGAAGATATCGTACTGGTAGATATGGACGACGCGGACGAAGAAGACGCACGTCTCGTGGAGGCAATGGTAACGCCCTCAGACGTCCCTGTATGCTCCTCCCCGAGTGGTTCCCACTCCCGCTCAAATTCATATACCTGGTCATCTTATCAGAGCAAAGACGCTTTAAACTCCTTTTCTGTTCCCACTTCACATCAACTGATTTCGCCCATGGATCCCTCGTGCTCCCCTTCACTCTTTACAACCACGGATCCATTCTATATCCAGACATCTCAGGCTGCCGCTGCACAGCAGTCCCTCTCCACAGCACCTGGTGCACCGGGTACAGCTTCGTTCTTTGCACTCGCTGGTCGACCCAACGCACATTCCCCATTTGCCATGGGCACTTCTGCGTGGCAGCGGTGATCCCTTCCCATTCCATCACCACCACCCTTAGACGGACTTACATATATCTCGTCCTCCGCTCTTAATTTATGTTACCGCTACGTGAAATCGCGTTGTTGTTTTTTATGTGACAGAGAAACCCACGGACGACGACCAGGAGTCGGCTGCCGTCTCTCCACCAGATATTTACTCCCTCGATCTATTCATACTTAGCTTTCCCGTGTTCTTTTTGGTACGCTAGACATGCCCCACTTCAGAGTCCAAACTGCCCGTTATCCAGCCCTCGTTGCATCCTTGCGTGTTGTTCGAGTGCGAATCAGAGCATGCCGCGTCGACCCCACTCTCCCTCCGATATGTTCGGCGTTTCCTCGCGGCCATTTAATATCCGTTTCCGCACCTTGACACACACGCACACGTATACACCCAAGCTTGAAGACAATCCTCCTTTGGAGCTTCCGGATCTCTCCGACTACATATTAACAACACGTCGTACGACTCATGTATACTCGTGCTTTGTCTCGGACTCTCGGAGCCACTCCGGCCAATTAGCATCTCTCATTTCGGTTCGGTTACGGGCCGACCGTGGCGCCCAGTGGGCGTGCACACGACCTGCGCGGTACTTGCGCTGTAGCAAATCCCTGTACCCATCTGTCGGCGTCCAAATTGGCGATCACATTCACTGCGATGGGAATACGTGCGGTGTAGGCTGATTGTATATGCAATGTTAACATACAGCTATGGTATTGCTTCCGTGTTTGTATGTTCGCCATCGTATAATTATTTTGCGTGTCCAACTTTCCGTAAGTCGGCGAGGAATGATCTGAAAGATCAGCCGGGCGTGGTAAGTTGAGCTGTTTACCTGAACACAGCAAATATTCATCACAGCAAGGGAGGGATCTGTACTTCGGATGATGAACATGAAACAAACAACCTGTGAAACCCAGTACTGAACCAATTCATGATCATCAAGATGGTCGCCACATAATTTACACCCGATAAGAGACAATCCAACATGGAAGAAACATACTCCCTTATCTATTATCTATTAGCCTTAAGATTTGACCAAAGCCACATCTACTGCTCCCTCCAAAGGCGGAACAACCATTGGTCCAGGCGTCTGTGGCATCGTCTTGTTCGCCTCGGCCACCACAGCCGGGTTCGCCTTCGCCTGTTGCTTCTGCAATCGCTGCAAATACTTCGATCCTCCAGAATAAAAGAATGCGAGTGCAGAGCCGACCATCCAGAAACCGTACCAGTGCAGTCGACGCCATGCCTCCAACGAATATGTCAGTGTGAGGAGCATGAACGGTGTGGCGGCGTAATTAAGGAGTAGGATGGATGCAATGCTGCCGATGAGGTCATATACACGTTTGGCTGTCGTTGTTGGAGCTCCTAGCGATGGAAGAACAAGGGGACGGAATCCGGAACGGCAGCGACGTGCAGCGGCGGTGATAAAGCCGCCAAAGAGGAAGGTTAAGTAGTAGCCGGGTGCGATACCGTGCTGGAGAGCGGACACCTCAGTTCCGTCATCACGAACAAGCAACGCTCGATAACACATACCCAGAAAGCGCTGGTCAAGAACGTTAACATACTGCTTCTAAAACCAGGCTTCTTGCCCTTCGGAGTGACACGTTTGTAGATGCACTCTCTGAGCCAGACGTTCGTGTTAATGTTCCACGAATCGAGTAAAACCTTGAAGTTGGGAGGGAGCTCGATGGTTTGAATCTTGACGTTGGCTGCTCCTTCCCAAAGTGACTCTCCTGATGGACCATATCCAGTGAATCCATGACCAGTCAGAATGCTAGCCCCCTGAATCGCATGTGCTAAGTGAAAATTCAGAGGTCATTGCAGACGTCTGCCGTACCTCGGTCAACGTCCATACAGCATAAAACTTGCACCGTTCGATGAACCCGCAAAATTGGAAAATGACAATGCTTTGGGGAACTTGAGAAACACGGACACCTGGGCAGAGAGTAAGCCAAACGACTCACCGTTTCAGGAGACCCTGATTCAAGAACCAAGGGGTGAGAGCGATTCCGAAATGGAACTTTGGACCCAAAACTACGAAGGCGCCCAAAAACAGAAGCCCGACGACCATCTTACGGTATGCGACACGCTTCCTGCCGTTAGGAATGATTCTTCTTGAAGCTTTCTTGGGCTCGGGGTGTGCTTTGAAAAGAGACCCATCAATCAATGAGGAGTACGAAGCGTAGTCTATGTATGGCCCGACCAAAATGCCTGGGAAGTAAAGACTAACACGGAAACGCTGTCAGAAAGGCAAAGCAATCATGAGCCTGGGTGTGGCAGGACTTACGAAAATCCAAGGAATTCTAGCAGGGATGGGTATTTAGTGACGCGTTTCTGAAGCTGCCACTTGTCCAAATCCTGTGAATACATTTTAGGAAACGTGCCTTTGAGAGAAAAGGTAGCAGATGTGTATACTTGCCTCTGCAGGACGTCGTCCGTCCCAAACGTTCCAAGCAAATGTCGTCAGTTTCATCGTGAGGACCATCTGCGGTCCAGTAATTTCAAATGTTTCATAGCTCAGTTCGTAAAATGCACGTATGAGATGGCTGTTCGAATTTGGCCGTGTTGGCTATACACTTTTCTCTATGAACGTGGAACTGGACACGTACTTGATAGTAAGGTGTCCCATAACGAAGCTGTCGAGTAAGATTGCAGTCAGGAAACAAGGGCAAAGGAGAGGACAGCACGGTGATGAATACTCACGCGAATACTATCCACGGCATCATGGGTCCTTTGACGTTGGCAGCAATGAAGTACGTCCCAAGGATGCTTGCCAGCAGCTGGGCGAGCCCCGATGGAAGGTTAAGGACGGGTATGAAGAAGAACGCCGAAACGAGGACATTAAAGAGATGCTTGAGACTAGGCTGAGATGCAGGTATTCGAATGAAGACGCTTCCGAGTGGGTATGCAACCAGCAGACAAAAAACAAGCTATTCGCACGGAACGTTGAGCGTGCGTTTTCAGTGTGGCGGCACTGAAAGGGAGAAGGTTGGTACTTGCCTTGATCTGGTCGACGGAAGCCCCGAGCGCAGCGGCTAGCGGGACAAGTAGCGCGTCCATCGCGATGGAAAGAAGAGAACTAACCCGCGTTCACAACTTTCAATGGAGCTACATATGGTAATCATAGGCATCACTCTCACGCTGGCCCATCACAACAATCAACCAACTTCGCCAAGCACTGTTGACGGAGCTGTACATTCTTACACTGCCAGAATCATCGCTGACAACGGGATTCCAACCAAGTTGTCGACCCAGGGCGTACAAAAACTTCAGGAGGAGCTGTCCAGGTACAACTGCCTCATATGTGGACTCTAAAGCACCCACTAATGATTGATGATCTGTCAGGGACAGGAACAAGGATTTTGATCCCATTATGTGCAGGTAGAAAGTCTGAAGAATATACCCAGCGTCGAGAAAAATATAAATAAGTGTTCAATGGTAACAACACCTAGTAAAAACATATATCTGGTCTTATGTAGTATGACAAAAAAAGATTGTTTCGCTAGCGATATAACGAATACGAGTGAGTCTATACAGAGTTTCAGTCCAACTGGGGTCTCTGCATATAGAGGTGTACCGAAGAAGTATTGTAACTAGACACCGTGGCCACTCGTCAGCTCAGCGCAGTCAACGATGAATGGCGTGGGATATATCCTCGACTATGAAATCCCTCGCTCCCTCATGCACAGAAGAGATATCCCAGAGGGATTGGAAATCGAAGGACGTGAGACCCCAGGGCGAGCCATCCGACGATGCATGCGCGTCCTGTCGGAACGAAGAAGAAAACAGGTCCGACGACGACGACTTGTAAAACGTAAAGTGCGGGCGATGGGCGCCTGCGAGGTGGAAGGACAAGTGGGAAATAAGGATGAACAGGAGCAGTATCAAGACGATCACCGTCTTGGCCTTGGTCGGGAGCGTGGACGGCTGGAAAAGCGAATACTGCAAGATGCGCTCGCGCAAAGAAGGTTTGGGAGAGTCTAAGAATGCAATGTAGAATTCGGGTGTGCCGACGGACGGAGAAGATGGCGTGACGATGATAGCCGGCAAGGGTGACTTTTCAGTCACTTGTGTAAGGGAAATATCTGTGAGGTCATGAGGAGGGGGTTCTCTGTGGCCGCGGGGCGGGGCGGTGCTCACCAATTGGGGCCGGGATCAGATTATAATCAAGGCGCTGGGGCAAACGGTGGGCACGGAGAGCTACAAAGTTCCGCATCACAAACTCGTACAGCTCGCACTAAAACTGGGATCCCACATACCACGGGAATGCATAGGCTGATTTGGCTATGTAGTAGTTGCACCGGGATTGATCGATTTTGCACAGGCTAAGGAAGCGTCTTCTCGTCGGGCGCTAACGAAGAACAAATCTGTACCTTTGAAACGAGCGTGGGGGTGTTAAACGAGTGTAACGGTTGTTCGTCTGTCGGGCGAGTGGAGCCGCAGCGACGTGGATTTAAAAAGATGTGAAAGATGGGAGGAAGCTAAGAAAGAGGTCTCCAAGGAAATATATGTTATCAGATTATGTAATGCACCCTCAAAACATACCCGCATTAGGAAAGTCTCCTCGATCTTTGATAAAATGTCCCTTCTTTGCTCGCCGTCGTGGAGGTCGATCGACAAACCTCTGGGCAGCGCAGTCTCTGCCGTGTTCAAACTACGTGCTCTCACTGACATCTCTAGGCAATTTTTATGCAGCATCTGCCTCGTCACCGTCGAACAAGATCACGCTTTTTGATAAAATAGGCCTACGAGCCGTGCAGACTCTTCCTGGTCATGAAGAGGCGACAACATATCTTCGCACCATCCACGGACTTGGTGGATCCACTCAAAATACACTACTATCGTCTGGAAAGGACGGCTGCGTGAAAGCATGGGATGAGAGATCGGGAATGGCCAGCATCCAGAGTACGTTCGCGTTTCTCCCTTGCATGAAAAATACCGTCGTTTTACGACCGGAAGACATGGAAATCTATTAGTGATGGCTTCTGGACGACATCCACTTCTCTGTTGTGACGCATCCAGCGATGGTTTTCTGGTAGCCGCAGGAACTGCCCTCTTGAACGAGGATGCCTTCATCCTCTACTGGTGAGCGACTACTCATTTTCTGGTACATTGTATGTTAAGTTTAACTCGTGATCCCTTAAAAGGGACTCCCGCAACCCGGCAGCACCACTACGTGTTCATGGATCCACTCACTCCGACGATATTACGGCGACACATTTCGGGAGGACGACCAACCTCCTTTTTTCTGCTTCGTCGGACGGACTGATTTCATTATCCGACTCCCGTGAAGTGGACGAAGACGAGGCTGTGACACATGTCGGGAACTGGGGATGCAGCGTGTCTCAGGGAGGATGGGTATACGATTCCAATGAACCCCATTTCTGGACGGCCAGTGACATGGAGACGTTCGGATACTGGTCCAGCGAGGTATCAGTGTTTTTTCTTCTTTTCCTTATCTGAGTCTCGCGCATTCGACCATATGTATCCAGCTTGACCGCTTATATGACACGGACATCCGCAACCCATCTCTGCACAATCAAGGGCAGACGTGGGTCACCGACTATCTCATCAATTGTCATTGTACGCAAAAGCTAGAAAGTGGACTCGCGGTATTCGTAGGATCTAATGAGTTGGTTCATATTCGTTTCGGCGTGGTTGACATGAACCCAATTGCTTCTGTAGAGGAGACGCTGCGTTGATCGCGAATAGCGACCTATCACAGCCTGCAGCTCCCTGGACGATCCATTCCATTTGGACAGGTGGTCATGTCGGTATTGTGCGTTCGATATTGTGGGATGAGCATGTCAGTATGCATTCCCGTATACGCTCTGCACTGGAGCATCTGACGCCTCACAACAGCATAATGTACTCGTGACTGGTGGCGAGGATTCCAAGGTTCTGACTTGGCGCATGCCTGAGCTGTGTTCCCTGAACACCCAAGGAGAGAGGGAGGATACTATGCAAATAGATTCACCCAAGTTGAAGCGCGAGTGGCAAGACATGAATATCAGTGAGGATGCATTTGTGAGTCTTTTCTGACATCGGCGGACCATCTTACTGAAGAACCTCGAGGCTGGAAAGAGAATCAGACATTAGTCGTTGCCGTAACTCAAAAATATTCAGGATGAACAAGATGGATGTCCTCTTGAGTATACCCTAACTCCTGGCGGAACCCGTCTCAGTATCTAAAACCACTCCGTACTCAACTTACCAAAAGCAAATCAAGCCTCTGGCGTTTCGTTCACGAGATTCGATGGGAAATATGCTCCCATGTTCGAGTAGGGCATATGCATAGATGAGGCGTACAAGTGCAAAAGAAGTATTGTGGATGACAGCGTTTTGTAGAAATACCCATAGTGCATATGACGGAACTCGGCTGGGCGTGCTCTCCATCCGACCCGCGTCGGTTTTAAACTGCTTATACCTTGAAACCACGAGACTTTCGGCGACCACGGGCGCGCTCGAACTACAAAACCAACCGTTTAGAAATGCTTCTAAGATGGGACGTGTCATATAAGAGCGTACTTTGCGGCCCTTGGAGATGGTGTAGGGCTTCTTGTGCTTGTGAGGGCCCATGCCAAAGTGTTTGACAGCCTCACGGGTGTTCTTCTTGCCCCTCAAGAGGACCGTGTTGGATCCCGTCGGTGCGCGTAGTGCAAGCTGGTCAAGGGTGAGCGCTTCACCGCCAGCCTTGAGGATGCGGTCCTTGGCGGCGCGAGTGAAGCGCAGAGCAGCGATCGACAGTTTGGGAACTTCCGTAAGACGGACGTCGTCGGTGACGGTGGATACTGTGACAATGATTTTGGAGTCCAAGTCCGGAGTGGCAGTCGTCTCCCGGACGATTCTCGAGAGCGAAATCGGGGGCCTGTTGACTTTGGATAGGAAAAGTCGGTGGAGGATCACCTAGGAATTTTCTCGAATCAAAACTATGATAACATGCTAGCGGAGTGGTCATTTTCACCTTGTTGAAATTCGAATCGGTACGGCGCGCCAAGAAACGGTAGAGCTGAGAAATCGTAAGATACACGGTTTGAAGCACGTAGGTTCAGCACATACCTTGACGAGCAGGAGGAGGTAGGGATCCTCGCTCTTGGGTGCCGTACGCTGGGATTTCTTGACGTGGTGGTTCTTGATATCGATACCCTACACGACGCAAAAATATAGTGAGAATTGGACACCTTCGACGACAACGAGCTCACCATGTTGGTCTTGCCGACGTGTGCTGCGTGCGGTGTGTTGGCCTACTTCGTCTGGCGCGGGAGGCTTGGACAAACTGTATAGGATCACGAAATAAGGTTTGAGTTCGCGGAGTTTGAATTTGGTGCCCGCTAAAGGACAAACAGACACAAACTTGTTCTTTCAACTTGAACAGCCATGGTGAGTCTGACCCTAACTGGCCCATCCAACACAAAAAGTTGACACCCCTCCCCCCTTTAGTCTCAGTACGAGGATCCTGCTGGCCCTCCTCTCGATCCTTACTCGGATGCTTATAATGCCCCGCCCCCGGCATCTGACACCCGTGACCGCGACGTGCCGCCGCCACGCGGTCGCTCTCGTTCTCGCAGCCCAGCGGCACGCAGCAACGGCTACAAGAGTCCCTACCGCCGCAAGTCTCCCCCTCCCAGACGCCCTCCGCATGCTCCAATTGTATGGTGTTATTTCTCTCTCCGAATGAACTACCATTCACTCTCCCCCCTAGGCGCCCGAACCGTCGGCGGTGCTGGGTGTGTTTGGCCTCAGTATCCGAACGCAAGAACGTGACTTGGACGATGAGTTCAGTCGCTTTGGAAGAGTTGAAAAGGTTACGATCGTTTACGACCAGAGGGTGAGGTTGCTTCCACCAGCGCTTTGCCAACGCAACCCTTAACCACGTCTGCCGCAGTCTGACCGTTCCCGCGGATTTGGTTTCATCAAGATGAGTAGCACGGAGGAGGCAACACGTTGCATTCAAGAGCTCAATGGAGTTGTCAGTTTGCCCTTGATACACGTTACCCCCGCCATTCTCACCTCTTTGTAACAGGAGTTAAACGGCCGCCGCATCCGTGTGGACTATTCGATTACTGATCGTCCGCATGCACCAACTCCGGGTGAATACATGGGCCACCGTCGTTCTTACAGGGACACCTATTCTGGCCGTGACTCCTACCGTGACTCTTACCGCGATTCATACCGCGACCGCGACCACCGTCGCCATGATCGTGACAGGGACCGGGATCCCTATGGTCGCGACAGTCGTGACTGGCGTGACCGTCGCAGTCCCGCACCTCGTAGTGGACGTTACTCACCTGATTATAGGAGACGCAGAAGCTACTCGAAGAGCCCTCCGAGGGGCAGCAGCCCTCGCAAGGATTTTGACGGCCCGACGGGCAATGGAGCTTCCAGCTCTTCCAACCAGGAAAATGGTGGCCGTTGGTGAAGCATAGGATCTTGTCACAAGGGCGCAAGAGGTGCATGCTCAAGGATTTTTAAAAATGGTTCATGACGGCCGAGTGGCAGCAGACTTCAAGTTTTGCAAATTTCTTCCATTGTTTGTCTGAAGATGCGAGCGCCTCGTCTTCGATACACAAAAATCAAGTCTCAAGTATTTGTTCGTGATCGACTGTTGCTTGTATTCCGTTCCGTCCCCCAATATCGTGTCGCTGTTATGTTTTGTTACCTCTACCAAGTGTTGAAGACTCCCTGGCAAGCTGACCATTTGTCGGTAATGCAAGCGTGAAGGCTGGCGAACATCCATTTAGCAAGGGTGGCAAGCTCCGCTGGTCGTGAAATGAAGCAGAAGGCGGCGTGACGCCCGTCAGGAGAACAAGGCTTCCTGGAAGAGCAAAACGTGGATTTTACATACCAATATTCAGTTGAACTGGCAAGATCGAAAACGTGCACAAGTCTACACAATAAGGGAAAGATACATGAAGATATATGAGCTCACTGGGCGCTATGGGACTTGCCTCACCCAAGCCTCGTTCATCATGTTGACAGCTTCGGCGACTGAGCACTCGATGGTACGCCCTTTTTTTTCTTTGTATTGCATGTTGGCGGATCACGCTGGTCTGCCAATGGCCATTAGGCATTGTTCGATATTCGGCAGCCGGAGCGGTTGTTGGCGGTCATCAACACGTTGCCTGGCGTTTAACTTGCCAAGCTGTGGAGTGGAACCACGAGATTGGAAATGAATATGCGGAATTTATCGGTGCCCCCTAACAGTTACAGCAATGACTAACTCTAGCGTTGGTACAACCCATCCCTTTTTGTATATAGCCTGGTGCAGTGAACGCAGCCGCATGCTCGCGTTTTGTTTTGCCAACTATTGTGATACAATGGGCACTGAAGCGTTCCTCTCGGCATCTATCATACTACAAAGCAAATTATGTGTGACCGTAATATGCTTGGGAAGGTATATCATATATCATGCACAACGAAAACGGGATTGCAGAGTAAGACTGTCCGCGAAAACGATAGAGGATGGATAACGGGTACAAATCAACAAAAAGAGCAAAAAAAAAAAAGTTCATAAGTTGTAAAGTGAGGCAGATAACAAAGTACTGGTGAAAACCACGATCGAATCGGTGCATGAACGTGGTTGCAGATGACGAATGAAAAATGACTGTCCTCTGTCTTGTGCTCAATCAACTCCAGAAACTAGTAATAGACCAGTCGGGTTGCACTTACCGAAGTCACTAAACCCAGCTGCAAACAAATACGATAATTTTACAGAAAATACAGAACAAGCTGACCGATTTCGTTCCCAAATATGCGTGTACCTCTTGCTGTAGTCGATGCTTATTAATGCGAGACGCCATTCACTACCCGGCGATCCTGGAAACGACTGTCCCACCGTACTCGAGCTTTCCTCCTGGTACGAATAACTCCGGGGTGTTCTCGAATGGAATGACCTTTGCTTCATCGTCAACGCTCTCACCACCGATAAATGCCGCCTTCTTCTTTCCCTTGTCACTCGCGTTCAGGGACGAAGGGAAATCCACCTGGTCAGCGACTGGCCTGACACCATAATCGACTGCTAATTTGAGTACCTCGCGAAGCGAATCGCATACATCATCGCCCTCCCAGTCGATGTCTGATGCGAGACTGACCCAGGTATAATTCACGGCTCTCGGTTTGATCTTCTTCTTAATCACATTCCGAACCTTGCCTTTTGTCTCGGGGAGGGAAAAACTGTCATAGGTGCCTTTCCCCCCACAGCTCAAGGCATCGAAAGGGTCATGCAAGTCTAAAGTGTTTGCCTGGCGGTAATCCTTCGGCCCCCCGATCCCAAGGGCCCTAACACCTGCTTTGAAATTGTCCCCTGCGCTCGCAACAACTCTGGCCGGTGCATCACCCACGAGCGTCGTAAATTGCGCCTGTCCCTCACCCCTCGTTTGCCCCGTCCCAGGCCCATGGTTATCGGCCACCACCTCCCACTCTTGCACGGGTAGCGCCAAAAGCGTGTGTCCTACTTCCCACACCTCTCGCCCGCCGACAGTGTCGAGTACTGCATCTACCCGCACGTAGCAACGTGTAAGGTAGGCGAGAAGTGCGGCAACCGAGCCCTGCTCGGTGTCGTAGGAGGGCAAAGGGAGAGGTGTATAGGAATACGGTTGAAGAAACGGCAGGGGGAAAGGCATGGATGAAGTGGAACTTTGCTGGTGATGTCCCGATGACGCAGGTGAGGAGGATAAGGACGGTGAAAGACCCGACCCTGAAGACGACGAGAATGGAGAAGGGGATAGACTTTGTGATGAGGATGAGGACGAGCGGGGAATCGCGTGAACGGAGTGTGTCGACGAAGACATAGACATCCCACCACCGAGCACTTCCGAGGCCACAGACGAGGAAGGGCGAAAAGAAGTAACCGACACGAAAAGCACCTCATCCACTCCCCACCCACGCAAACGCTCTTCTATTCGCCGGAGGACGGCTCGCTGCCTCTCAAACTCTTTCTCTTTCTCTTCGTCCCTCAGTGCACCTGTAACTTCCAACGCAGGACCGGGCAATGCAAATGGGACTGGTACGTGAGCCCAAACACACCAACCTTCGCGCACCAGGATTTGCATAGCAAGTGCTCCTGGTCCGTCATGAGCCCTCAGCACAAGCGCCCGCGGTCGGGAATCCCTCATTTGATGAGCTGCCGGCATGTCACTCTGGTCGGCTGGGAAAACGCCGCCAAGGGGTGGTAGAGTACTTTGGGCCAAGCCCCGGCGGAGTGCAGGTCCCACCGGCCAGGAGGCCTGGGGGAAGGTGCGAATGGCACGATATGCTGGAACGCCGCTCAGCGGAAGAAGGGCCAATTCCTCCACTGTAAGGACATCCACGCCCGATCGAAGCGAAGCGCTGCGGCCAGCCGCAGCATCTCCATTGACAGTTACATGTCCGTTCGCAGGCGGTGATGCAGGGTTATCTGTGGAATACGGGGTTCTCCGTAAAATATGTGGTTGTGGAACGCGATGTATGCGGTGGCGATCAACGAGGACAAACTGCGCTAAGGCGCCACTCTTTACAGGAGATGAAAACGTGCATTCAGAAATCTGCGGTCCTAGACGTAATGAAACGCCCTTACCTTCTGCACACTCGTGAGACCGACCACCCAATCACCACGCCTGACAGTCTCCTCACGTACCTCCCACCCTACCTCAAGCACTCGTCCGACGAATGACCGACCAGGGATATACCCAACTGCGGGAGCGCGAAGCTTTTCTTTTTCGAGGGCCTTCGCCACCTTGGTCCCATATGGTGTGCCAGGCAGTCCAGACACAGCGATCTGTGGAGAAGGGACGCCCACAAGTCTGGCATCTGTCCCATCCAATCCAACCTCCCACACCTGCACCAATACCGCGTTCCCTCCAACATACGCTGGCGGGGCACGATGCGATGTGAATCCGAGTGGAGTCTCACTGTCTTCTTGCATAGCTTTGCCTTTCTTGTCCTCATGATCCTTACCAGCGAACCATCCGGCACCGAATACACTGGTCCGATTCTTACTCCTCTTTCTGTCCGCACGGGTTGATTCGCCAGCAATTCCACGCACAACTTCGACACTCGCCATCGTCGTCTGTGCAAGTCCCGCACGTGTCAAATCAACGCCATCACCCAGACCAAGTCCGATACTGATCGCCTCGCCCAAAACTGTGCTGGTCCGTCTTCCTCTGGTAGACGGTTTGGAATTGTAGTTCGTCTCAAGCGCCGTAGATGGGGTAGCGCGAGGCAGAACGAGGCTTGTAAAACCGCGCGTTCCGCTGGAAGGAAGCGTGTCAAGCTCATCTGACATGGACACGTGTGCTGCGAGGGCGTCTAAGGCATTCGAAGGGGCGGAAGTATAGGGTGATTTAGTCGTTGAGGCGGTTGAATGCGATAGCGGACTCATAGGACGCGATGACGTGGTGCTTGTTGTACGACGATGTGTATATGATGGTGTAGAGTGTCCAGAGAAAGATGAATTGCGCTTGGCACTCGTATCAGGAAAAACGCCAAGTGAAGGCAAAGAAGAGGAACGCTGTCTGGTTAGTCTTGTCGCCCTTGGCTTAGGCGACTGAGGATGGGGTAGAGGAGGCGGTCGCTCCCGGACGGGGGTTGGAGAATGCGATAGCGACTGTGAACGTTTACGAGTGCTTGTGAGGTCAGTCGATGAGACTGCTTTCGACCCATTGCATTCGTCTAAAGGCTCCTCTACCTCGACTAACACGGTCATACCAACCACGGCACGCGCTACGGGCGACTTGGGCTTGGGGTGACCCGATCCTTTGGACGAAAGTGGGTGTTGCGAAGGGACCGACGAGTACGGATACCTGTCAGAGGAAGGCGTAGTCATTGCCATTAATCTCGAACTCTGATCTGTGATTATGAAACGTGAGCCCGATCGTTGGTTCTGTTTTCTCTTCTGTTTTCCGGACGAGCTGGTGACTTGGGGAGCGACAAGCCAGCGGACGTCTTTTGCCCAGTCTTCGTCTGTATATGTAAGTTTACGCTGGAGAGGTAATTTTCGTCGCAAGGGGGAGGGGGAGCCGATAGGAACCATCCTCATGCTAGGTGGGGATAATTTGTTTGGGTAAGACGTGGAGTAGTGCATGGGTTCAGGCGGATCGCAGAAGGTGGAACCCAGGGACGCCGTTGAGGATGAAGGAGAGTTGGAGGGTGTGAACGGGGGAGTCTCCGTTGAAGATAAGTGCTGTGGCGTTTGGTGCTGCGGAGGCGAACGATTGGCTGGCGGGCTATTGGAGGCGGGGGACGGTGTAGGCGTGTAAAATACCTCGTTCGAGTCGTCTGGCGTGCTGCCCTCTAAGTGCCGGCAGACGCTGTTGAAGCCGACACCGTTTGTAGTCTTGGGTGACGAGTCCGACGATGCTCGCCTGGGATGATGAGCTAGCTCGTCTAAAAACGAAGGGACCGCGTGATCCTTTGAAGCAAGATAAGAGCCATTAGTGGGCACAGTGATGAGGGCATAGACTAACCTGATAAACCTGTTTGGAGCGGTGGTGCTCGGTAGCCTGGATCTGAAGGTCTTGCGCTATTTGAACGAGTTCTTGCTTCGTCGAGTGGTAATTATCGCCCGTCTGGGCTTGCTCAGCCGGCGGCGGTGATGTGGTGCCCGAGGCCGTCGTTGTTGCATATCGCCTCGATGGTCTACGCAGGACCTTCTGAAAGAATGTTTGTTTTACTGGCATCGACTGTGACGAGCATACGACGTCCACATGGGCGACGACGCGTTTTTTTGACGAGCAGTAGTACACACTAATAATGACGTCACTGCTATAATAGGAAGCCTTCAGCTTCAACCCCGTCGTCGTTTACCCGCCAGCCCTGCAAATGACACCGTCCGCTTTCGCTTGGTCGCTGGTGGGCATGGCGGTGGGGGAAGCAACTCAGGTGCTTCGTCTTCGTCATCTTCATCCTCCTTGGCTTCGGCGGCGGACTCGCCAGACTCCGATTCATCGTCCACGTCATCATCTCCGTCCTCGTTGTTATCACCACTATCCTCACTTTCCTCATCTTCTACCTCCCATGTCTCATCTAGTAATCCTCCCCGACTGTCCACTTTCCCCGGTGTCAATTTCACCAGTTTCACCTCCTTCCTAAGTTCCCTCCGCGTCCTCAGCCCTTCCAACACCTCCCCATCTTCATCCATCGAAGAAGCCGACACCCCACCAGCACTCGTGGCAGGTGGCATCGTATATCTGACCAAATTTCCGGAATTCCAGTCCCGCAGCACAATCCGCGCAGCTCCCGCATGGTCAAGCACCCCTCTCTATATATAGGAGACGCCATTCATCAGTTTTCCCCGCCGCAGACCCCGAAGACTTTGGGACGATGGAATAATGTACTTGCCGTTTTCACTAGGCCATTCACACGCGCAATACCAGCCAAGAATGCGGTCGTGTCCCCTTTCGGGAATGCAGGCAGGTTATAAGCTAGCATGAGATCCTGGGTCTCTGCCCGCGAGATGACATGTGTCACTAGGGATACATAAAACATCGGTCATACCCAGGCATGGAAGAGCCACGACAATGAAGCACTCACCTGCAAACATCGGATCTTTGAGGCGCTCAATCCGACCCCTGGATCGCAACAAGATATCCTTCGCTCGGGAGGCGAGTCGTTCACTATTATCCAAAAAGTCCTCCCTCTCAAATTCCAATCCCGGCGTATCGATAAACCGCACTTTCGAGCTCCCACCACCGGGTATCGATGCAACGACTTCCTGCGCGACTGTCGTTGTATACGGTAGTTTCGCGGCCTCCGACGAAAGAGAATCGTATACCGGTAGCACACTTGTACCCAAGAGGGAATTTATTATGGCTGATTTACCTGACTTCGAGAACCCATCATGAGCACAACCGCCCATGACAACCATTTCGCGGCAGACTCACGTTCGTGACACCCGTAAAAGCAACCACCAACTCATCACGCTTCTTCTCCTTCGCAAACCTTCTGAGCCATGCCCATATCAATTTTACTCCTTTCGCGTCATCCGCAGGTTGCACTGCTTTAGCCTTCTTCGCAGGATGATCACAAGGCGACGTAACCGGCAAGAACGCAGACGACACTCGAAAGGGCATCGCTGTGTACGTCTTCCGTAGATATGATAACCATTCCACGAGTGATTCCCGCGGTACGGTATCTGAAAATGGTTGAAGGTGAACTCATCGTATAGAAAGCAAACATAAGTCACCTATACGTACCGGCTTTGTTCACCAGAACAACCACAGCCTTCCCTTTTTCATTTGCGATTGCCAACAACGCCTCACTAACCCCAGCCTCTGGATCCCGCGCATCCACAACACACATCGAAACATCTGCCTTGTCCAACACGTCCCTCAGCGTCGAGGGACCGGGATAGACAGATACATTAGGCGCTTTCACCTCGTCGTTGGATTTTTTAGGGAGGGGAGTGGGTATAGGTTGCTTTTTGATGGATGTTACCCCGTCGAATCCGCATCCGTCATTCTCCGCTTTCTCGATATTTTCTTCCACTTCTCCTTCAGCTTGTTCGGATACCTGAGATTGCGTCTCGTCCACATTTTTTGCTGCTGCCTTGGCGGCTCGTTTCTCGGCCTTTCGGCGTTGCTTTTCAATTGCTGCCTATTGAATCATTCAGAGGAAAGCGTGCAAATGAGATATCAGCCGCATATTCAGGCAGGAATTAAGAGAGAGAGACACGTACTTCGCGACGTTGTTGCTCGATCTCTGCTAGGATTTCGTCCTTGTAGGGAAACGCGTTTGGAATACCGGGATCCTTTTTCGACTTCTTTTGTACTGGTGACGGGGGCACGTATGAATTAGCACCATAAGCCGGGATGAAGGATTCCAGACCAGTGAACCAAGACGCGGAACAATTCGGCGAACGGGAGAAAGGATAACGACATAACACGCATGGGATGAAAACAGACGAAAAACTCACCCTTCCCTGCAACCTTATCTTTCTTCGCCTGCTTCTTCGCTTTTTTACGGTGCTCATTGACCTTGTGCTTGATTCTCTCCCTCCGGTGTGTGCCGATGCGCTTCGAGGTCTCTGTGGGTGGTTGACGCCGGGTATGTTAGTGGCACGGAAAACTCGCTGGATGCTAGAGCGCGTACTTTTGCGGATACGCGGCATTTTGAAGGGCTGATGTTGCTCAGGTAGTGGTGCCTGGAGATTGAAAACCTTCTAACTGTTGATGTCAGTGACCTGCAGCCTCGATCAGCACAGGGAGTCTCTTCAGTGTCAAATACGCCCGACCGTCACTGCTTGTCTGCGAGTCGTTGCCAAATGAGCTTAGGCACGGTAATTAAACAATTCACCGGGCCCACTGAGGGATAATACCACATAAAATACGACACTCTCATATCTAACTAGCCATTTCTACATCCTCGACAACGCCGATATCCTGCAGGAGACCTTGTGCCGCCTCTCGAAGGGTCCGAATTTTCGACCGCATTACTTTAATCGCCTCCGGGAGGAGTCGCTCGGGTGGATAGAATCCCTCGGATTCAATATTGACTACAGTAATAAATACACATCAGAAGGAAAGACATAAGATGACCATGCCCGACTGTAAAGACTTACAAAGAAAGTGATCCCTAACCCGTGCGAGCTGTACACACCCCTCAAATTCGGGATGTCTATACACCTCTCTGCTCATAGTTTCTCGTCTCGCTTGGCTTTCGTCCACGCTGACTCGCTTAGTGCGTGGGTCCACTTTGATTACACCCTTGGTGAAACAATTTTGGAACTTATCCGCCAGGTGCGGAGGGATTTCTTTCTTCAGGATCACTTTTGGGAGGAGACGATACGACGCCGTCGCTGCGTATCACCATCAGAGTGTTAGTCCATACACACCTCTCAAACGAGACGTCGTGGAGTATCAAAGAGTCGACGCACCGACAGGCGAAAACTTAGCATGGTCCTTCCCGACACCCTTAACAGCATGTAGTTCAATTTCAATCTCCTGCCCTGGACGCAGTTTTACGAGCACGATGTTGGGGTTGGTGGGTGCCGGTGGGTTGGCTGCCATTACAATAGACTGCTCGCCTTGTGGAACCCACTCCAGTTGAGAAGAAAGTACCTCATGGTTGATGTAGAGTTGTGCGGGGTCTTTTGCATCTTTCGGAGCGTTGCGTCGGCGCTCGCATTTGGCGCAGAGCTTGAAAACGATGGTGTTACGATCGGTTGGTTGTCCGTCTGGATCTGTCAGAGTCCAGTTAAAAACGTGCGAAGATGAAGAATGGAAAGTTAATGACGGTACACACAGTCCATGAACGCTGGGTTAACACGGAGAGGGATTAAGCCCAGTCGGTGCGCGAGGACTTCATCCACAATGATGGAAGTGTTGTTATGTACATACACCCGCTCTATACAAATTGTTGGAACCTACTCGATTCGAGTCAGCTTGCCTCACTCGCTCAAGATGCGAAGGAACACACACTTCAGCTATTAGTATCCGCCGCAACGCATTTGCAATAGACGCATCGACACCAACGAGATCGAATTCTATCGACCGATTCGATATCCGTTCCACTCTTACGGCGAGTCTCTATCCTTGTCTCACATCAAAATTCGAACGTGTAGCAACGGGTTGGTAAAGGGGACGAACCTTCTTGAATTCTGCGGGATTCCAGGAGTGGTCTTCGTCTGCGAAATGGCCAGGATAATCCGTGCTCGACGTATACGACACCCGCTCTGGATTCAACGCAACGTGTTTCTTTGGGTCAAACCCCTGGCTCATCTTTCCTGGGCTTACTACTGGTTCGAAGAAATTTTGTGGTTCAGCGCGGTGGCCATCAGATAAAAAAGGCAACACCGCCTGGACATAATAACCCTATCAACTAACCTTCATGAGGCTACCAATGAATTCATCACCACTGCCCGTCGCTTTCCCTACGGTGTCATCAAAGAACACAAATGGGCAACGAGGTCAAATCTGTCGTTTGCTGATGCCAATATTTTGGCCGAATGAAGGTGCTTTGGCAACTTGGTGAACCACCCTAGCATAATTAAGCAGTCTGTTCTTTTGACACATGCACGCCTATAGTTTCAGGCGAGGTGCTACATCTGTACAGTCTCTAAGCACCACGCAAAAGGCTGGGTAACTAAGGTCACCGGAATCATGCAAGCAGCAGCTTCGACGTGAAAAGCAATGCTTTTTGTGACCCAGGTTTTTACTCTCCGAGATACGCCAATGACTCATGTTGGTTGCAAGAATCGTATGGCAAACTGGCTCGGAGTCCACCAGCGAATTAGTCTGTCACTTCCAAAGATCAATTTATTGCATGGTAACCAGAGGTTTCGTCTTCTCGCGAGTGGAGAGGTGGAAGTCAGATCTGATCAACCGGGCGAGGAGAGAATATCTTAGGGCCATGTCAACTGCACGCCATTGCGCCTAGCAATGAATAATCCCGTTTGTTTTTTTGTCAGGGTGTCGTGTTATGACCCGATCCGACAGGTATTTCCCTAATTTTTCGGAGGATTCTCTGCCATCTACAGGGAGATTTACAAGTGGTACGAAGTGGTACGTCCGTGGTCAAAACCTCAGGCAACCGGCAAGTAACCCTGTCACTCCTCTCCAGAATTATGGCGTCGATTGCGAGCGCTGCACCAATAGTGGTTCATACGTCACGCCGCCAACATCATGAGACTTGTGCATGGTGCTTATTCCCTTGGTTTGACCCCGAAGTTCTCGAATAATCCGTCTCTCTGGAGCTAAAGGCAGTTGGCGTCCATTTTGGAACCGCGGCATCTACAATCAATGTTATGGGGTGAGTACCACCCGGCGACTCGACGATCCTACCCTCGTCGACCAAACGTTGCCTTTGGAAGACCCTGTAGGTACACCGCTACTTCATCAAAGCTACAGACCTGAACCAAAGCTACGGCACTCTTATCAGTTGCGCCCTACTGTCGTGTTGACCCTGTTATGGATGGTGGCTCCGCCGTCTATCATCCGTTTGTTAACTGGACACCGCAACACACGTCCTTTAAAATCTTATCGCATCGCCCCTGCACAAGGAAACCCACGGTCCTTCTCAGTGGAACCCCGAAGAGGCCGAAATGTCGTGTCTCACGAAGAACTGCAAGATTGACCAGCATGTTTGCGAAGCGGTGGATCGGAAGTCCGACAAGATAGTAGTTTCTGAGCTTGATAGTACAGTGATGGCGATTCGGAAATTAGAGTCCACTATTACACTCCTTCTGATACTCGTAATACATCCCACGGATTGTAATCTAACCTTGCTTCTCCACCTTGGCTCCATGAGGTGTTGCAAAGTGGATAGGGGGCGTCCTATCCACTACCGTGTAATAGAAACTAGTGATACGTCTGTCATGGTTGACGTCATCTCCCTGAGGTTCAACTCTGACGAAAAAAAGGTAATGACAATATAATTCAGGTTGCGCTAATGAAAGCCCTGCCTCTGGCGCAGGGGGGAGAAGGAAGGGCTTACTTTGCACTGAAGTGCACGGAGACTACCCTCTGCGCCAGAGAGGCGCGTATACAGAACGGCATGACACGGGTGACGACAAACGCACCAGCAACGAAAGTTGGCTGTTTATGCACCCGGCGAGTTAACTGACGTCCTGTGGGCCCAGACAATACACTCACATTGTCCGGCTTGTCGTCGTTCATTGAGGTGATCTGCTCCCATTTCACGTTAACTCCCAGGCTCCCCGCTGCCTGAGACGCGAATTCCCCCTTAAATGTCTGGAAATCCTGAGGTTGGTGATTTTTCCTAACGTCACAATCGGGAGAGAAGATTCGATCGAAAGAGGGTTCTGCTTTCACGTTCTCTGCAGCGCCAGTAGGCTGGAACAAGGCAGTCAGGTGTGACTGGATCCAGGGTGCTACGCTGCTAGCGCTCTCGAGCTCCGTCGAAGACATGGCGAGGCGTTAGAAGTACCACACGCGTTGGCGTATTTATACCAGCTGACCGACTCGAGAGCACACATAAATTCATGACATCATACAATAGCCCTCCGGTCACTTCTGGACGCAGGGCACTTCTGCATGTGACTCACATTATTACTAAAATGCAGATGCTACACTAGGGAAATGTTTAAGCAGGGTGGAAGGGAAGTTTATGTGACTGTTTGTTTTATGAGGTGATGCTGTTTATGAAGGTAACACATAACTACTTGTTTCTGTAGGTTTTATGTTGGGTGGTAGATGTCATATCTGTTCGAAGGCATCAGTTAATGCATCAGTAAATCACTTTTGCTGGCCAGAGCTGTCCAGAGCTGTCCAGCACTGGACAGATTCCCTAGGACTGCCAGCACACAAAGTGGTTTACTGATGTATGGCTCAGTTATTGCTGAAGTCTTGCAGAGGTTCACTCCTTCTGGTGAGTTCTTCTGAGATCACACAGAGGAGGGAACAAAGATGAAAGCAAAGGGATGAAGCTGAGTTGCAAGTAATCAAAAAACTGAGGACACAAGGTAAAGTACTTGAGACTATATACCTGTACAGTGAGAGTACCATACCAGTCATGACAGATGTGTTGTGACACATATCTGCAGTAATCAACAAAATAATCAGTCAAACAGGAAAGTCAGAAGGAGTCATACAGTGTCATATGATGGGGATAGTCAGGGAAACAAGGGCTGTACCAGCTGTGCAATCAATGCACAGCAAGGAGCCAGACACTGGAACTATAGTACAACATCAGAGCAATATAAACAAGTCAGAGATGAGTCAGAAAGTGAAAATGTAACAAGTCATCCATCAGAGAGGGTGGTGGAATGCCGGATCAAACAAGAGGTGCAGTCTTGACAGGTATTGGAAATACTGTGACAGCAGGAGATCCAAAGGAGCCTCACAGCAGATGAACCCCTAGGATGGCAATGATTATTAAAGACACAACAAGGCATGTGATGCACATGACTGCCAAGAGTCAAAAAAGGAAGGCCCCCTGATGTAGGTGTAACATCACCCCCCCTCTGTTATGCCCAAGTGCAGTGACTTCTTCAAATGGAATAGGCATGAAGTGCATGGGGGGGAGTCTACGGGCCAAACTTGTTGTAACCCCTATGGCTCAGTTATCTCTGAGGTCCAACAGAGGTTCTGTCTTCTGGTGATCCCTTAGGGTAGTCACACAGAGAGAGAACAAGGATGAAAGAGAAGGAAGTTAGCTGAGTTGCAAGCTATTGAAAAACTGAGGATACAGGGTAAAGTATGTGGGTTTATATACCCTCAAGCATGAGTACTGTGCCAGTTGCAACATGACATGTCGCAATGCATATCTGCAGTAGTCAACCAGACAAACAGGTAAGTAAAAAGGAGTCATACAGTGTCAGATGATGGGGGTAGTCAAAGGGACAAAGGCTATACTGGCTGTGCAATCAATGTGCAGTGAGGAGCCAGACACCAGAACTATAGTACAACATGTGAGCAATATAAACAAGTCAGAGATGAGTCAACAGAACAAGAAAGGAACATATTGTCCATCAGAGGGGGCAGTGGAACACCAGACCAAAACAGAGGTGTGGTCTTGACAGGTATTGGAAATACCCTGACAGCTTGAGATTGACCCCTCCAACATTCTGGCCCCTAGGACAGTGACAATTATGAGGGACATGGCAAGGCACATGATGCATGCAACTGCAAGAAGTCAAAAAAGGAAAGACCCCTGACAGAAGCATAACATCACCCCCCCTCTAAGGTCCTCAGACCCTTGAGGACAGGCCAGGTGCATTCGAGGAGTGGGAGGAAAGGGGTCAGTGAGCAGTGTAGATGTGGGAATGCATGTGATGGGCGACAGGTGATGGAGTTTATGGTTCCTCGAAAGCCAGAGTAAAACAGGAGCCCTGTCCATTGTGGCATGACCAATGTCCCAGGTAATGACACTGGAAACAGGCATGCTGATACAAGACATGGTTGGCAGGGATGGGGGACTGCCCTCTGAGGTAGAACTGAAGTCAATCAAGAGGGATGGGGACAAAGGGAGCCACAGGGAGAGGGTCAGTGGAGTGGACCATGTTATGATAGTTTTTATGCAGCCTGACCCAAGAGGCATCCTGCAGAAGAACCTCCCAAGCAGAGGCATGAGCCCCTGTCCCAAGATGAGCACCAACCTCCTTAAACAAATCACCTGACCTGACATAGGGCAACTCCAACCCCTTCCACTGGTCCTCTTTTTCCTTTTCTGCTTTCTTTGCTTCTTCTTTGCAGGAAACCGATGGTTCCTCTTGTTTCAGGCAAATGCGATCAAGAAGATGTGAAGCAGGTGGGGCAAGGAACTTGCTGATCTGTTGATGGAGAAGGTGATGGTAAGCACCACTGGTAATGGCTTCCAGAAGTCCTGAAGAACTTCGCTCCAACATATTGATCATGATGACTTTGGACAGGGGGGTGGTACCAGACAGTTTCCAGGTGTGTATCTTGGAGACAGCAGAATTGATCATGTCTGTCACTCTGTAGATTTCAGACAGCAACCCAAAATACTTAACCTGTTCTGGTGAGCACCCGTCAATGTTGTCCCCATCGTGGAAGATGTCAAGCACCCTAACAACGTCCAAGTAGTCACCTGCTGCAATTGGTAATCACTGCTCGTCATCCTGGGCAAGGGCAGCCGAGGCAAGCAGGTCAAGGGTGATGTGCTGACTACTCTCGGGGTAGGTGGCGAAGGCAGAGTGAAGGTGGGCAGGTTCAGGAGCATGGGAGGGACCTGTCCTGGCTGTTCCACTATCAGCGTCATTGTCAACTTGCGCTTTATTCTTTCCCTTTCCCTGTTGGCTACCATCCCCTCCAAGGGGAACTCTGGCCTTGGGGATGGGGATCCTCTTGACCAAGAAGCCTGTGAGTGGGCACAGTCTGAGAGCATGGGTGACAGGGGGCAATGTTGGGTGAGGTTGCAAGACGGGGGACAAGGGGTATGAGTCAGGAAGGCAGGAGGCAGTTGTTGGAGGTGAGGCTGGGGCATAGACAGTGATGGGGGGTATGAAGATGCTGTCAGGGTCATAAATGGATTCTGTGGGGAGGGGAAGGTTGGCATAGTCATTTTCTGTGTTGACAGAGCAGGGGGAATCCATTAATTTCGAAGATGGTGGGCAAGCTTGTACTGGGAGAGGGCCTCTGAAGTGTGGTCTTTTATATATTCCTCCAGTTCCCAGGTGTTTGATGAATGAGGGAACCCTTTCCATTTGACCAGATATTTTCATTTACCTCTATGCCCATCCATCTTGTGATTTATTATTGACTTGACCTCCCACTCAATTTCATCATTGACAAGCTCCAGTAGCAGTGTGGGCAGAGCTTTTCCATACGTGTCATTTTCCTGATAAGGATAAATTTGAGAGGCATGGAACACAGGATGAACCTTCCAGGTGGGCAGGAGAGCCAACTGGAAGGCTACCAGTGAAACCACCTGAGTCACTTCAAAAGGGCTGAGATGTCAGGGTGCAATCTTATCACACTGGTTCTTGATATGAAGATGCCTGGTATCCAGGAGTACTTGATCTCTGACCTTGGGTGCAATGTAAGACCCTTTTGAGCGCGAATGCATCAGGTCCTGTGCTTTCCTGTGTGTGAGAATGGCGACATCATGGTTTGAGGCCAGCCTTTCTAACCTTTCATCAACCAAGGGGACTGCAGTTAGCTGAACTTCTGGATGGGGGGAAGGATCATAGCCCAGAAGTAGCAAAAACAGAGTCATTTGATGGATGGAATGGACTTGGGAATTATGAGCAAACTCAGCTGATGGGAGCTTGGCAGCCCAGGAATTTGGTGCTTCTGTGCAGTACAGCTGAAGATACCCTTCCACTTCTTGATTGATGCGTTCACTTTCTCCGTTAGTCTGTGAGTGATAACCCATCAAGAGCTTTGGGACTACCCCTATCGCTTTGTACAACTCCTTAGTAAAGGAGGATGCAAACTGCGGTCTGCGATCAGAGATTACTGATTCAGGTACCCCATATCGGGAATAGATAAACTGATGGAAGAGTTGGGCAACTCTGATGGAGTCAATCATTTTGTGGCATGGAATGAACAGGGCAGCCTTTGTAAGGCCCTGATTGACAATTGTGAGAACAGAGTTGTACTTTTGTTCTCCTGATACTGGGAGATCCATGATGAGATCCATAGATATCTGTTGGAATGGAAACATGGTCTTGGGCATGTCATGGGGTATGATGGGCGGTGTTGGTGGGTGAGTCATGACCTTGGTGGTCTGACATGTTGGGCAACCTGCTACATAAGCCTGTATATCCCTACCCATACCTTCCCACCATACTTCCTTTCACATCTTTGCAAACATCATTTTCTGTCTGGGATGTCCTGCAGACTCATGGTTGTGGTAAGACTGCATACAGTGGCGACGATCTTCGGGTGGGATATACAACCAAGTGGTTCTGAACCTTTTTGTTCCATCTTCCATGATCGTGACATTGTCTTTAGGTTCTGGCCCTGTCAAATCCTTTGGTGTGTCATTCTTGATGCATTCATACAGGTCTGTGGATATAGTGTAGACTCCCCTAGCTCCTTTCACAGGTTTCCTCAAGGGGCAAGCATTGGGCAGCCCATTCTCCTTTGGTTTTTCCTCAGAAGGGTGAGAATACGGCTTCGAGTCTGGTTTGGAATGCTGGATCCGTGCTGGCAGATGTCTGATCCAGCAAAGACAGTTGATTTTTAGTTGTTTTTGTAGTTTTGTAACAGAAAAAGAGGGTGAAACAAGGCAAATTTGGGGACCCACCCCCTCCAAAAGCCAAAGGTCCAGGGGAAGGACCATGGCAACTGGGGCAGGCTCCTCCAGAGCGCCCTTGTGAGAAAGAGTGTTGGCTGGCACCTGCAGGCAGCCAGCCTGCCAGGAGAACCAGATAGGGTAAGACTGGATGGTGGCAGCCCATTGGGCCTGGAAAGGGGTGAGCTGTTGAGGCTCATGGTAGTACTCGAGGTTCTTATGGTCGGTAAAGACCACAGTCAGTTCAACTGGGGAGAGCAGGTAAGGAT